ACACCACGAGGACGTCGGCTACTTGTGCATACATCATCGCTCCTCCGCCAAATGGTGTTTTTAACATTATTGGGTCAGGAATACTTGTTTGTGTTCCTTACCCTATTGTGTTCCCTTAAGCCTGCCTGGGCCCCAATTTACAGGAACATGTAGAGACCATTGCTGAAGTGCTTGCTGCATTGTCCTAACACCTGCCACACAACACAAGTGCGTCTAATGATACGTTCCTGTTGCACTGTCTGGGGAACTAAATTGGGAAAGCTGGACAGGACATTTGGGAGGCCTGATGAAGTCACGCATATATGGAGTTGCAAATTCAACAGAAGCAGATCTATTTCTTTGTTTTATACAGAAGTTATGTTTATTGATATGATAGAGATTTTAATTATATTTCAAAGTTTAGCTATGGATCTATGCAATAAGCATGTGCATGGGGAAAATTTTTGGTTCGGCCTTCGGAACTTCTCTTGCAGCCGCTAGTAGATAACTCCCTAATTCCCACAGTATTAGGGAGTCAAATCTTCGGCTTAGACTCTATGCCGACAATCTGACTAACACTTGCTATACTGCGAGTAGGGGCATGTCTAGTAAACAGTGAGCAGCCTGTGGCTGCTCACTGTTAAAAAAAAAAAAAAAATAGGGTCCCCCCTCTCGAGCCCCCACACACGACATGCGAGTGTTTTTTTTTAAACTAAAGCCTACCTATTGCCCCCCCCCGTCCCCCATACCTGAGCGGCAGGTGGGGGCCCTAAAGTAAAATGATGGGGGGGACCTATTGTCCTCCCCCCGGCTCCCACCCCTGAGCGGCGGGTGGGGGCCCTAAATACTAATAAGGGGGGGGACCTAATGTCCTCCCCCTGGCCCCCACCCCTGAGCGGCAGGTGAGGGCCCTAAATTAAAATAATGGGGCGGGACCTTAAGTCCTCCCCCCCTGGCCCCCACCCCTGAGCTGCAGTTGGGGGCTCTAAATACTAATAAGGGGGGGAGACCTAATGTCCTTCCCCTGGCCCCCACCCCTGAGCAGCAGGTGGGGGCCCTAAATACTAATAAGGGGGTGGGACCTAATTTCCTCCCCCCTGGCCCCCACCCATGAGCGACGGGTGGGGGCCCTAAATTGGAATAGGGAGGGACCTAATGTCCTCCCCCCTGGCCCCCACCCCTGAGCGACGGGTGGGGGCCCTAAATTGGAATAAGGGGGGGACACCTAATGTCCTCCCCCCTTGAGCTGCGGGTGGGGGCCCTAAATTGGAATAGGGGGGGACCTAATGTCCTCCCCCCTGAGCGGTGGGTGGGGCCCCTAAATACTAATAAGGGGGGCGACCTATTGTCCTCCTCCCTGGCCCCCACCCCTGAGCCACAGGCTGCTCACTGTTTAATGGACATGCCCCTACTCGCGGTATAGCGAGTAGGGGCATAATTTACTAATACTAAGTAATCTTTACTTAGTATTAGTAAATTTGTCTGAAAGACCAATTTAGGTCTTTCAGCCTTTTAGTAGATAGCTCCCTAATATCGTGGGAATTAGGGAGTTATCTACTTATTTATTCCTGTCATTACATTGACTGGCTAAGTAACTTACATTTTATATGAATGTGTGTTACTTGATTGTTGTAAGTGTTGCAAATGCTTACAGCTGAATCCTGGCTGTGTTTGTATATTTTTTATTTAAAATTGTATACAATGTAACATTCTTCTTCTTTCACTGGGTAAGTATATTAGTACTTAGGCAATACTGTGCTTCAGAACTTCGGAACCTCAGCAAATTGGCAATTCGGACATTCGGAAGTACCTGAATGTCCGAATTGCCCGAAATTTGTCTGAATTCATATTCGGACCGAAATGAATTGCACGTGTCTACTATGCAAGGCCCAGGCAATATATAGTTGTTTTTTAACTTTAATATGTCTTTTTATAAGTGCAAAATGAAAATGCCTTTGGGTTAAAGGAACACTCCACTGCCCAAATTGGCAAAAAAAAAAGTTTATATAATTGTTTAGTACATATTCACCCTGATGAATACATGCATGCATTTTTTAAACATCTATTCATTGGGGGTATATTTTAAAAGTTCTTTGATCTGCAGCCTTTGCAAGCCCTCCCCTTTTCCCCCAAAAGAGACTTTTAGTGTCTTAACAGGTAAATAGCCTATCAGAGGATTCTCTTTGAGATTTCCCAGGATCACATGCAGAGTGTTCAGGGTCTCCAAGCAGAGAGTGGAGATGCCAAAGTTTAATGAAAAACTGCAGGGCCGCATCCAAGAAGTCCCTCTAGTGGCTTTCTGAGTGACAAACATCTCTCCTGGGGACCTGTCTCACATTTTGAAATGTCAGTAAATTTAAAAATGCAAAAGGGGACTCGGCACTTAAGATCACGGAGATAGCTCTTCCGCAGGTGGCAGCTGTAAGCAGCCTAAGAAACACTAATAAAAACAATAAGTGATCTAAGAAACACTACCTAAAATAATAAGTGTCAGTCAGCCTAGCCACTTTTTTTAGGGGCTATCCTGCACCTTGACAGACAACCCCCTTCTCTGCATAGTGCCCTGTGCAGCCTGCTCCCTCTCCCTGACAATCTCTGTCCAAGAAGGTGGGCATGGATGATTGGTAGGTATGTACTAGTGGTGACCGGCAGGCTGGCAAAATGTAAGCATTGTCCTTTCTCAGAAAAGGCAATTTTTGCATTGCTGACCATGCAGGGACACTTAGCCTCTATCTGGTCTTCCCTGCTTCTCTGCAAGAAATAAAGACTATAGACACTGTCGGGTTTCAAACACTGTCTTACCTAAGGTGTATGTATCTGGCTGAAGTATCCTGTTATATACTAAAGGTAGAGATTAGTTTTTTCCTTTTTTAACATATTCTTAAAAACAAAAAAAAAACGTTTATTCCCTTTCAGAACTTGATGAAATTATTCATTGATATAAAAAACAAAAGATTTTGTTGTGACAGTTATCCTTTAAAAGATACCGATCATTGCTATTTTCACTTGGCCACTTTTGAAAGAGCATAAAATTCTGTGTACACTTTGTGCTAGCAGATATATAACTTGGGAGAAAAACCTATTTAAAAATGGGTTTTTATTCCACTACTCAGTCAAATCTTCGGCTTAGACTCTATGCCGACAATCTGACTAACAAGTGAGAGCAGAAAAGACAGGTGGTCCTTCTGCTCTCCATAGATCTCAACCACAGCGCATGCTGTGGTAGCTCCCTAGCTGAAACACTAGCACTGGCTGAGAAGAAATGCGTTCAGACACCGGCAGGCTGGCAAATTAACCCAGCATGTCAGCATCATAAAGGAGGCTTGCAGTGCGTAGGGAAGAAAACCCCAAACAGGGCAAATCATGTAAATTAGCAGGCAGACAGAGATGGGTGTTACATGAAAAGTGGCGAAGCTGGAATGGAGGCATGTTGAGTAAATCTAAATATTTTACATTGAATACATATATCTCTTTAACACATAATGTATTTCATGTATTTAGGGGGGGATTTAGCTAAAGGTGAACATTACACTTTACAAGTTAATTACATGCAGTGGTTCTGGTGCATTGAGTGTCCCTTTAATGCTGGTACTTCCTATTTGTCCTCTGACACAGATTTGTTTTGTAAGCTAAGTAGCATTACTGTTTTGGAATTTAATAGCTACAAGATTTCAGTCACACTTAGTTTCAGTCATTTGAAGCATGAAGGAAACCATTTACTGTTACATAAAAGGCTTAAATTACACAACTAGTGCCACCTGCTGACAGCAAACTGTAACAGCTGTAATTTTTCACCCCTGAGATAAAATACAGTATTATTTACCAAACTGACAGCTATGTAATGCAGCCTTTTTGTATGGCCACTCATCAGGGCCAGCCCAAGACATTAAGCTGTCTGGGTCCAAGAATGAAATGCTCCCCTCTCCCCCCGCTTTGCACCAAAAGCACGCCAACATCCATTGTGTTATGCAGCGTTTGTAGTGAATGCTATGTCTGTTTATGTGGTGGATGCAGTGTGTATACCATATTTAGTGTGTAGTGAATGCAGCGTGTGTGTTCAGTGGAAGCTGCGTCTGTGTGTCGTGGATGCTGCATCTGTTATTGGGCCATGGATGTAGTGTGTATTGTATGCAGTGTGTGTATTGAATATATTGTCTGTGTGTGTATACTGAAGGCAGTGTGTGTAGTGCATGTAATGTGTGTGTAGAGTTGGATAAATGCTGGTGGGGGTGAGCAGTTTAAATTAAATTGGGATTATCCCCCCTTCCTTACCTGTGGGCTGGAATGGCGGGACAGTGTGTAGGAAGGTGACAGTATAGGGGGAACAGTGTGTAAGAAGGTGACAGTATATAGGAAGGTGAAAGTGTGGGGGGAGGTGAAAGTGTAGTGTATAGGAAGGTGAAAGTGTGGGGGGCAGTGTGTATGAAGGCTGTGGGGTCAGGGTGTGGTGGTGACAGTGTGGGGGTCAGGGTGTGAGAGTGACAGTGGTGGGAGGCAGGATGTGAGGATGACGGTGGTGGAGGGAAGGATATGAGGGTGACAGTGATGGGTGGCCGGATGTGAGGATGACAGCATGGGGGCAAGATGTGAGGGTGACAGTTCTGGGGGCAGGGTTTGAGGGTGATAGTTGGTGTGCAGGATGTGAATGTCCAGTTGGGGGGCAGGACATTAAGGTGAAAGTGGTGGGTGGCAGGATGTGAGGATGAAAGTATGGGGGCAGGATGTGAGGGTGACAGTGGTGGATGGCAGTGTGTGGAGGTGACATTGGAGGGCAGGGTGTGAGGGTGACAGTGGGGGGGAGGTCAGGGTGATAGTGACGGGGTGACAGTTGGGGTGTATTCGCAGACGGTTCCCCTATTTACCACTATAATGTCTTAAAGCATAGAATTTAGCAGGGTTAACCATACAGATATCTTAGCCATAATTGTATATAGTTAGTAAGAGTTCGCCTATTTAAAATATATAAATAATTGAGAATACAATATAAAATAGGGATTGTCTTGAAAGCAATAAAGTTTTGTCTTTTAAGTATTTTATTAAATAAATATAGACATATAACATCAATAAAATAAAGCAGAGTTTATAAGATTAAATTATATGCTTGCGGGGGCGGAGCTAGCCAGAGACAGAAGCAGACGCACATGCTAAGAGTTCCTGCGAGAGCATCGATTTATACAAGCATGTATCTGGTAATTCATAAAAAAGTGTCAGCGCTATATATGATAGCTTTGCAGTGGGCAATCAATTAGGATGTGAAAAATCACTAACTTATCCCTGTGATTCAGTGGTATATATATTATCACCTCTATGCATCACATCAAGTTAGATTATGCACATAAATATATTTGAAAACTTGCTTAAGAGTCCAAAAGTTCTGAATGGGAGTCTTAGAGGGTTAATCCTGTGCTGCAGCAAAATTGTAATATCTGTAGATACACTGTGGTTCAATGTAGCTTGTACCGTAAAAAGATACAAAAAAAACTTTTCATAGTGTAAAACTGCATTTATTAGTATAAAAGAAAATTGCCTTCCCCCAAATAGAAACCCTTACATTGGCAAGTGGTGAGACTTGTTTCCAAGATATCACAAACACATTAAGCAGAATCAGAGACTGAGCAGCCGTTTACCATCCACTGTTCTCTGTAGTACAAAACTCCAGCCCGATCTCAGCGCTGATGTGTTAGAGTATAACGAGTACACTGGAGATCTTTGTGTGTGGTCTATGTGAGACAGGCTGTAGTCGTCAGACCTCTGTATCCTGAATGCCGATAACACTTCAACGCGTTTTGCCCGTTCTACCGGGCGTTTTCAAAATAGTGTATTGGCTTAAGTAAGACTTCTTAAATACACTTCCATCTGATCAGATTATAACGAACCGCTGATGGTATTGTACTATATGCATATTAAATGCAAAAAAAAGTTTTCTGTTTCAGAGCCTAGTGTCTTCTGACATATAATATTAAATTTCAACAACTGTACATTATCAAGCTTAACACACTTAAACATTCATAAAATCACTGGTAATAAAATAAACCTGGATAAAAATTGGAACTGTATTCATTATACATAGACTTGATATCAAGCTCGTATGTTAAAAGGTGAGAAATGCATTAATAAAATAAACATAAAAATACTGTGCAAGAATCATGTTACTCAATCCATATACATAAAGTAAAGTAAAATCAAGATAAACTTTGTTCAAAAACATCTTTGAAGATACATATATTGCTATAGATAAAAAGCAGCTACTTAATCCTTTCACTTCTGTTTTAAACAACTGCCGATATCCCCAATAGTGATATTTTCCAGTCTATAGCTGATTGACTGTTTCACAGTGCAGAATGCCGACATTATGATATACTGCCAAAATACATGCCTGCCGGATACCTCTTAGGTGTCTGCTGTATAAATATAGCCTCTATCAGTCATGATAAAATGGAGCAGAATTTCTGTCTCCAAAATCTCTCCTCTGTGTCCTAATATTAATAAGTACACATATTTATACCTTAGATGTTCAATTAGGTCATTTTACAACCTACCTTAACTTGAGAAACATACAGGGCCATAACTTGGTCATTTCATATAGGAACATCTTATCTATGTTCAGACTAAAACGTAAGGGTGCACACGACATGGGAAATTCCCTGACTTGGGGAATTACACTAACCTAGGACAAAATGGCGTCCTAAAGTCTGAACACCATATTCACTGAATATGGGTAAGAGGTAATTTATTAAAGAAACATTGTATGGCCGGACGGATTCTATGCTAGCACACTCAGACTTCAAATGAGCTTTTTCAGCCTGAAACTACTTACCAAGCAGCTTCACACAATCTGGGTGCCGACTAGCACTGAGTGGGAACGCGAGGATAACCGAGCTGAACTGCATCATCAGGATCTCGAGCTGCCTGGTTTCCCGGAGGAGGCGGCCACTCCCCTGGCGCGGGTCCAGCTCTTAATGGAATCCACCTTGCAGAACCGCAACCCCCTCCTCCCGGTTCCCACTGGGGATGCTTACTAATCCTCAACAGAGAGATCCCCCGATGGGCAGTCGACCACATGGTGCGCCCAAGATGCACCACAGGCTTTGCAACCACAGGAGCGCTATTATGCTTTGTGGGGGGGCAGGGTATGAGGGTGACAGGGTCACAGTGGGGGGCAGTGTGTGATTGTGACACTAGGTGGGCAGGGTGTCAGGGTGGGGCAGGGTGTGAGGATGACAGTGTCAGGGTAACAGTGAGGGGGGCAGGGTGACAGTGACAGGTGACAGTGTGTGGTAGGGTGTGAGGGTGACAGTTGGGGGGCAGGGTGTGAGGGTGACACTGGGGGGGCAGTGTGTGAGAGGGACAGTGGAGAGGTGACAGTGGAGGGGCAGGGTATGAGGGTGACAGTGACAGGATGACAGTGGAGGTGGAGGTGCAGGGTGTGAGGGTGACAGTGGGGGGAAGGGTATGAGGGTAACAGTGGGGGTGACAGGCTGTGATGTGGGGGAAGGCTGTGATCAGCCTCCCACATTCCCATACCTTTTTTTCAGTGCTCCCCATTCCCTGGTGGTCCAGTGGCTGGCTCTACAGGTCTTCATCTCTGCAGACCAAACTCTTGCAAGCTCCAAATAGAGCGTTGCTGTGGTAACTCGTGCCAAAGTACTGGGAGCTTGCGATCTTTCCATCACATGGTCTAAAGCTCTGCACACAGCAGAGCTGCAGACCGGAGGCTCCCCCTGGGCAGACTGATGGACAGGCCCAGCGGCACACATGGCAAGCCGAAAACCCCTTCCTGGTGTTGGGTCCTCGGACAATGACCAAATACCCAACTGATTAGTCCACGGCAGAGCTGCAGACCGGAGGCTGCCCCTGGGCAGTCTGATGGACGGGTCCAGCAGCACACATGGCAAGCCGACAAGCCCCTTCCTGGTGTCAGGTTCTCGGAGACTGACCAAGGACCCAACTGATTAGTCTGCCCCAGGGTTTAGAGAGCCAGCCTGTGGTGGCAAAATGCTGCCCCTGTTAAAGTGCCACCTGGGGCCATTGCCCCAGTCCATCCTATGGATGGGCTGGCCCTGTCACTGATAGTAAGTATTTTTCCTGATAAATCAATGGCAGCATCACTAATGGGTAGCTATTCCCCTTTTGGCTTCCAGGACAGGATAACATATGTACATATATATTTTTTATTTTCTCCTTTTTTCTCTTAAAGGACCACTCTAGGCACCCAGACCACTTCAGCTTAATGAAGTGGTCTGGGTGCCAGGTCCTTCTAGGGTTAACCCATTTTTTTATAAACATAGCAGTTTCAGAGAAACTGCTATGTTTATGAATGGGTTAAGCCTTCCCCCTAATCCTCTAGTGGCTGTCTCATTGACAGCCACTAGAGGCGCTTGCGTGCTTCTCACTGTGATTTTCACAGTGAGAGCACGCAAGCGTCCATAGGAAAGCATTGTAAATGCTTTCCTATGCGACGGGCTGAATGCGCGTGCAGCTCTTGCCGCGCGTGCGCGCGCATTCAGCCCAGGAGGAGGAACGGAGGAGGAGAGCTCCCCGCCCAGCGCTGGAAAAAGGTAAGTTTAACCTCTTTTCCCCCTTCCAGAGCCGGGCGGGAGGGGGACCCTGAGGGTGGTCCTTTAAACCTAAAGAAGATTACGTAAATAAACACAATAGAGTTAGGAATACAGATCTATTTTCCTATTCCAGTCACTACTCTTATTCAGGTGTCCACCCCCTTGCCCATTAAAAAGGGGTCCATTGTCCATTAAAAATAAATTAAAGATTTACTTACCTTTTTTCAGTGCTGAGGCTACCTTGGCTCTACTTACATCTCCGCCTTTTGCAACATCAAGGAGGAGGCATTGCCTCCTCTGCCAATGTCCAATCCAATGCTTTCCCATGAGGCTTGGGCATCACCAAGGCCGGCGCTACCATAAGGCGAATAAGGCCTGCAAGGGACTTCCACTGGGAGGTTTCTGGGTGGGCTGCTCCTGTGGGTGGGCAGCGGGCTGCTCCTGCCTGGGGCCAAAGTGCTGGGTAAATGGCTGTTTAGCCACCCCCCAGCGCATCCTATGCTCCCTCTGCCTCCCTGTTGCTGCAGTGCCGATCATCTGCTCAGGGAGAGGGGGTTTGTTGAACCCCCAGCATCCAAGCAGAGCACGCTGCTTCCTGCAGGCAGGAGAAGCCAGGATGTGACTTGGTATTCCAGCTGCCCTCTGCCTGTGAACACAGGAAGCCCTCTGGAGGGAGCAGGAAGCAGCCTGTGCTCACAGTGCACAGCCCTTCTGTTCCCCCAGGAACAAGGACAGATACCTGCAGGCTGAAAATTGGTGTGTGTGGTGAAACCAGCCTCGCCACTGGGCATTGGAGAAGACTGATTGCCAGCTTCCTGCCATGTGACTATGGCCCCTTGGATGTATTGCCCTTTAAGAAACTTATTTGGGCTTATTGGGTTTTGAAACACTTTTTCTGCCCCTTTGAATACATGGGAAGGTGTGCCCCTCCCCCTTTTCCTGTCTATTGTTCTCCAGCAGGGCGTTGTCCCAGGGACACTGCCAGACCAGTTGGAACTTTGTTTTGCCCCTCCTCTGTCTCTTATCAGCCCTTGCTCTGGTTTAAGGCGATTTGACTGTTTGTGGGATCTGAGCGCTGTTTAGATATATTGAGCGCTCAGATCCAAGCCATCTGGGGATAGGTTGAATGTGGGGGTTCTGTTCAGTATGATAGGAATTATGTATTTTTGCTGTTGTTGTGAATAGAGAAATTTTCTGTACCTGGAGATAGTTGGCTTACCACACCCAGTTAAGCCAATTATCTCCAGGATAGAGGACTCTGTGGAACTGGTTTTGGCTGGAAAGCCATGCTTCAGTGGTCACAAAGGACTTCGATCTAACTTTTAAACCAATGGAAGGAATTGATTTTTGAGTATGTTTGTATTTGGAGTATGCTGATTCTGAAAATGTAAGTTTTATGTGAATGTGATGTATTCCTCGCTGAGTAAAATTGGAGCTGAATTTCGGCTTCACAAAGCACTGACAGACAGGCATGCTGACACACACAGACACGTACACTGACACACACAGACACTGACAGACAGACATGCTGACACATAAACTAACAGACATACTGACACACACAGACACTGACAGACAGACATGCTGACACATACATACACATACACTGACACACACAGACATTGACAGACAGACTGAAAGACATACTGACACACACACAGATACTGACAGACAGACATGCTAACACACACAAACACATACACATACACTGACAATCATACTGACACACACACAGACATTGACAGACACATACACTGACAGACAGACATGTTGACACAGACACTGACAGACAGACATGCACATACACACAAAATGTACACTTTTGTACATGATTCCTACCTTGCCTGGCTCAGCCCCGCTCCTCTCTGCTTCCTTGCTGTCTCCCACTTGGCTCTCTGTGGGAGAAAGTGACAGCCACAAGTCACTTCCTCCCATAGAGAACAGAGCCCAGCTGGCTACAGGAAAGCAAGAGGCCCGGTGGCGCTGTTAAAGGGCCAGAGCGCGCGACCTGCCCCTGCTTACAAATGCCCACCAGGTGACCCTTAGTGAATGGGCCACCCGGTGGGCCTCCTTTGTGTGCCGTGGGCACTATTAAGAGCTTTGTGGCTGATTCAGAGCACAGACGGGTTTGTGCAGATAAAGGCACATTGAGGAAGATTTCTGCCAGATCCATGTATCGGATCAAGAGAGCAGCTGCTAAAATACCATTACATAGCAGCAAATAGATATTTTAAAATGCTGCTGGTGCCTCTGGAGTCCCACAGACATCAAGGTGTAGAGTCCTCCAGAGTCTTGCAACTGTGCATAAACCTTCTATTCGGCCACCACTAACCAATGCTCACAAGCAGAAACAGCTGCATTGGGCAGAAAAATACATGAAGACTAATTTTCAAACAGTCCTGTTCACTGATGAGTGCCGTGCAACCCTGGATGGTCCAGATGGATGGAGTAGTGGATGGTTGGTGGACGGCCACCCTGTTCCAACAAGGCTGCGACGTCAGCAAGGTGGTGGTGGAGTCATGTTTTTGGCCAGAATCATGGGAAGAGAGCTGGTCGGCCCCTTTAGGGTCCCCGAATGTGTAAAGATGACCTCTGCAAAGTATGTAGAGTTTCTGACTGATCACTTTTTTCCCTGGTACAGAAGGAAGAACCATGTTTTCTGTAATAAAATCATCTTCATGCATGACAATGCACCATCTCATGCTACAAAGAATACCTCTGCATCAATGGCTGCTATGGGGATAAAAGGAGAGAAAGTCATGGTGTGGCCTCCATCCTCCCCTGACCTCAATCCTATTGAGAACCTTTGGAGCATCCTCAAGCAAAATATCTATGAGGGTGGGAGGCAGTTTACATCCAAACAGCAGCTCTGGGAGGCTATTCTGACATCTTGCAAACAAATTCAAGCAGAAACTGTCCAAAAACTCACAAGTTCAATGGATGCAAGACTTGTGAAGCTGCTATCAAATAAGGGGTCCTATGTTAAAATGTAACGTGACCTGTTAAAATGTTTAAAAAGTTAAAATGTTGTTAAAAGTTTGATTGAAATATCTTTTGATTTCAGTAAATATGCTGCAAACACAAGAAATGACAATTTTCAGTTCTTTACAACCTATAAAGTGTTTTGAAACTTACTGTGCGTAAGAATTTGGAACAGTGCATTGTAAGTTTTTTATGTTTAAAAAAAATACTGTTATCATTAGGAGGTTTGTTCAATAAAATTTGAATTGTACTCTTAATAGTTGATAACATGAGAACTATGCTGACTGTTATTTACATCAATTATTTAGGTAAATTAGAAAAATATCAATTGCATAATTATTTGGAACTGGGTGTAGAACTAAATTTTTCCAACAATTGAGGATCGTTTTGCCGTTTATGTACTCCAATATTTGCTCTTATAACTATGTTGTTTTTTTGTTTTTTTTTGGTGTCTAGCTGTTTTTTTTTATTCTTTATTTTTGACATGCATAGCACAGTCAAAATATCATCACATACATTGTGAATTCAAGAGAAAAAAGTTATAGCTAGTAAACAATGTAGATATAGATAAACTGCACACAATTTTTTTTTGTTTTAGGTTAAATGGGCAAGCAAAATTAACATTTTTAACTCACTGAGAGTGAGTTAAAAGAAGCTGAGTAGCTTTAGTAACATGCTAAAATAAAAATATATGTGACCCTGGGGATCCTGCACCAAAGTGAGAGCTATGAAATGAACATTTCTTAGGGAGCAGGAGGCTAATGGGAATGCATAGTGAAAAACATCAAATAATAATAAACAAGTTAATAATAAACATAAAATGCTAATTAAAGGCTTGGTAGTGAGCGACAGAGTCAGCATAAATTATACAATGCCCTCCAATGGCATAGCCCAACTGCGCTTCTGCTGCCGGTGAATACCACAGCCCCAGCCATGGCCAGAGCAGCATCCAGATGGTGTGGAGGAAGAGGCTGGCTGAGGGCATTGGTACCATACGCGGTGTATTGGCCTCCCTGGTGACTGCAAGATGCTCTTAGGTGGGTCATGCATTGTGACAGTTGCACTGGGGTGTGTCCGACACTGCATCCCTATTCGGGCTAGCTCTCGAACTGGAGCCGCGTGTTGGAACCCTGCTGGTAAGTTCTGGGATGGGTGGTCAATCCGCTCCCGACTCACAATTAGGCAGATGCGCCGTGTCAGATAGTCTCAAGAGTCCACAGAGACCTTGGTAAGCAAAGGGAAATCAGCATGCTCTTTGTGGTTGGACACACATGCAGCATCCGCCATTTTAGGTTAAGCTTCTCTGCAGCTCTGGGTTGTTATTAGCGGTGGGACCCCTGAGGCGAGGACCGGGATCACCCACACCGGTCCAATGGGGAAGGAACAGGGCCAGCACCGTGTGGGACCGAGGATCCGATCTGCCGCAATTGGGCAGAATAGCAGAGCGGCCGTCCACCCCTCACTGTCAGAGTAGGCCTCAGCCGCGTGGACCAAGGATCTCCCTCCCAGAGGCAATTTTCAGGCTCAGCCTCAGAACCAGAATTGCTCCGCAACTTGGACCATAGTTTCCAGGGGTTACAAGGGCAAGTTAATCGCTGTGGTGAGCTTAATAGTTGAAAGACTGCAAGAGCTGCTTGTTCTTGCATCCACACAGCATGGCGGGCCGGCCCCAGTCTTGCGCACCGAAGTCAACCAGACCATTTCATCTTAATGAAGTGGTCTCGATGCAGTGGTCCTGTCCTAAGAAATTGCAGTGTTTACATTGCAAGGTTAAAGGACCACTATAGTCACCCAGACCACTTCAGCTCAATGAAGTGGTCTGGGTGCAAGGTCCCCCAGGTTTTAACCCTGCAGCTGTAAACATAGCAGTTTCAGAGAAACTGCTATGTTTACATTGCAGGGTTAATCCTGCCTCTAGTGGCTGTCTTCCTGACAGCCGCTAGAGGGACTTCTGCGATGCTCAATGCGAAAATTGCATTGAGCACGCAGAACATCCATAGGAAAGCATTGAGAAATGCTTTCCTATGGGCGTTTTTAATGCGTGTGTGGCTCTGGCCGCGAATGCGCATTTGGCTCCATTCGAGAGCTAACGTCGGAGGGGGAGAAGAGGTCACTAACGCCGAGGGATCCCAGCGCTGGATAAAGGTAAGTGACTGAACGGGTTTTAACCCCTTCAGCCCAGCGGGAGGGGGGACCCTAAAGATTATATAGTGTCAAGAAAACAAGTTTGTTTTCCTGACACTATAGTGATCCTTTAACTCCATCTCTACTAGCTGGCTACCTACAGTGTTTCCTTGGCATTTATGTGACATTGAAGCCTATTGGAAGGCATTGAATACAACGCAGTCAGGATGGGGTAACCCAAACGCACAGAGAATAGGGAAACAGTAGCTAGTATGAAGTAATATAAAGAGTTAGAAACTTATATTAGACTTTAATGGCCCAGCCTTAATGTGTGTGATAGGCAAAAATACATTTTCAGAATGTAAGCTAATGTCAAGGATTCCAGAAATACTCCTAAGACAACCTGAACTTGGAGTTGGAGAACGCCGCACAGCCTCCGATTTGGAGGTAGCAGAGAGCACTGTACTCAGCATGACAGGAGCATTACGGGATGCTGAACTTTGAAGCTGCTGCATGGCTCCCACTGGTGTCTGCAAGTGCAGAAAAATGCTTTCCTATGGGAATGCTCACACAGCTCTGTTACACATGAACGTCAGGTCCTCAATGACCCTTTACGAGGAAAAATCCAACACAGTTAGATTACAACACAGCAATGGCTTAAGTGTTTAACACTTTTAAAATAAATAACAAGTAGAAATGATGATGCAAAATTTTACATCTTGTGCAATTACAAAATGATTTTGAACAACAATGAATCTTCGCAAGATGTTACAGAATTTTTCCAATTTAGCCCCCAAATTTTACATTTGCTTTAAATCAACTTTGAATTTCCCAGAATTAAATCTTTACTGAAAACCCTGATAGTGTATTCCTGAGTGCAACATTATTGGCTTTACCATGTAGGATCAGTAAAATGTCTTTAAATACAAAATCTAATTGTACTTTAGTTTTTGTGTTTTTTTTGGTTGTAGCTTGTAATTTTGGATGATTTCAGCAAGGATCCAGCTATTAATGATAAGAAACAATATGCCGGATATCCAGACAAGTAAAAATGTATTTTGTCCTTCAAATTCAAGGAAGTACGCAGGAGCCAGCCAAATAGCCTAAAAGAAAAAGAAAAAAAGGTACATATATGTATGTTTACAGCTGCATTCACTTTAAAGGACCACTATAGTGCCAGGAAAACAAACTCGCTTTCCTGGCACTATAGTGTTATCTCAGGGTCCCACTCCCGCCGGGCTTTAGGGGTAGGACGGGTTAAACGCTTACCTTTCTCAAGCGCCAGGCTCCCTCGGGGCTGGGGACTCTCCTCCTTCTTCCGTCATCAGCTGAATGAGCAGGCACGGCAAGAGTGCGCATTCATTCAGTCCATAGGAAAGCATTTCTCAATGCTTTCCTATGGACGCTGGCATCTTCTTACTGTGAAAATCACAGTGAGAAGCGCCACTGTCAAGAGACAGCCACTAGAGGCTAGATTAACCCTTAAGTAAACATATCAGTTTCTCTGAAACTGCTATATTTACAGCTGCAGGGTTAACCCTAGATGGACCTGGCACCCAGACCAATTCATTAAGCTGAAGTGGTCTGGGTGCCTATAGTGGTCCTTTAACCAGGAATTGTAGTGAACAGGAAACAATCTGCTATATTCACATCTTGGCAACTTTAACCTAAATTTTACAGTCTTTTTTTTCTCTCTAAATTTGCATTATTTGATAAAATCCTGAAATCCAGTTTTCAATTCACTACAATTCACGCTTTAGTGCATAATTCGAGACCACATTGACAAACTCTGTGTCATTTACGTCTATGAACATGTTAGTGAAATGGACAGCCTGTCTGTTCATAGTGGTTTGAAAGCCCGCCCACTAGTTTGTGTAATGAAATTAATAAAGTGTGTGGTATTGTCTAAAAAGAAAGACAAATTAACTGACTTTAAGGCACTGGAAATGTTTGAAATAATAATAATAAAAAAAATGTGAATAGTAGCTGCAACCTTAAAAGTGCAATAACAAAAACACTTTAAAAAATCAACACTATGTATGCAATCTATAATCAACTAGATAAAGTATTAAAACAAACTCAAATATAGATCTGATTTACAAAAACACCTTTAAACCAACACGGTATTAGAAATGTGATCATATAAACAGAAAAGTCATAAAGCACGCTTTTTACAAGCCAAACGTGATTATGAGGGCACTACAATACACCTATAAAGTAGTGTAGTGTTCTGTGTGTTCACTTCCAACAAACAAACAAACTTTCATATAATAAAATAAAAACACTATCTATATTATATAATTATAACATTGTTAAACACAGATCTGCACACACCAGTCAAGCCATAAAACTTGCTTTTCCCACAGAAATCTCATATGTGCAGTGCCGTTACTACTGCAAGGGATTCTGTGTGGGCAAATGCAAATTAGTTAAACAAACAAACAAACAAAAAAATCTAATCTTTGCCCCTTATTCCACTATATACATAGATTTTTTGGAGTATATGTCTGCTGTACACAACAATTTTGAAACATAACTCAGGAAGAGGAGCAAAGCCAGATAACCACTCATGGACAGCTCTTTCATTGTTAATGCAACTCATTAGCATGAGGTTGGTAACTGGCTTGCTATTGACGCTTGGCGTGACCTGCAGAGGATCTGTGCGTGCTAGCACTACGAAGCCGATGGCAGTACCCCGCCCCCCCCTCACCTGATGTCCTCTACTCAGCCAATCCTCCCCGAATCCACTTGTCAGTTGTAAAGTATCAGGCGGATGAGAGAAATGTGCCTCAGCGGAGGACAGTTCCAGTTATATAGTTTGTTTAGACATATCTCAGAAGCCAAGGGTCATAATATTATTTCCAGTCTAGTATTTAATACCTCTGTCACTGGACTCACTCTTTTCTGGCTATAAATGTCAACATGTGATGAATATGTGGTTCCTAATTTATAACATTTTTAGCACCATTAATAACAATAAAGAAGAATTGATATATTTCTGCCAGTGACAAATTACCTGACCAAAAAACCATAAAATGAGTAGAAATAATCCCCGTCTCCATAATATTTTCAGGCCAGGCATCACAAGAGGCAACAAGCAGAGGTACCACAGGAAATACTATAAGAAGAAACAAAGAGATAAGGTAAGGATTTATAATAGCCCATTCTTAGTGGCAGGACTATATGCATATAGAAGGAATAAAGACTCCTGTTGTAACAGCATTTTCGCCTGCCATCTAAAGCAGAAATTCCAATTTAGTTGCTCAGGTGTACTTAGAACTATTACCATGGCTCACCCTCCCCTTACAGTTGTCATGCATTCTGTGCATGTATGTGTGTTGCAAAACCATCATGTGTTCACTATTAACCCCTTAAGGACTGAGCCAATTGTACAAGTTGTGATCAAATCAAAACGTAAACAAAACCTTGAATTTGCGCTATATGTCTGTTCAGGTGTAATTCACCTCTTTCATATTATGTGTATCCACACTTACCATATATCATTTTGTTCAGGAGAAACAAGGCTTTCATGCCACATTAAATATGTGTATATTAAGCATAATTTAATATGAATAACATTTAAAAAAAAATTTGAGAAATTAAGAAATTTGGTAATTTTTTTTTATTTTGCATGGCATTTTAACTGTGAATCTCACAATACTGTTAGCTGTTACTGCAATAAAGTACAGATATTTGTATTCAGCAATGTCTCATGGGTAAAACAGTTCCCACTATGTACAGGTTTTTTGGTGTTTATACACATTGAAATTTGCCAGACTGGTTATGTTGCCTTTGAGACCAAATGGTAGCCCAGGAATGAAAATTACCCCCATGATGGCATACCATTTGCAAAAGTAGGCAACCCAAGGTATTACAAATGGGATATGTCCAGTCTTTTCTAGTAGCCACTTAGTCACAAACACTGGCCAAAGTTAGCATTCATATTTGTTTGTGTGTGAAAAATGCAAAAAAACTAAATTGAACGCTAACATTGGCCAGTATTTGTGATTAAGTGGCTACTAAAAAAGACTAAACATATCCATTTGCAATACCTTGGGTTGTCTACTTTTACAAATGGTATGCCATCAAGGGGGTAATTCTTATTCCTGGGCTTCCATACGGTCTCAAAGCAACATAACCAATCTGGCAAATTTCAATGTGAAAAAAAGCAAATTCAAGCCTTATATTTGAATCAATAACTTTTGAAAAACACCATAAAACCTATACATGGGGGGTACTCTTATACTTGGTTGACTTCGCCGAACACAAATATTAGTGTTTCAAAATAGTAAAACATATCACAACAATTATATTGTTAGTGGAAGTACCGTGTGTGTGTGAAAAATGCAAAAAAATGAATTTTTACTGACTATATCATCGTTCTGATATGTTTTAGTGTTTTTAAACGCTAATATTTGTGTTCAGTTAAGTCTCCTGAGTAAAACAGTACCCCACGTGTACAGGTTTTATGGTGTCCTAGAAAGTTACAGGACAGTTAAATATAGGGCTTGCGAGCCAAATTCTCTGGACTTTCAGCCTGGGTTGTCGGGTAGGTCCCTCAAATTGTAATTAATAAAATGACTTGATTATGTGAAAATATTATATAAATATATTTGTAGAATTTAAATATATATATATATATATATATATATATATATTACACAAGATCCAGCGCACTCACCTATCCACTAAACAGCAACTTCAATGTTGAAAGATTTTGTTTTTTTAAAAACACCTAATCTAGGCAAAAATAATGGGGGTTTAGTTACATTATATGATCATACATTGCATAAGCCTGCCACAACGTCAATGTACCCCATCTTTGGCAGGTCCTACACTAACAGCCTAATGTCTGCTCTTATGAGATTAACCTACTTGGGGAAAAAAATTCCATCTGGGGAGTCTAGCCAACTCCTTGGTTTTGCACCCCTCCCTGTCACAGGTGCCTCATCCCAGGGTCCTATTTAGCCTTGTACTGCAGAGAGCAGTACAAGGCTAAATAGGACCCTGGGATGAGGCACCTGTGACAGGGAGGGGTGCAAAACCAAGGAGTTGGCTAGACTCCCAAATATATAAAACAAGAGGGGGTTGGCTGCGCTCACCTGAACATGCATAAATGGGGGTGCTGCTGGGGGCCAAATAACTTGTTTTGCAGTCATTAGGGGGACTTCCTGAGAGCTCAGACAGGCCCCCTGCAGGCACTGCATAAGCCGGCTATTCCGGCCATGTGATCGCAAGGATCCCACAATCACATAGCTGGGGGTTGAGGGGGCAGATCGGGCAAAGGGGGTCTACCTGAGCTCCCAGGCAGATCCCAGGATCGCGACTGATGTCGGGGGAACAGTAAGTACAAAGGATGGCGAGGATGTTCTATGCTGCCCGCCGGCGTTTAGGACCGCCCCAAAAAGGACGGCATAGTGTGTCCGCCGTCCTTAAGGGGTTAATGGTTAATAAGTATGTAGGGGTTTAGAAAAATATCCCTCTCTCTCAATAGAGATTTTACCTATTATCTGAAAGCAGCAAGGCAAATTGTTAGTGTAGGACTCACCTAAGAGGTTTTGCCTTGACAAGCTTACACTTGTGTAACCCAATTTCCCATGTTTAACCCATTAGTGGACATGTTCTTACTAGTAACATGGTGAGTGGGGCCATTATGGGGGTTTAAACCTCTTTTATACTAATGTTGGCATCATATTGAACCCCGTAAAATTTAATAAGTGTGTAGGGGTTTAAAAAAAATACCCTTCTCTCTCTCAGAGATATTTTAGCATTTTAGACAGCAAGGTGAATTGCATGTGTTGGACTCACGGAAGAGGTTTTGCCTTGACATGGCAGGTGAGCTTATACTTTAATTGCCATTGGAGTAATACTAAAAAAAAACCTGGTTTGCTTACCTGTGAGGTGCACACTTTGTTGAAGCTTACGAAGATTGCAGTGTGAAGAAAACAGCAGAACGTTAAGTCTTTGTAGAAAGCAAATGAGACAGCTATTAGCAGCAGCAGCTGAGGCAGGAAAGCTGCCAAACCAAGAGTAAAACTCCAATCATTTTCAGCAGTTAGATACAACATGTAGAAATATGGGGAGAAATTGTGATGAATATCCCTCCTGGTTAAGTGGTACAAGTATGTATGCTCAAGGAAATCCCATCCATAGCTACGTAGGAAGAAACATAAAAAATGTGTTGGTAATTATTATTTTATGATTTATATAGTGCAATCAAATTCCGTAGCGCTATGAACATATACATGTTCAGAGATACCATATTCCCTTTGTAAGTGAGGTTTTTTTCTGAGATTCCACCTACACAACTAAAGAAGGGAATTTTTTTTTTTTCTTAAATAGATTTACTTTCAGTCCTGGTTATTAAATGCCTCATATGTCTAGGACTAAATCTTTGTAAATTTGGGGCTGCTGAGATTTCCATTTTGATAGTAGTCACATAATTTAAAACCGCTATATATATATTTGAAGAAGGGAGGCCCCAAGGGTGTCATTAATTCAGAGCATTAGACACTTCAGTTATTATTATTATTTTTTCACCAACCAGTGCTAAATCTGTTGGTTACATTATTTATTTATTCCCCCCCCCCCCACACACACACATATTTCATGGGAATTTCATAGATAGTGTCCCTTTAAGAATTGTACTTTTGTTGTTGAAAGTAATGTTTTGTTAGTTTAAAAAAAGTCTGGCTGCTAACTTTTTTTTAGCTGGCTCCTAATTCCAAGCAAATTCCTGCCCCATGCCATTTGCAAATAAAGATATCTATTTAATATGGGGTGTTTTGAGTCTTAACTTGGCACTTTCAACAACAATTTGTGCCAAATATAGTGGTACTTGTTTGGTTTTCTCATTATATATGAATGGTGAGTTTATCATGCCATGTTTGTTCTACTACTTAAAAGTAGTACAGCTATAACCTTCATGTATACCATTGGCAGATCTTTGTGGTACTTATAGGGTCAAATAATGTACATGGTCGAATTGTGACATGCCTTTTTCCTTATTTCCCGGAGATGCTATTTGGTGAAGTAACACTATCTGTTTCTGGGAGGTCTCTCTCTCTTTCTCTGAACAAATTTTGTTGAGATCATTAATGAAGCCACTGGCCATGGCTGAATGCAGTCATTTAGGCACAATAACTTATCAGGCTGTGTTTAGCCCTTAACTAGTCAATACACTGACAGAAGGCAACACTATGTATTAAATGATACCAAGGTCTTAATAATCTAGCCCTGCTAGTACATATGTTCCAAGCTGTTTTCAGACATTAAAGGAACACTATGGTCAACATAACCACTTAATCTCAATGTAGTAGTTATGATGTCTGGAGTCCCTTGGCACCATCTTACCATAGTTTAACACAGACCAGATGGGCGTCACACATTAGAAAGTCAGGCAGCAAAGGGTTGGCAGTGATAGGCTGATGGTGTCAGGAAATACATTTACTCATGATGCACGGATAATGATAGGTTGAAAGCATGATATATAAACGTCTATTCCTAGCACTATAGTGTTGAACTAGCTATTTAAGTCCCCTGCCCTAGTCTGAATCCAGTAAAAAGGTTTTAAAACATACCTTTTCAATATCACGGCGCTGGCCTCGCTGTGGCTGGCCATGCCTCCATGGCTAAGATCATCAATCTTAATGATCTCTGCCAATCCAAAGCTTGCCCATAGGAAAGGACTGGAAGGCTATTGTGCATGCACGGCAAAGCACCATGCTGTGACATTCAGCATCTCCTCATAGAGATGCACTGATTCAATGCATCTCTATAGTGAGTATTTAGAGTCTCCAAGCAGAGTGTGAAGATGCTAAACATAGGTGCTGCACACAGTGCAGTACTGAAATGGGAAGCACCTCTACTGGCAGGCTGAGTGACTGCCACTAAAGGTGTAACTAGGCAGCAATGTAAACACTACCTAGGCAGCAATGTAAACACTAGGCTTCATTGCTGAGCCTGCAGGAACCAGAACCTCTACATTAAGATGTAGTGGTTTTAATGACTATAGTGTCCCTTAAAATATAAGCATTTGATGAGAGGCATCAGGCAATTGTCTTGGGACACCTCTTCTGTGTTAAACAGTTCAAAAACTATTTCAAATTAGACAGTGCCAGGGAATGCAGACACCATATCCACTTCAGTATGATTAAGTGGTTATGGTGTCAACTTTTAAAGCCTTGAACAGTAAGTTGGCATAAAACCATAGGCAGTCAAAAAAGAGTTTAAAATTCCCGTACCTTACCTGAAATAAAAGGTGACGGCCCATATGGCAAAAGTCAAAACGGTAACAGTACCAAAGATCAGAAGATCACGATTCAACAGTCGAAGGAAAAACTGCCAGGCACTTTGTATCCATTGGTATTTCAATTTTGAAGTAACTTTATTCTTGCTGTCAAGAATGTTTCTTGTTTGCAGTGACAGTGCAATAGGCAGCAGGTAAGTGACAGGGTAAACTTTCATGTGCACAGAAAGACCATAGACAAGAGCAGCCTTCACAAGCTGTCGTTTCTGAAGGTAGTACAATGCCAAAATGACAAGCACTGCTAAAATAGACTCTGCATTTCCCCTGCTGGACACTGCCATGGGCAGTGGGTTAAAAAGCCAAAATGTGCTGTACATTGTGGCAGAGGAAGGTTCTAGTCCCCTTAGTTCAAGAATTGACCGCATGAGATATGTGGCAAACAGATCGCAAAACACAAACAGAAATTTGCCAAAAAGTTCAGTGAGGTATATGTTTGGAGTCAGGATCCAGGCTAATAATGGAGTGTAACGATATGTAGCTCTTTTATATGGAGAAAGTCCCTAGGAATGAAAGAGACATATTTCAGGTTAAGGGTTCTTATAAGGGATTATACAGGGATTTTATTACAAGTTTTTTCTTAAAGGGATACTAAGTACCAAAACCACTCCTTACTAAGTACCAAAACCACTCGTATTTTTAAGCAATGTTTACATTTGTCGGTCAACATGCCTTTAAAGGCTGTCAATAAGACAGCTACTAGATGCATGTCTCCACGACAGACTTGAATATTTGCATTTATCACATCCATCGTGATAAATAACCTTTTTTCTATGATGAGGAGCTAGTGATTGGATAGGAGCACCAGCTATCTGAATTATAGAAACTGGATGCCGATGTAGACAATGAGGAACGGCGCTGGAAAGCCAACATTGGGGTTAACATTTATTTTTAAGGGTTATTGCTACCAAAAAATGTTTTTTAAAAATTTTTTTGGGGGTGGAATAAAATGACATTCTGGGTACCATAACCACGTCATTCCAGTTAAGTGGTTATGGTATTTGGAGGTCCTGGGCTGTCTTACTTTATGGGGTTAAAGCATTCAAAAATGGGGTTAAACCTTTTTCAAATGCTTTAATTCCAACATTTTCTCAATTATGCTGTCCACCTGGCCTATCTGCCCTCCAGACATCATGTAGACTCACTGAGGTGAAATAGTTATGGTTATATAGTTATGGTCATTAAATGAATAAAGCCATACACTGCGATCAACATTTCTAGTCCTATGCCTGGTCTAAACGTTAGTCACCACAGCAAACCTGGAGGGTCCATTCTATACTAAGCAGCATGACCAGCATGAATTTTTAATCGAGAATGGCAAGTAAAAATTTTGAGCCCTGTTTTACATGTACAATTTCAAAGCATTTTAATTAAAATATGAAACTTGCATTACTTTAAAAGCCATGTTATTTTTCTAGATTGTAATTTATGTCAAGGACGTAAATACTAAAACATGAAAACTACTTGTAGATACTAAAGATGAAGTCATTTTTTAAAATGGATTTCACCTCTCAATTTGGTTTTCAAATACATTCCATATAAACTTCCAAATCTGTCAGCTATAGCTAGTCAGAACTGGAATTATTCTAGTTTTAAGTAAAGCCAGATGCTGTACTAAACTTATCTTAATAAAGCACACGTAAAGCAGACCAGATGGGCGTCACACATTAAAAAGTTATTTCATCAACAAATAGTGGTTAATGCCCGACAGGGCCTTCCTCAAGTCCACTCTGCTCTTCATTATTCGAGACAAAACCACTTACAATTTGGACTGGTAAATCTGTGACCTTTTGAGCATGTCTGATGAAATAAAAAGTTATTTCCCTTTTGCCCTTGAGAATGTTGTTGCTCATATGTAACAGTCAGAATATAAATTACATTTTGACTGTAGGGGTGTGTTTGTATAAAGTGTTGGCATTTTTAATGCAGGTGTTCATTTGTGTGTTGATGTTTGAATGCAGGGGTGTTTGTGTGTGTAGTGTTGGTGTTTAAATTCTGAGATGTATGCACATATATATCACTGCCTCGCACACAGATACACATACACACACACACACACACACATAGATACACAATGACACACATACAAATACACAGACACACAGTACACACTGACACACATACAAACACACATGCAGGTCATATTTTAGCCACCCTCCCACGTTTTGTTGACTAAAGCCAGGGCTTTTACTAAACTTCAAATTTTAAAGAATTAAATCACAATGGCAACATCGAGGCAAATATATTATTGCAATATTACTGGTGAATGTGAAAAAAAGTAAGTGAAGGAAAAAAAAATCAAAACCACAACAACCCCCCACCCCCTGCATCAAAGGCTAATGGATCTAAAACAAGTCAGATACACTAAGAACCTATGATTATTATGAAATTGTTTTGCTGTATTGGGGGGATTATCAGCAGCAAATTATGCACATTTTTTTCTTACCTTTGCCACAAAAAAATAATAATAATATATCTACAGGACTTTTTCTAAAACATGTTAGCCCCTGCAGGAACTTACACCCATTTTTGCTACTATTGATAAATGGAAAAACTTTGCTACATTACACACTGCCAGCACATGTCAAACACACACACTACAGAAAGACAGCAATCACACACACACACACAAAACGCACAGCCATCACATACCAAACACAGCCAAAAGACATCACACACCACATACAACCTGCGAACACGTTTTATGGAGCCGCGTATGCTCACATTACACACAATCAGTGCATACAAAATACACATTACATACTGCCAGCAAATATCACACGCTACACACTGTTTGCATACACTACACACAGCCAGCAAACATCACCTTACACACAGCCACCGCACTGGGCCAGTCTTAGGAGTCTGCGAGCTGTGCACCACACAGGGCGCCATGGCAGCAGGGGAGTCAGGCGGCTGAAAGCAGGGTCTACATTTGCCCCTTCTGTGTGGTTGTTACTGCAGCTGGCCACAGACAGTTTCATTGGTGGTGCAGTGTAACGCCCATATGAGAAGGAGAATACTCACTAGATTGTTCTGCCTCTCGTGCGGGTTGGCAGCTCAGTGGTATAGCTTAAAAGCTGCTTGCAAGTGAGGGAGGCTGGGCGTCTAAATGGCTAGTGGGGCTGAGCTAAATGGGCAGTGGGAGCAGAGCTAAGGGTGGCATGAACCTGTTGCCTGGTTAATGCTGCACACTAAAGAGGAAGCGAGAAGGAATCTCTGCTTCTCCAATAACTAGACACCAGGAACTGCAGTGCCTCCATTCAATCTCTTGTCTGCCTGTAACTGTATGTCTAACTGTAACTGTGCGTGACCGTTTGCATGTGACTGTCTGTCTGTAATTGTGTATGTGTGACTGTCTGACTTAAACTGTGTGTGTTCTATAGTAATCAAGGGGAGGGATGCACATGGTAAAAGATATAACCACCTAAGGTGCATCAAGGCCAGGTTGCATCTATCCAACCCGGTCTAGATGTAACTGTGTTTGTGTGTGTGTGTGAGTGAGACTGCCAGCCTGTAACTGTGTCTGTTTGGTAGACTACCTGTGCGTGTATGTGGCTGTGTGCCTGTAACTGTGTGTATGTGACTGTCTGCCTGTAACGGTGTGTGTTTGTGTGACTGTTTGCCTATGACTGTGTGTGCTGCAGCAGAACTACCACCAGTGTGAATGCAGGCTGAAGGGACCAATCAGGTGGCCAACACACTTAGCATGTCTTAGGATGCCCAGTAGTGCACTGGGGCCCTTTAGAAGTGTGACCGGACGCCTGTAATAATGGCAGCGCTGGGAGGAAGTGAGACATGGTCACTTCCTCACAGATTACAACACAGAGGTGCCCAGGAGAGGCAGATAGAAGGAGAAGCTAGAAAGGAGGGATAGAGAACTGGGAGAGCCAACCCCTGACTCCCAACAGCCTCAGCCAGCAAAAGTCAACCTCCTGCACCAAAAAGGTAAGGAACTGGAGAGTGACTAAATTTCTGACCAGCATGTATGTCTGTTATTGTGTGTACCTGTATGCGCATCAGTGTGTGCTTCTGTGTCTTTGTATCACAAATATCACAGTCAATACGACAATTACAAATATCACACACAGCATACATATCACACACAGCCATTACGTCTATCACACATAGTCAACAGACACAAACATATTACATCATAGTATTGTGAGATTTATTATAGTGATACTCACAAAATACACATTACTCTGTGTTGGGGAGCTCTGTGATATGCCAATAGGCATATTACCTGGATTTATATTGTTCTTTGGCATACTGATACACTGTATATTACTGTTAATTTTATTGTTGTGGAATTCTGTGAAGAACTGGTACAAACCACATAGTAATGTGAGGGCTTTTTTTTGTCGTGGAGCTCAGTGATGAATGGATAAACACAGCAGATTACTGTAAGTTTTTATTCCAAGGAGGTCAAGATAAATATGGAAAATCCAGAGCTCCAAAGCAATACGACTCACAGTATTATGTGACAGCGGCACATAATAATTAGTCTGCCCTCTGTAATACCTGGGAAGAAATCTGGCGCCTATGGCCTACAGACCATGAATAGCTATCTCCCAAGCTCAAGGCAAATCAGAGCATTAACGTGGATGACTGAAAGTATCTGAGCTGGTGAGACAGTTACCCATGGTCTGCACCTGGCACAGACCAGATTCCTAACACAATGGACCACCAGAAATCATCATGCCCTCTCACTGCAAGGTGACAACAGGGAAAGGGAATGAATTTTTTTATTATTAACTTAAAAACGCTCCTTAATACACCCCTATACATGGATGAGGGGGTGTGACAGGAAGGTGTACTGGAAAGATATTAAATGCACAGGGCTCCTGAAGGAATAAGGCCAACTCTACTACCAAGCACCACATTTCACACAGCCAGTATGCGCACACACTTTACACACAGTCACCATGCACACTCTCGGCAGAAGGTGCAACACTAAGGGTTATTCACTAAACTTGGAATTTTCACAAATTAAATCTGAATGGAAGAACTGGGACAAAAAGGTTTGATTATAGCTGAGATGGCAAATTTAGCAAAAATTCTGAGTTTAGTTACTACCCGTGCAATGTCCAGGGCTCTAGGTAGATGTCCCAATCTGAAATAATTTTGTAATACCACTTTAACACTTTAGTTCCTCGGGAAAGTAGATTTTATTTTTCATTTCCCACACCTCTGAGCTTTAACTAGCACATTATTATGAAAGAACCTTTAGAAGAGCAAAAGCTAAGTGTTACCTGTGTAACATATCGAGCACCATCTGTAAACACGTGATAATCAACATCTGTGTATTTCACCAGCATGGTTCGGTCTTGGTAGACTCCATACAATACCAGGACAACTCTGGCAAGGAATGCAATGGAAAATATAACCCATGTCCTTAAAAAAATCTTTTGAGGAATAATGCCAAATATTACAGCATCAGGAGACTTCATTTTCTTTTTTGTAATGTCACAGGATTTGTTATCCATGACAGCTTTGCAAAAAACATTTACAGAAGTATGTGTACAGTGGATCTGTCATAGGCCAGGTTTGCATCAACATGCTTTGGTGTTAGAGCTCAGTACATATCCTGAACGGCAAAGGAAAACTTGATTGTTAACCAACTTCAGGCACAAAATCTTGAAACGTCCCAGAAAAATATGAAGAACCTCAAAATAAGTTAATCCGCTTTCATTTTGGAGGAAAATGGTGGCTATAAAAATAGAACAAACAAATATTTTTTTAAATTGTATGATTTTGTAAAACAATTTACTTAATTCAGTAATACACAATTATTTTTACAAGCATGAACATAGAGGAAACAAATACATTATGGTAAACTGACAACTATTCAAAATATAGCTGCACTTGATGATCCACATGTCTAATTTAGCTTCAATTGGCAATGTGGCAGAAATTTTAAATTTCAGCTACGCACAGTTCACAGCTATTAAATTACGTGAGAGCTGTCGGAATTCAAAGAGCTTTAAGACCACGTACCCTATTCTTTGTAAAACAATGAGTGCCACATGCTAAATGGAAAAAGGCACGATACATAATTTTTGCCATTTGTATGCTGGACTTACCCCCAGCATTTTCATATTACAAAATAAAGGCTATTTACCAAAAATACAGGATCTCCACATAAGAATAATAAAATAAACAATAACATAATTTGCAACTATAAATCACAGAAAAAGCGCTGGTATTTGGTGTTTGAGAACAGTTAGTGCAAAAGCCTAAAAATAGCTTTAGAACAAAGGTGTGAAATTGCCTAGCAGTGGAGGGGGTTAAAAAGAACACATGCTTAAAGGGTCACTTTAAGCACCCAAACCACTACAGTTTAAAGGAACACTATAGTGTGTGGAACAAATAACATGCATTCTTAACGCTAGGGATGCACCAAAATGAAAATTCTGGGCTGAAACAGAAAATTTAGGATGCCTTTGGCCAAAAACTGAAACCGTAAATTACTTTTTTCCCCAAATGATTTTAAAATATTTTTTTCTTTAAAACGGTTCCTGGATAGATAAGAGATGGCTATTGGATAAGATTACAAAAAAATCCTATTATAAAGGCGACTCTGAACACAGTTAGAACCGCAAGCAAAAAATGTAACTCAATAAATGGAATTACTTTATTTTTTCCATTAGATCTATTGGAAATGAATGTAAGAGATTTGGACCGGAGCAGTTGGAGAAGAAGCGGCATTAGTCAGCTGTGGAATATCCACTGAAAGGGTAGTTTAATTCCTTTCCACTTATTACAGCATACTTACTCTCTAGCCCCAGGCGTGTTATTTACATACCTGAGAGTTAAAAATGTCTACTATCTACTAAGCAAATATTAGATCACAACGATGTCACTGACTTCCTAATGAATCACAACCCCCAGAAAAGAATATCCAGCTCAGTATCTCAGCACTAATGATACCTTGTGTGGCAAACTCCCCTTTTCAAGTGAGTTTGCCATGAGTTTCTGGAGAAGCCTGCTTGCCAGCCTCCTGCCTACAGACTATGGATCATGTAAACTGTGATATAAAAGTATAATTGATAATTAAGTGTAATTAGAATATATGGTTCGGGAACCGAACAGCCGTACAAACCGGAGACGACCCTGGAGCTTGTTAAGCCTAGTTGCTACTTTGTAGCAATTTCCACTTCAGTGTTCTAAGTGTTCGTCTGGCTGGCCACAATTCCTATGGACGACCACAAGGTGGCGGCCATCTTGTTCGTATGAACACAGGCAGCGTTTTTTGGTCATCGAGTTCATGGAACTATTTTCGGATACTGAGACTCCCGAACACTGCTGGACTTCCATGATCGCCTGTGTTCGGTTTTATAACACTTAGGAAGACACTGTTCAGTGGAATCATTCGTCTGAACAAGGGGAACAAGTTCCATGGTAAGACCATATACGATGTTCGGTAGTTTGTTCATTTTTAAACTACTGAACTAGACCGACCGCTAGCCCTGATTCTATGGAACTGTTTTGGGCATGGCATCATGCGTGCGGTCGGTCAAACAAATGACTTCCAGGAAATTTCTGAACCCCTGAACTGATCTGGGTGATTTTTGGATATGTTGGTTACCCAGATCAGGGCTATCAGGGGATGTAACTTTTGTGGGGTTTTGGTTTTGTGTATTTTTAGGGTACTTTTGGGGTGTTTTGGAAAAAGTATGGTTTTTTTTCTGTGCTTGGAGATAATTGGATTAGATTAGTACAATTCCTGATCCAATTATCTCCCAGGCACAGAGGAGGGATTTTCTCATTTTGTATGAGAGTGACCTGGGAGCCAATGTAATTGTGTATTTGTTTCTACTGTGGTTTACGCTCAGGTCCAGGGGGGAGTGACCCTTGCATGGGGACATGGATTTAAGGCCAATAGTGGCTGCCATTATAGTATTCCAGCTTGCACTCTCAGAACTATATGTCGTCTGGTTACTGGGAGGGGAAAGGGCTAATCACTGTTCCAGCTTGTTCCAGTGTGGAGGATTCAACAGGGAAAGTCCTTGTAAGGACTAGAGCTCCCAGGACTGAGTGTCGTCCAGTGCCTGAGTGTGTCTAGAGCGAATTCCCCATTCAGCTCCAGGAGGTAGCGGTTCCAGGACCCCAGTCAAACTGTGGGCAGAAGTGCTGCGCTTTGTCCCCTGTTCCGACTGTGGGCAGAAGTGCTGCGCTTTGTCCCCTGTTCCAGCTAGGAAGCGGTCCTTGGCGGAGGTAGCTCCTTTACAATACCTATACGAAAGGGTCTCCCATTCTGAAATGGGAATTAAACTTAAAGTAAACATTCAAGGTACACTACTGGAAACAGAGTATTAAACGGTTCAAAAAGGTCATTCATTGTGTAAATTTGATTGAGTTGCATTTAAAGTACTATATAGGTGGTATATGGTTCCAACAAAACTAAACAAAATTTATAACGACCATTCAAACCAATCCTGGAGATGCAGTAACGCAAAGGGATCCCATTTCCACATTTGGTGGGAATCCTCGGGGTTGGAAAAAGCAAGGGCACCAAAACTGGCATGAGATATTAATTCAGATAAATCACCAGTGCTCTATGGAGAAAGGCTATTTTTTTGTATGAATAACCAACTGGCTTTATATAAAAAAAATATGGGGAAAATGGATAACATCTCCAAACACTGATACGTTTTATATTTTTAGATACGATTTTCAAACTATCTACCAAGGGCTATTTATGCCCACCACCTCTCCATCCGATGTTAGAATGAATATTGTTTGTAGTTTGAATGTGGATTGAATGTTGTTTTAATTGGAAAATTATTCTGATGCACTGTGATTACTGTTAAAATTTATATATTGTTACTATTGTTAAGGTTTTTCTTTTTTTCTCTGTGCAATGACTTTAATAAAGATGATATAAAAAAAAAGTTTATATGAAGTTGGAAATATAATGAGAGCATTGGTAAAGCTATCTAATCAAATGTAATCTAGCCCTACGACAAGTAATGAACTCAAACAGCAGCTCTAAGCTAGCATTATGCAAGTACAAAAATTCTATTTATGCTTACACAATTTATGAAAACAGTGATAGACACACAGCCTGACACACAGTGATGGAGACACACAGCCTGGAACACAATGATAGACACACAGTGATGGAGACACACAGCCCGGCAAACAGTGACAGAGACACAGCCTGGCACACAGTGACAGACACACAGCCTTGCACACAGTGACAGACACACAGCCTCGAACACAGTGACAGACACACAGTGACAGAGACACAGCCCGGCACACAGTGACAGAGACACAGCCCGGCACACAGTGACAGAGACACAGTGACAGACACACAGCCCGGCACACAGTGACAGAGACACAGCCCGGCACACAGTGACAGACACACAGCCCGGCACACAGTGACAGACACACAGCCTGGCACACAGTGACAGACACACAGCCTGGCACACAGTGACAGACACACAGCATGGCACACAGTGACAGACACACAGCATGGCACACAGTGACAGACACACAGCATGGCACACAGTGACAGACACACAGCCCGGCACACAGTGACAGACACACAGCCCGGCACACAGTGACAGACACACAGCCTGGCACACAGTGACAGACACACAGCCTGGCACACAGTGACAGACACACAGCCTGGCACACAGTGACAGACACACAGCCCGGCACACAGTGACAGACACACAGCCCGGCACACAGTGACAGACACACAGCCCGGCACACAGTGACAGAGAGGGTTAATAGAGAGAGGGCAGTGAAGGGGTTACCCGGTCGGAATGTCCCAGCCCGGAGTGCGAGCAGTGAGTGCAGTTCCCGGTGCTGGCTGGGAGGGAGTGACAGAGGGGCCGGGCTGTCAGTGGGCGGGACGGTGACACCTTCCGGGTGAGCGGAGCAGTTGCAGCCGGGTCGGGGTGTGAGCGGGCGGTGGGAGCCAGCAGTCAGTGAATCAGTCAGCTCGGTGATCGCCACTCGGACCGGGAGCACGGGAGATGGCTTACTACCAGCGGCCCCCGGGGGCCACCGACCAGTCCTTCCTGTGGAACGTCTTCCAAAGGTGAGAGCAGCGAGTCCCACACACCCACCGCCCCGGGCTTTGTACGGAGCAATGCGGGGGCACAGAGTTAGACTACAACTCCCATGATGCTTTGTCAGTGTGAATGATGGGTCTGTTCTCCTGCTGTAGGGCTGTGGCTGCGCAGTGCCAACAGACAGCCTGCTTGCAGTATGCGGAGACCGCTCGCAGGATGCGGAGACCGCTCGCAGGATGCGGAGACCGCTCGCAGGATGCGGAGACCGCTCGCAGTATACGGAGACCGCACGCAGTATGCGCAGCCGGAGACCGCACGCAGTATGCGCAGCCGGAGACCGCACGCAGTATGCGCAGCCGGAGACCGCACGCAGTATGCGCAGCCGGAGACCGCACGCAGTATGCGCAGCCGGAGACCGCACGCAGTATGCGCAGCCCGAGACCGCTCGCAGTATGCGCAGCCCGAGACCGCTCGCAGTATGCGCAGCCCGAGACCGCTCGCAGTATGCGCAGCCCGAGACCGCTCACAGAAACACAGGCACCCACCTATAAACTCTGAGGAATAGCGTTATATTTTCAAATACACACTGGGTTACATACTAATTCACTACCTGGCTGGCAAGCACATGATCACATTGCACAAGGGCTGCATGAGTAAGATACTCACTGTTTGTGAGTCATTTGCTCCAATAGAAACAATCAGGGTTATTCACTAGAGTGAGATTTCAAAGTGAATTTCAAAGTGGAAAAAGTCTCTATCTGCTTATGCTTTCAGTTTGGCTACTCTTGCCTTAAATATGAAAATATCTTTGATTTCTCACTCCTTTTTGTCAGGGATTTTATTATAAGGCATGGTTTGTAAGGATAGAGTACACAAGCTTAGCGGTTACTTGGCGTATTCAGCACAGATTGATTTTTTTTTTTTAAATTCATAATTTGGTACCTGATTTATACTGAAATTTATATCGCTAAAATTATCTGTAAAGCAGAAGCAAAGTGTTGATTACCACGTTCAAGAGTAGATTCAATAGTAATATATTTGGACATATTCTGTTTCTAGTGGTGTTGAAAAACTACATTGTGTAATAGAAAGTGGCCAGTTTTCTATGTACAGCTATGTTTCTTTTGTTTATAGACGTGTCCTATCACTTCAGAAATACTTCATGATTTATGGAATTTGGGCAAATACCCTACATATCAAAAATTAAGTATTTTGAACATCAGTCACATGTTTACTAAAAACTTTGAATCATTTATTATACTCTTTTGGCCATATGACTACTACCCATACTTTTTTTTGTTGTTGTTGTAGGTCTCTATCTAGAAATATAACAATAATACATGGAACAGAGTTGGTGTAAATATCACACAAAATAAAGCTGCACAAAAGTGTATGATTGCCCAAAACACATGTGCACTCCACAAAATTCTGTGCACTCAACAAAAGAAAAAGTTAAAAAAAAAAAATAGAGTAGCTAAAGAAGAAGAAGAAAAGTGAATAAAGGGGGAGGGGAGTAAGAAAAAAAAATTGAAGAGGGACAAGAGAATCAAGAACAATATTTGTGTTCAATTATTATTATATTTTATTGAAACATAGAGATGCATACTGGTCTATGGAGGTAATTTTATTTTAAATGATTTAATGACATCAGGAGAGCCTGTATCTCTTGTATTTTAAGGATTATATGGAACACCATTAACGGCTACTAACAGTCAAGAGGGAAAAGTGTGATGTTTAAGGAAGACATGCATTGGTAATTTTAGTAACATAGTTAAAAAAAAACAAAAAACATTTAAGTATCTCCAATACATTTAATTCAATTCAAACATATTTTAAAGGGACACTATAGGGACCCAGACCACTTCAGCTCATTGAAGTGGTCTGGGTGCATTGCCCTTATTTTCAAAAAAACTGCAGTGTTTCCATTGCAGCACTAAGTCTGCGACAGCCTCTGGAGGCGCTTCCTGCATCCAAACGGACTTTTAGTCTGGTAACTGACTCTTGACGTACTCACACTCTGCATGAGGACATCCAGCGTCACATTTTTCCCCATAGGAAAGCAATGATTCTGTGATATCCTATGGGTAGGTCTAATGCGCATGCGCATTTCCGCCCACTCGTCGGGGGAGTACTTGTATTATATTAATTAATAAGGATAAACTGCACTATAGTGCATTTGTTATATTATTTTTTTTAGCATTTACTACAAATTCAATGTTAAAGGGATCCTATAGTGCCAGAAAAACAGTTGTTTTCCTGGCATTATAGGGTGTTAATGTGATGAGACCAATCTCGCCACTGTGCATTCGTGGAGCCTGGTTGCCCGCCTGCTGCCTTTAGACTATGGCCCCATGTTGAAACGCTTGATTTTCCCCTGCAAAGACACGAAAGCCGGGTCATTCGGTGCTTGCCCTGTTTGAACGGTGATACCCCAGATAGCTATGCCATGGAGCCCATTCATATAATGAAAGACTTTGGCTCCATGGCAGTTGAACGGTATGTGTTTGATCTGAGCGCCATTCAGTAATAATGTGCGCTCAGATCTGAGCTATCTGGGGATATGTTAAATGTACCTGTTTTATGCAATGGCTGCACAGTTATGTATTTTATTGTCTTTTGCTGCCATGTGGTAAATGGAGTTTTGCCTCTGTCCTTGGAGATAATTGGATTACTTCCCAAGTATCTCCAGGATAGAAGACTCTGTGGAACTGGTTTTGGGCAGAAAAGCCATTCTTCATTTGGTTACAAAGGACTACGATCTATCTTTTGAACCACTGGACCAATTTGTATGATTTTGACGTATGTTAGTATTTGGAGTATGCTGATTCTGAAAATGTAAGTTATGTGAATGTGATGCATACCTTTCAAGTTATGAATAATGTGGAAAAACTGTATTTCTCTGCCTGTGATAATTACATTACTCATTGTGTAAGGTAATTGTATCACAGGCAGAGGGGAGGATTTTGTGTGGGAGTGTCTGAGTGTATTGTACGTGTTTATTGGTTGTTTTCCAAAGCCCTGTGGGTGGTACTAATGTGTATATAAGAACAATAAAGCCACAGCTCTGACTGTTCACTGCTTGACCCTCAACACGGAGCTTTGTCTCGTTCTTGGGGGGATTTATTGTATGCTGTTCCAGTTTGACTGCTAGGAGTGTAAACCTATTCGTATGGTTTTTCCTATTCGGCTGTTCAAAGCATTCGTATGTTTGAGAGCATTCATATGCTTCTCCGCTTCGGTGGATTGGTGTCTACAGTAGCTGCCTGTGTCTCTGGAAGGGGAAGATCTCCTAAACAGCTTTTAACGCCTTTTATGCCCGGGGTGCCGTTACAGTTACGAACGCTGGTATTTCAGATACCCGTTTGCTTTCGTTTCCTTCCGAACTGCTAAAGGCTGAGTGATTATAGCTCGCAGTTTGGATGTTGATTCGAACATTCTCCAGAAGGAAATACAGTATCCAAGTAAATTCTCCAAGCAATCAGACATATAACCAAACATCAGCCTAAACTAGATAAAGGGTACAACAGGAATGAATGTATTCAGGCCTGCTGGCCTTATATGCAGGTCCCCGTGCACACTGTAATTACATTGGCTCTCAGGTCCAGGACACTCCCACACAAAACAGAATAGTCCCTCCCCTGTGCCTGTGAGATAATTGTCAGGAACTGTTCTAAACTCTATTCTCTCCAGGCACAGAAAACATACATTTTAAGAACACCCCAAAAGTACCCCCAAAACACATGGAAACGACACAACAGTCACATCTCCTGATAGCCCTGATCGGGGGGACCAACATATCCAAAAATCACCCAGATCGGTTCAGGGGTTTGTGATTTCCATGGAAGTGATAATTTGACCAACCGCACCCAAAGTCTTATGCCCAAAACAGTTCCACAGTTTCAGAGGTAGCGGTCGGTCTATTTCGGGGAATTCTAAAATCGAACAAATCCACAAACTGTTCCCCTGGCTCATGGGTAGCATTTATTCCCCTAGTTCGTGGGAACAAACCTACCGCATAGCGCTCTCCTGGCTGGTCGGTGAAAAGAAGCAGGTGTTCGCAAAGTTGACCGGTGTTCGGGAAGTCGAGTGTCTGTTTTTAGTTCCAGGTACTCAACGACCAAGTCCCGCTGCCTCTTTTTTCGTGCGACAAGATGGCCGCTGTTTTCTCCAACACTTGGCATTTGGCCATACAAATGGTGGCCACACAGGGAGAGCACTTAATCTGCAGTTTGCTTTGTAGTTAATGGCCAGGGTGGTGGTCGTTGTTCCGTAGTTTTATCTACCGAACAAGGAAAATCAAAGTTAACGAAACAGGTGTAGTTTCTTCTCATAGGGTTAATAGGTCCCCCCTCCCGCGGGGCTGAAGGGACTAATAGCCTGAATCCAGCGCCGTTGTCCCTTGGTGCTGGGTCAGGCTCTGCCGACACTCCTGCCCCACCTATATCAGCCTGAGGGGGACACCTAATGTGCGGCAATGGCCGCGCGCGCATTAGGCCTATCCGTAGGAAAGCATTATTCAATGCTTTCCTATGTGGAAAATCTGACGCTGGAGGTCCGTGAGGACGTCCAGCCTCAGATAACGGACCAAAAGTCCATTTGGATTCCAGAAGCCACAGAGGCCAGACTTTACATTGCAGCACTAAGTGCAATAGGGACACTGCACCCAGGCCACTTCAATTATCTGAAGTGGTCTGGGTGCCTACAGTGTCATTTGAGCGCAACACTTGTTTTTTGTTTGGATGTTATTTGTCACTTTAGGTGATTGCTGCTTATATATATATATATATATATATATATGGTAGTGATGTCCCGAACGGTTTGCCGCGGACTCATCATTGAGTAAACTTTGACAGTGTACCTCACAGTCAGCAGACACATTCCAGCCAATCAGCAGCAGACCCTCCCACCTCCTGGACAGCATCCATTGTGAAGCTGCATTCTTAGTGAGCTGTCCAGGAGGAGGGAGGGTCTGCTGCTGATTGGCTGGAATGTGTCTGCTGACTGTGAGGTACAGGGTCAAAGTTTACTCAATGATGAGTCCGCGGCGAACCGTTCGGGACATCACTAATAGTGGGACCTCTGTTTACAAACGATTGAAAACATAATTTTCGGTTTACAAATGAAAATCCATTGAAAATAATCCCTCGGTTTACAAATTCTTTTCGCTATACAAAGCAAGTTTCCCCAGGATGCATTGCACCTGGCAGGTTTAAAGCACTGCCCTCTGCATGCTGGAGCCTTGCCATGTCGAGTGTGGAGGTGTTGGAGCGGCTTTTGCATCAAGTTTTGGAGCCATTCTGGAAATTGTTTGTTTTGTTTCTCAAGCTGTGGAAAGGTAGGGAGCTGAGCTCCGTCGTTTGCATGCCTTTTATTGTGTGTTCTGTATTGTGGGTTGGTTTCCATGCCAGCTCATTTTTACTTTTTTTCTGACCTCCAGAATGGATTAATTGGTTTTCAATGCATTCCTATGGGAAACCGCATTTCGGTTTACAAATTTTTCGCAATAAGAAACGTCCCGGAGAACGCATTAAATTCATAAACCGAGGTCCCACTGTGTGTGTGTGTGTGTGTGTATATAAATTTCTTTTTTTCTATACATCTTAAAACGCTATCCACATTTTGGGTTGTTTATGATTACATCTATGTTCATTAAATTCAAAGAGTTAGTTTGTGCCGAAATGTTTAATTGGGAAAAGAGATGTCTGCTTTACAAACATAGCTGTTTCAAACTATATACCAAGTTGAAAAATGACAAGACATAATCTATTTTTCCAACCTCATCACTCTGTTTCCAAGGTAGGAATTATAATGTTGTCTTTGACTTTTGTGGCTGGATCTGCTGAATGGCCTTATTCAAAAGTGGTTCTAGCCCTTTTAACTATTTTATAAAGTCTTGATTCAAATTTGAAGAATAAAAACTACTTGTAACTTACCTTTTGTAATTCAGCTTCTTGATTAATTGCTTCCCCATACTGTGGTTTGCATGTTGATACATTCTCTTTCACAAGACTGAGCAATGCATTTTTGTTTTACATAGGTTTACTATACAAGGTTCACAGTGTAAGCTTTCTCTTCTCTAATATATTTGCAAAAAAAACACAAAACACATTTATAAAAAAAAAACAAACCTTGGCCCACGTTTGTGACTTAGTGGCTACTACAAAAGACTGGACATACTCTGGGTTGTCTACATTTGAAAATGGTATGCCATGATGGGGTTATTTCACATTCCTGGGCTACCATATGATCTCAAAAAGCAACACAGACCCAGCAAACCAATCTGGCAAACTGAATTGGGCAAGCCCTATATTGATCCTGTAACTTTCCAAAACTCCATAAAAACTGTACATGGGGTGTATTGTTGTACTCGGGAGGCTTCGCTGAACACAAATATGAGTGTTTAAAACAGTAAAACCTATCAGAACGATGAAATCACCAGTAAAAGTGCAGTTTTTGTGTAAAAAAAAAAAAAAAAACAATTTAAAAAACAAATATGAACGCTAACTTTGGCAAGCATTTGTGGCTACTACAAAAGACTGGACATACCCCATTTTGTCTACTTTTACAATTTGTATGCCATGATGGGGTTAATTTTAATTCCTGGGCTGCTATACGGTCTCAAAGGAAACATAGGCCCAGCAAACCAATCTGGCAAATGTCAATGTGCAAACATGGAAAAGGGGAAAGCTCTACATTTGACCCCTGTAAATTTGCAAAAACCCATAAGACATGTACATTGGGGGCACTGTTGTACTCAGGAGATTTTGCTGAACACATATTGGGGCGTTCTTTGGCAGTAATACATAACAGGAGCTAAGAATCCAATGACTCCCAGCAGCAAGCCAGAATAAGCAATGCCCGCACGCCAATCCCTGAGTCCTCACCTCCTGATGCCCAGAAGAGGCAAACCTAACCAGACGAGGAAGCAGCCCACAGAAAACCAGCGAGGAGCCCAGAGGCGCGCCTGGAGAGATATCGCCAGAGCCCCAGCCTTGAAAGACCCTAAAGCCCTGTCACGCCGACACAGCAGATCAGGCATCGGCTGACCATGTGTCCGCCACCACCCGCGAAGCATCGAGCACGCCATGTCGATGGTCCTAGGAGCGTGTGCCAGCACACGAACTTTCGATCAGCCAGGGTGATACTTTATCTGTAGACTATTGTTTAGCCTTAGCATGTTTATATACTGAGCCTTTGGGTATAGCTTACCGTACAAATCTTGTCACACACCCAATAGACATGCATTCAAACTACCAGCCAGCATTACACAGCATAACAGTACCTAAGCCTGTTCAACTATGTACTGTACTTTTAATACTTATACGTCACACTAATGCCATCTCTGTTATTAACCTTTGAAACACACACTGGCACAAGAGCGAGCCGCCAGCTAGATTTCAGATACATCACAGATAATCTAGTGTTAACCTGATAGCAAAGCGCAGCAGTTTAATATGTTTTAGGAATGCCGTAACGTGCCAATTGATTGATGTCGGACGTAAATACCCAGCATGTATTTATCAGGTCTTACCGACTTATTAAAAAAAAAAAAAAAAAGTGTGCTTTATATCTGAATGTCATACAGCTGTTAATGAATACTTGTTTTTAAAATGCATGCAAATGCTGTTGTGGCATTGCTGACATGCATATGTTCTCTCAAGCACAGCAAAAATAAAGAATTAAAAAAGAAAATAGTTGCATGAAGAGTCAAATTACCCCAAGTTTAATACCTTAGGTTGTCTTCTTTTAAAAAATAAATATATACATGTTAAGGGTTATTCAGGGATTCCTGACAGATATCAGTGTTACAGTGTAACTTGCGTTAATTTTGAAAAAAATGCTTTGGAAATAGCAAAGTGCTACTTGTACTTATTGCCCTATAACTTTCCAAAAAAAGCTAAGAACATGTTCAAATTGGGTATTTCTAAACTCAGGCCAAAATTTAGAAACTATTTAGCACGGGTGGTTTTTGACGGTTGTAGATGCGTAACAGATTTTGGGGGTCAAAGTTCGAAAAAGTGTTGGGTTTTTTTTTTTTTAACATTTTTTTTTCATCATATTTTATTTATAGATATGAAAATAAATAACATCTTTAGAAAGACCATTTAATGGCAAGAAAAACAATATATAATATGTGTGGGTACAGTAAATGAGTAAGAGGGGAAAATTACAGCTAAACACAAACACAGCAGAAATGTAAAAACAGCCCTGGTCCCAAACGGAAAGAAAATTGAAAAGTGGTCTGGTCACTAAGGGGTTAAAGGAACACTACATTTTTCAGAACCACTACAGCTTAATGTAGTGGTTCTGGTGTCTATATCCTTTCCCTGTAGACTTTTCAGTGTAAACACTGCCTTTCAGACAACAAATCAGCGTTTACATTGCTGCCCAGTAACACCTCTAGTGACAACACTTAGAGATTCTTAATCCAGTGGTGCACAGTGTGCTCACATACATGTAGTGTCTGCACATTCTGCATGAAGGTGCTGAATGTTCCCTATAGAGATGTATTGATTAGCGCATGTGCAATTCACTCCTAATCCTTTCCTATGGGAAAGCATTGGGTTGGCTAATATCATCAAGCTTTATCTCTGCAATGGAGGAGAGAACAGCCACAGCGAGACTGGCGCAGCGTAAGAAAAAATGACGAGTAAACACACTGACTGACAGACACTCATTGACTAACACAGACACTTGCTGATTTGACACACGCATACTCCCTGACATGATTTTTTTTTATAAACATAGCAGTTTCAGAGAAACTGCTATGTTTATCAATGGGTTAAGCCTTCCCCCTACTTCCTCTAGTGGCTGTCTCATTGACAGCCACTAGAGGCGCTTGCGTGCTTCTCACTGTGATTTTCACAGTGAGAGCACGCCAGCGTCCATAGGAAAGCATTGTAAATGCTTTCCTATGTGACCGGCTGAATGCGCGCGCAGCTATTGCCGCGCGTGCGCATTCAGCCGCATGGGAGGAGAAGAGGAGGTTCGGAGGAGGAGATCTCCCCGCCCAGTGCTGGAAAAAGGTAAGTTTAAACCCCTTTCCCCTTTCCAGAGCCGGGCGGGAGGGGGTCCCTGAGGGTGGGGGCACCCTCAGGGCAGTATAGTGCCAGGAAAACGAGTGTTTTCCTGGCACTATAGTGGTCCTTTAATAGCCAAGAAGCCTCTGGGAAATTAAGTGGGATTAGTCTAAATAAATATACCCATTTAGGGAAGATATAAGATTTCAAAATATTTATTCTACCCCACCAAGAAATTGGGATTTTTTTCAAATCTATTAATTTTTTTTATTCATTTTGTTTTAATAGAGGTAAAAAGTTTTTTTCCACAATTGTTATATCTGTGCTAATTTGAATTCCTAGATAATTTGTTGAATTTAACTCCCACTTAAATCCATATCTATCACTCTCTTTCGATATTCTACCTAGCGCTATTGACTTTTCTATATTCAATTTATAACCCGATATTTTTGCAAAATTATCCACAATATTCACCACTGCTTTCATAGAGTTACATGGATCTTGTAGTGTTAGCATGACATCATCTGCATATAAATGTAACTGTTATTGCATCTGAACACAAAATCCTCTAGCTGCCTCTTCCTCTCTTATGATTGCTGCCAAATGCTCCAATGACATTATATATAATATTGGGGACAATGTGCAGCCCTGGTTCCATTTCCCAATCTGTCTGGTTTCCCAATGTGAATCATTCAGAGCTAAACCCGTTACCCACCACTTTTGATGATTCAGATACAATGCCATAATTGCTTCCAATATAGCTCCCTCCAAACCAAATGCCAATAACGAATATCGTAAATATCTCTACCCAACCCCGTCAAAGGGTTTTTTTCAGCATCTAACGACAGGGTTAGGAGTGGGGCCCAAGTGTTTTTTTTTTGTTTTTTTTTACTATTTCCAATATTTCAATTAATTTTCGTATATTAGTAATTGCGTATCTATCCTGATCAAATCCCACCTGGTCCGGATGGATTATTTCTCCAATAATCGTATTCAATCGCGCTGCTAAAATAGAAGAATATAATTTTATATCAACATTTTGAAGCACGATTGGTCGATAATTAGAAACCTCCAAACTACTCTTATCCTGTTTCAAAATTGGAACTATATTTGATTGCAAAATTTCCATTGGGATTGGATTTCTCTAAGCAAATCATTAAAAAGTTTAACAAGTTGAAATTTTATATTATCCTTTAAGATTTTATAAAACTTATTAGAAAATCCATCCGGACCAGGAGACTTGACAATTTTGAGGTTCCCAATAGCATTATTTACCTCTTCTTCCGTAAAAGGCAGATTTAATAATAATTGTTCTTGCGTTATTGTAGATATTTTAATTTTCTATAAAAAGTCCTCAATATCTCTATCAGAAGGCGCTATAGGCAAATTATATAGGGTCTTATAATTGTCTTGAAAAGCCCATCCTGTTTTCTCCGGTATCATGAGTTTGATCTGTATTTAGGATTTTAGAAATAAATGTATTTGCTTTTTATTTATTTTTTAAATTTGATTAAATAAAATGTGCCCTGATTATTAATGCGTTCATTTTTCTTTTTTTCGATTTTCAATAATTCTCCCTAGAGGGGACCTCTTTATTTAGGGCACCTTTTAGAGTCCAATTGGAGATCTAACTCAGGCAAACCTGGTAGTCTATTTTTATTTCCATATGTCCCAATTTTTATTAAATGACCACGTATTACACTTTTATAAGCACACCAAAATACAATTTAGTTGTATGTTTTTTAAAAAGTTCAACATGTTGTGGTTTATTTAATAAATAAGCATTTGTTTTCAAATTCATCCTTTAGTTGTATCATTATGGCATTATGATCAGTTTTTAATATTCTTGATAATTCCAATATTTGTCATTATATAATCTATTCTGGAATTAGTAAGCACAGTCTTAGAGAAACAAATATAATCCTTTGTATTTAGATTAAGGATTCTCCATAAATCTAATAGCGCGTAGTTCTTAATTAACGCTCTTAATCTTGGTGCATTATTACATGCATTCCTATCTATACTTCTCCCCCCTACTGAATTTCTATCCGTGGCTGGGTCCATTAAACAATTCAGATCCCCTATTAAAATAGTATCTCCTTGTTTAAACCTCTCTATCTTATTCAACACTTTTTTAATAAATTTAATTTGCGAGTGATTAGGTGCATATAGATTGGCAAATGTGTATTTATTCTTATTAATCTCACATATAATTAAATATCTACCTTGTACATCAATTTCTTGATGTATAAGTTTAAAAGATAATTTATTAGAGAAAATAAGTGCCACTTTTTTTTTTTTTCTTATCCATTAGTGAAGATATATATATATATATATATATATCTCTCTCCTTGATTTTAATCTTATTGGATCATTTTCCATCCAGTGCGTCTCTTGTAATGCACAGATATGAATGTTCTTTCTGGAGAAATTGTAATCGTATTGCTCTTTTTTGAGGTGAATTGATGCCACGTACATTAATCGTAACTATTTTAATATCAAAAGTATCACACACTTTCCCCCTTATTTTGAGCATACAGGTCATCCCTGATTGACAGCAGAACCCCTTTCCTGTTCTTATGTCAACACGGTCTAATGCTAGTATCGGTGTTGGCAGAAAAAAATTATGATTTATCGACTACTGTTTTCAACTGCCAATATACACACTTAGTGAGAGATAAAGGAGAGAGAGAGAGAGAGAGAGAGAATGAGGTGAGGTGGGGTGGGGGGGAAGCATAAATTCTAACTTTTCAGCCCTTATTCTTATAGTTTCTTAAAACTTAATCTACCAAGATATCTCTCAATATGCACATGTGTCTATATGATATCTTATTTACCTTTTTATTACATTTGCACCACGACGCAGGCTCGCTGCTTAGGTGTTCTCTTTGACCTCTCCTTCACGCCTCCTGTTCAGTCTATCACCAAATCCGGTCGTTTTCCATCGCAAAAACATTGTGCGTCTCCGACCATACTTAACACCAGATGCGACTAAGGTACTGGTCCATTTTATTGTCCTTTCTCGCCTTGACTACTATAATCCACTTCTCAGTGGTCTTACGTGCTCCCAACTTGCGCCGTTTCAGTCCATAATGAATGCGGCGGCAAGGCTCATCTTCCTGTCCGACCGCACATCCCACACCTCACCCTTCTGTCAGTCTCTACATTGGCTTCCTGTAAGATAGGGCACAATTTAAAATTATGGTTCTAGCTTTCAAATCTCTACATAATGCTGCTCCCACCTATCTATCCTCCCTTATACACAAGTATGTCCCGTCTAGGCCCTTACGATCTGCTGAAGACTTACGTCTATCTTCTGTCCGTACTCCCGCCTCTGATGCTCGCCTTCAAGATTTCTCAAGGGCTGCACCGTTCCTGTGGAACTTGCTTCCCTCCTCCGTTAGATGCTCACCCAGTCTCCACTCTTCAAAAAAGTCATTAAAAACCCACTTCTTCATAAAAACGTATCAATTAAACTGTTAATAGCTCCTGACTGTCACTAGTCTAATACTATCCTTACCTTTTTGTGTCATTTTACCCCACTCCCTCTAGCATGTAAGCTCATTGAGCAGGGCCCTCAACCCCTCTGTTCCTGTGTGTCCAACTTGTCTGGTTACAACTACATGTCAGTTCGTCCACCCATTGTAAAGCGCTGCGGAATTTGATGGCGCTATATAAATATAATAATAATAATGGTACACACTCACACATGCAGATAGACAGAAACACATACAGATATACAGACAAAGAGACACACAATGATACACATACAAACACACATACATGTCATATTTTAGCCACCCTACTATTTCCTACCTTTTGGGTGCAGAAGGGTGGCTTCTGCTGGCTAGGCCTGTGTCAGTCAACAACAAAAGCCAGGGCTTTTACTAAACTTCAGATTGTAAAGAACTAAATCACAATGGCAACATTGAGGCAAATATATTATTGAAATATTACTGGTGAATGTGGGGAAAAAAAGGGAAAGTAAAACCGTAACCCACTGTATTCGGATCAACCACTTTTATATATGGGGAGGGGTTAATCAAATTAATCTGATTATTAATACAGAATTTTTCAATATACATAGAAGCTTATTGCCTCTTAATTTTCTTCTCTTGTCTTCTGGGCTATTTGTTTGATATTTAGTGTTTAGATCTTTAGACGGTCTTATCTTCTAAATGTTACTTTTCTTATGAGGTTTAATGTTAAGGTATATGTGCTTCTCCTTTAATCTTCCTTTACTTTCTTTCCTTCTCCCCTTCCACTGCCCCTCCTTTCTTCCTACCCCCTATCTGTTTTACATATATGTAGATTTTTCTATATTATGTCTCCATCAACTTTATTTACATTGCCTTTTCAGGTTGGATATTATATACACTTCTGTTTATTGAGTAGAATGGGGACGTATTGTTCAATTCAGTACTTTTCAATTATTTGTACCGCTATAATGTAGTCCCAAGCACACATATTCCTTTCACTCTATTCGGCATCCATCCAGGAACCTATTTTTATTATTATTTTATTAATTATATAGCTCCACTAAATTCTGTAGTGCTATACAATTGGTGGACTAACAGACACGCAATTGTAGCCAGACAAGTGGATGCACAGGGACAGAGGTGTTGAGGGCCCTGCTCAATGAGCTTACATGCTAGAGGGAGTGGGGTATAGTGACGCAAAGGGTATAAATAGGGATAATGAAATAGGTTGCTAGGAAAGTATTCACTGAGTAGATTATTTTTGACAGTTGTAGGGGGAGGATGAAAACATGCTAACCGTTTAATTGATACGCTTTCCTGAAGAAGTGAGTTTCCAAATATTTATTTGAATGAGTGGAGACTGGGTGAAAGTCTAACGGAGAAGGGAAGGGAGTTCCACAGAAAAGGTGCAGGCCTGGAGAAGTCTTGAAGGCGAGCATCAGAGGTGGGAGTACGGACAGAGGTTAGACATAGGTCTTCTGCAGAGCGCAGGGGCCTCGATGGGTCATACTTGTGTATTAGAGAGGATAGGTAGGACTTTGTAGTGACATGTAAGTAGGCACCAGAATCTTAAATTGTGCCTTGTATCCAACTGGAAATGTAGGGACTGACAGAGGGAGGAGGTGCGGGCGGACAGGAAAATGACTCTGACCTTTGCAGGTCATTGCAGCGGTGCAAGCTTCGGAACACGTAAGACCACTGAGAAGGGGATTGCACTAGTTAAGGCGAAAGAACAACGGCATGGACGAGCACCTTAGCCGTGTCCGGTGTTTAAATAGGGGAGGATGCAGGCTATGTTTTTGAGATGGAAGCGGCAGGACATGGCGATCGACTGGACATGAGGGGTTAAGGAGAAGTCTGAGTCAAAGAGAACACCTGGGCAGCGAGCCTGCAAGGTAGAAGTGATGGTAGCACCACTGACTTGGAGGGAGGGAGACACGGAAGTAGCAACACTTGAGGGAGGAAAGACCAGAAGTTCTGCTTTAGACAGGTTGAGTTTAAGGAAGTGAGCAGCCATCCAGTTAGAAATCTTGGAGAGGCAGTCAGAGACACGAGTCAAGATGGGCGGAGAGAGATCAGGAGAGGACAGATAAATTTGCATGTCATCTGCATATAAATGATAATGGAAACCAAAGGAGCTGATGAGTTTACTAAGGGAGGCAGTATAGATGGATAACAGTAGGGGACCAAGGACAGAACCTTGGGGAATGCCAACAGAGAGGGTTTGGGGAGAAGAGGCAGAGCCAAAGAAAGAAACACTGAAAAAGCACCTGGAGAGAGCAGTATCCTGTAGACCAAGATTACGGAGAATGAGAAGAAGCTGTTGATGATCAACAGTGTCAAAGGCAGCAGAAAGATCAAGGAGAATTAGGATAGGTTTATGGCCGCGAGATTTGGCAGCGATTAAATCGTTGGATACTTTGGTCATAGCTGTTTCGACAGTAACTAGCACGGAATCCAGACTGAAGCAGGTCAAGCAGATTGGATTCGAGGAAGTCTCTCAATCTCGCATGCACAACTCTTTCAAGGATCTTGAAGGAAAATGGCAGTATCGATATAAGGCGGTAGTTGGATGGGGAGTTGGGGTCAAGTTTGGGCTTTTTCAGAAACAGGGTTATGGTTGCATGTTTGAAGGGTGATGAAAATGTGCCAGAGTAAAGGGAGAGATTGAAATGTTTTGTGAGAGGAAGAGCAAGAGAGGGAGACATGTAACGTTGCTTCCATGATTAAAGTGACAATCTCTACATAGAAGGTGAGATGCAGAGGATTTAATGCATCAGTACTTAGCAGATTATAGTTCACAGAATAATGCAAACTGGTCATGGCAATTCACGTGAAAGGAAAACTATAGCGTTCGGAATAAAATCATGTATTCATAACCAAGGGCTTGAGAAATCACAGGTCACCATGGCGACTAGGAATTTTATGTTTATCAGCCCGTTCAGTGGCATCCCCAAGGTGGCTGGCTGAGGGAGAATGGAGCCAGGTAGCAAGGGAGCTGTAATTTTCCTTCCTGCTCCCTCGTGCTCACTGCTGTGATGCTGGGAGTCGTAATATGATGTAACTTCAGCCCCGGCATCATTAAATGGCATCGAGAGAGCAGAGCAAGAACAGCAGCCACAATAGATGCCAGGGAAGGAACCCACTCCAGCTCTCCCAAAGGTAGAGAGGGTAGATGGACTTAAATTAAAATTAACAATAATTTGTGAGTGTATGACAAAATGTGTGTGTCTGTATGTCTGTCAGTTTGTCATATCAATGAGTCAGTGAGTGTGTGTGTATGTATGTTTAGCCAGACAAATCCCAGGTGCCAGGTTGCCATGGCAACTCCGAAGTTTGCCTGGGTGTTTGTCAGCCCAAGTGAGCCTGGAGCTGGGCAGCGATGGAGCAGAAATCTTCCTGCATTTCTTGCTCTGCTCACTCACACTCCCTTCTGTGATGCCAGGAGACGGAATATGACGTTGCACCGGCATCACTAAACAGCGCGCAAGGGAGCAGAGCAAGAAGAGATTGCCCCCGCGGAATGGATCCATTCCAGCTCTCCCAAAGGTAGGAAAGCTGTGTGGACATAAAATAAAAAAATATATAATTTGTGAGTATATGAGAAAATGTCTGTTTGTCTTTGTTTAGGTTACTTGCCCCTCTGCCGATCGCATGGGAAAAGTGATTTTACTTACTTTTTTTCCAGACGCCTTGCTGGTCTCACTGTGGCTGACCCTGCCTCCATGGCTGAGATAATCAATCTTGATGCCAAAGACAATACTTTCCCATAGGAGCGCATTTGAGGGCCTATTCTGCATGTGCAAGAAAACGCTATGCTGCACCAATCAGCATCTCCTCATAGAGATGCATTTAATCAAGGAATCTCTATGTGGAACATTCATCACTTCCATGCAGCTCATCCAGATGCTAAAAGTAAATGCTGTACACTGTGCAGCACTGGACTAAGCACCTCTAGTGGCCGTCTGAGTGACCGTCACTAGAGGTGTTACTAGGCAGCAATGTAAATTGAGAATTTTCAAAGAAAAGGCAGTGTTTACAATTGAAAAGCATGCAGGGTCAGGCTATAGACACCAGAACCCCACTACATTAAGCTGTAGTGGTTCTGGTGACTATAGTGTCCCTTTAAGAATTGTATTTTTGTCTTTGAAAATAAAGCTTTGTTGGGTGGAAAAAAATGGCACCTGTTTTTTTTTGTTTGCTTTTTTTTTTTTTTTTTAGCTGGCTCCTAGATTACAAGCAAAATTGTCAAGCCTTGTCCTAACCCAATAAGTTTAATATACCTATTTTAGGTGAGGGGTGCCAGTCTCATTAAGGTCAGGGAGTGTGAGTGAGCTTCACTTCTCTGGCTGGGATCATCAAGATTGATGAGCTCAGCCAATCTAATGTTTCTCCGTAGGGAAACTTTTGGAGGCAACTGCACATGCACTGCACTCTGTTGTAAAAGCGGAAGCACCTCTGTCTGTCAGGAAGATAGTCGCTAGATGTGTGTTAACACTGCAATCATAATATTGCCACATCTTCTGAATGGCAGTTTTCATTGAGATGAACCGGCCTGTGTTTTTTTTTTTTTTTAAAGTTGTGTCCAAGTGATACATAATGTACTCAATGTAAAATATATAGATATAATCTCGCCTCTGATCCAGCAACGCCATGTCCTCGCCTCTGTGAGTGGTACTCTTCGGCGGTAGTGGTTATGGTGCTTGGAGTATACCTTTAATAAGTGATCTTCGCATTGTAGAAAGTTCTTTAGTCACTGTGAGCAGATTTACAGGAATCGTGTTCTCTTAAGGTATGTTATGATTCATAGAAAAGCAGTACACATACAGAGTCCAGGCACCATCATCACTTCAAATCATTGAATGGGAGTAACTGAGTAATCCTTTAAGAAGTGCGATTTGTAGAAATGATAGACTGAATGTTGCAATAATATAGAGTTCTTTACTGATCTTAGGATCAAATGTAGCTGACTGCACAATATCTGTTACAAGCAGCTGCAGGTAATGGGGAGAACAGAGATCTAGACAAGCTGCAAATGCTGGCATGAGTGGAAGTGCTGGGGAGATAATATATATTTAAAGGACCACTATAGTGCCAGGAAAACATACTCGTTTTCCTGGCACTATACTGAGCCTCCACCCTCAGGGTCCCCCTCCCGCCGGGCTCTAGGGGGTGGAAGGGGTTAAACTTACCTCTTTCTCCAGCGCCGGGCGGGGAGCTCTCCTCCTCCCTCTAATTCTGTCACCGGCTGAATGCGCATGTGCGGCAAGAGCCGCGCGCGCATTCAGCCAGTCCATAGGAAAGCATTCATAATGCTTTCCTATGGACGCTGGCGTCTTCTCACCGTGATTTTCACAGTGAGAAGCGCGGAAGCCCTCTAGCGGCTGTCAATGAGACAGCCACTAGAGGCTGGATTAACCCATAGGTAAACATAGCAGTTTCTCTGAAACTGCTATGTTTACAGAAAAAAGGGTTAATCCTAGCTGGACCTGGCACCCAGACCACTTCATTAAGCTGAAGTTGTCTGGGTGCCTATAGTGGTCCTTTAATAAAATTATTTAATTTTTTTTAATTCAAAGTGCTGATTTGAAATATAGGTCACCTTCCACACTCTTCAACAAACTCCTATTCTCAGGTCATTCAAAGTAACTAGTATTTTCTATTAAAATATCCAAATTTTCTGTTTTTCAACAGAAATGACAATAAAAAACTTAAATCTCGCAATGTAATCTTCACCAAATTTCTACCAAATTACAGTAACTATTTTAAATGTTGTTGCTGCTGATTTATTTTCTATTCTTATTTTATATATTCTCCAGTATTAATTCTAGTTAGGTGAAATAAAAATCAAATAGCTGTTTTCTTTTTAACTTGGTGTTCTCTTACAGGCTTCAGACTTTCCATTGGTTTGCCCTCTGCTGCACATTGCAATAGATGTGCAGTTATTTCCTTCTACACATTTTGTGCACAATGCTTCACTGTGTTTAGAAAGTGCATTGAAATACATCAGCATTTCCATATTCACAGGCCTGGCTTCAGCTTTAGGAATGAATTTTGATGATGTGAATTGTTCTTTATTAAATCTGGATTGCAAGTTTTTAACCTTTTTGAAACCTGAACAAGCTCACTTTTGAACATTGCACTGCAAACTGTCAGGGTTTTTCACTAAACCCACAATGTTAGAGAATGAAACCCAAATGATAACATTGAGCCTAAACATACTCCAACTCATCCGTAGTCTCATCTTGGTGAAATTTGGATGTAATTTGCTAAAATTCTGAGTTTAGTGAATAACTCTGTTTCAGCAGCAAACCAGCCATTGTCATCTACTTTGGGGAGGGAGGGGGAGATGGGGGTATGGGATGTGCTTCACTGGTTAAATAGTGTGACTCTGTAAATTGAAGTGTTACTGATGCATTTTTACAAATTTGTTGCACGCAATGTTTGTAATTAAAGGGTCACTATAGTCACCACCAAAACAACTTTAGCTTAATAAAGCGGTTTTGGTGTATAGATCATACCCCTGCAGTCTCACTGCTCAATTCTCTGCCATTTAGGAGTTAAATCACTTTGTTTATACGGCCCTAGTAACACCTCCCTGTGTGTAACTGCACAGCTTTCCTAAACATTTCCTGTAAAGAGTCATCTGATGTTTACACTTCCCTTTTTTTTGTGTGCAAATTACACTCAATCAAGTAGCAAGAAAGATAATCCCAACTCCATAGGAAAAGTACCAAACCTTAGCAGCACTAATAGAATATTAACACAAAATAATAAGCTAAATGCAATACTAAAAAGAACCTAAAGAAAAGAAAGGAAAAAATAGACATCAAAGTGTGTGCTGCAGCATTGGCCCTTATCGTTTACCACAAACACACTAAAGTGTCTAGAGTAACTGATCTAGAAGATATATATATATATATATATATATATGTATGTATGTATGTATGTATGTCCATGTATGTATGTAGGTAGGTAGGTAGGTAGGTATGTAGGTAGGGGTGGGGAAAAATTGTGATTGAAAACCCCTTCCACCTGAAGTATGTGGATAGTTAATACAATGCTAAACAAAAATCTGCACACCAGTCAAGGATTTCTGTGGGAAAAGCAAGTCTTATGGCTTGACATATATATATACCATTTAGATTATGTATTTCTTTCCCCAATACATTTACTATAATAAGAGATCTCTTTTAAAAAAAAAAAACACTAAACGTCCCTAAACCCATCTATTGATGCACTAAATCAAGGAATGTGAAACCCCCAAAGACCAAACATGAGTTTAATATGATAACAATCTGATCCATAAACATCTGTTTGTAATATCCTGATTATTTAGATTTGATTTAGCTGTTTAATTTAATTTAGAATTTCTTATCTCCTGCACTGTTAATATCGTGCTAGACTCTGCAGTAGCTTCTTGTGTGTAATTAAAGTTAATTTACAGAGCAGAAGATAAAACTTTTAAAGCAAGTTAACATCTGATTGAAAGTTAAACCTTTTTTTTTTTTTTTTTAATGCAGGCTGTGTCCGTCACAGCCAGGGGAGGTGTGGCTACGGTTGCATAAAAAGAAACAAGTGATTTAACTTCTAAATGGCAGAGAATTGAGCAGTGAGACTGCAGGGGCATGATCTATACACCAAAACTGATTCATTAAGCTAAAGTTGTTTTGGTGACTATAGTGTCCATTTAATTACTAGGGATACTGGATTTTTAAAGTTAAGCACTTTAACCGTCTTTGCTCATGGAAATGATTCTCTGTCCTTGTGTCCAAGTGTACAGTTTTCTAAGGGAACATTATAACTTTTTTTTTTTTTTTTTATGTTGGCCTCAAAACTCTGCATTATTAACATTTAAATAAAACTTTACCCATGATGAGTTTACCATGTCCAATTCAATTAAAAGGGTCCATTACAAAAATTGTGACAATTGCCTTATATTAATATGTTCTTTTCGATTTAGTGGTGCTGATTTGACTGGGGGGGAAGGGGGTGTTGGGCAGAGGCATTGTTCCTGTTTTCCCCCCAATATTACTTGTTAATGGAAGCAAGGCTAAAATGCTTGTACCTTTTGTGATGTGTGAAAATGTATTTATGTAGATACATTGAATATTACATATGGAATAACAAAACTATAGTTAGGACAAGGGGACTCCATTTGAGGTTCTAGGGAACAAAATCAGGATAGTTGGAACGAACTCAGATTTTGGGGCTATCCAGACAAAATCAGGACTGATGGGAGACTTGCACAACAAGTAAAGCCTAAAATGTACATACCACTGCAAACCAATCTCTTCGGTGGGGAGAGGGGGTATTTCTACTCTCCAGGACTAAGTTTTCACTCACCAATGGCAAAAGGAAATTTTAAGCCCTGGTAAGGGTATCCTATATTGGTTAAATATGAGAGAAGAACTGTTATTGTCCCTAACCGGAGCAGCCTGCATGTTTCATGCTAAAACGGAAGCGGTCCTTCAACAGCTATTAAAGGACCACTATAGTGCCAGGAAACCATATTAGCTTTCCTGGCACTAGAGGGTGTCTAGGTCCTCCCCTCCCGCCGGGCTCTATGGTGAGGAAGGGGTTAAACACTTACCTTTTCTCCACCACCTCGGCGGTGGGGACACTCCGACTCCTTTCCCCGTCATATACTGAATGCGCATGCGCGGCATGAGCCGCTTGCGCATTCAGCCAGTCCATAGGAAAGCATTGAGGCTGGATTAACCCATAGGTAAACTCAGAGAAACTGCAGAAAGGGTTAATCCTAGATGGACCTGGCACCCAGACCACTTCATTGAGCTGAAGTGGTCTGGGTGCCTATAGTGGTCCTTTAACCCCTTAAGGACCAAACTTCTGGAATAAAGGGGAATCATGACATGTCACACATGTCATGTGTCCTTAAGGGGTTAATGTATGACGGGCTTCTAATTGTAAACATTTGAAGCATAACACTGTACGAGCTGCTATGCCTTCGTCTTCACTTTCTGTATGGATTAGTTATATATTTTTGTTTGTGTTTTATTTTTAGAGTGGACAGGGACAGAAGTGGTGTTATATCTGATACAGAACTCCAGCAAGCCTTGTCAAATGGTGAGTAAGCTTCATTTTATTCTACTTTATTAGATTTAAGCCAATGCACATAATACAACATTTTGCTATCTTGTGAAAGTTAGCCTTCACTTTAGATAGGTTTGGATCTAGACTTTTTTAGTACTCTCCGTGTTGGGCGTTCTGTGGCCACTCTTATCCAGTTCTTTTAACAGATTTGTATAAAGGGAATGGATACTCATACGATGATTAGCATGCAAACAAGTATAAGAATGCTTGTTTGAGTTCACCTCAATATCCACAATGAGTATTCCCTAAAGATAAAATCTTTATGAAATACTCACACTGGCTGTGTTGGAGTTTCACTGAATGGCTGTCTGACAGATGGAGATAATAAAAAATGAGCGTATATCTCTAAAAGAAGTTATGCAGTCGGGGTGCAGGGATAGACTTTTCATCAAAACTACTTCAGTAAGCTGGAAGGCTTATGGTGCTTGAATGGGTCATATAAAGCTAGTTGACTGTTTTAATGTGTTTACACTGTGTCTCATCTGTACATAAGTTTGAATATAATAAGCAACACTTCTAGCCTTCTACATCCGTGTTTATCTTATATGTTCTGTATAATGCAAATAATGTTTGAGATGGTCTCTGTAATCGTAAGAAGTATTTAAAGGGACACTATAGGCACCCAGACCACTTCAGCTCATTGTCATACTTGGTCCTGCAATGTAAATCATTGCAGTTTTAGAGAAACTGCAATATTTACATTGCAGTACTAAGACAGCCTCTAGTGCTGTCAATCAGACAGCCACTAGAGGTACTTGCTGCTTGCTAGGAGACTTTAGGTTGCCTAACTGATGCTGGACATCCTCACACTCTGCATGAGGACATCCATCGTCATGTGCATTTAATGCTAGGAATTCAGGTTTGTATTCCTAGCACTATAGTATCCTTTTAAACCAGTTAAGGATTGTACCTTGGCAACCTTTACAGACAGTCAGTAAAAATCTGATGATCTACATAAAGTGTCAGAATTAGAATTGACAGTCTGTTAATTTAATTCGGCAAGCTGTTCAGGATAAATATTGTTGCACTCTCAAAATCCTGGCTGGAAAGTGCCCTAATTCTTTATGGTGCCTATTATTTGAAGAATTTAAACAGATGTTATCAACGATTACTGGTATTGTTCATGCATTTAATTTTTTTCATATTGTGAATTATGGTAGTCTCGTCCTAATGATACCAATGATATAATGCTGCAGAATCTATTATGCATGCCATTCCAGGAGATTAAAGCCATAGTCCTTTACAATCTTGCAATATACTACCAGGTAGGCTTGCAGTTTATTAGGAAAAATGTAAGCTAATTCAACCTTAAGCATCAACAATCTTTATTTCATAAACTGGTGGTTTTCAACCCATGTGCTTTGAGCCACCTTAAAGTGTGCTACCAACACATTTACCTCACAGTGCTAATAGGTAGATAGCAGTTGTAAAAATCTTTTATTTATTAAAAAGTATTGTGACGGACCGCTGGCACTCCGACCCAGTACCTCCGCCAATCGATGCTCCTAGCTCTTGCCGAGGACTCCAAACACTCCACCAGACACCATAAACATTGCAGACCCCACTTCCAGCGATGCAGCTGCGCCGGGGTCTCGCCGTCCTTCACCCATCCTGGACCCAAGACCAGGGTCCAGCTTCCAGTGGGTAGACCTCTCCTAATCCAGAGAGCGTAGCAGGAACAAGCTCTTACAAGAGCTTATACTCAGGGGAGTATTGTGATATACCAATCCCCAAGAGTGTAGTTATCCCCTCCCCCAAGCATGAGCCAAGGCTTCAAGAAAGGGTCAAGCAGGTCTGTTTAATGTAAGCCAGCACTAACAATTTATACAATTCCTCAGGCCAGAGGCACACCCCCTGGGCCTAATGGAACACAGGCACACAAACCAATCAGAACAATACAACAATGTCCAACACTCCCACATACAGCACACCAGCCCTCCCCTCTGCCTGTGATACAATTTACTAAGACAATGGACTAACTCAATTAACGCTACACAAAAAAAAAACATACATTTTTACAAACCCCCCCAAAAAAGTACCCCAAAATACAACATATCCCCTGATAGCCCCGACCTGGGTGAACAACATATCCAAAAATCACCCAGATCGGTTCAGGGGTTCAGGAATTTCCTGGAAGTCTTATTTTTGCCCCACCGCGCACATGGTCCCATGCCCAAAACAGTTCCATACACTCGATGACAAAACACTGCTGGACAATTTAAGATGGCCGCCGCCACATGTTTGAATCTGTTCCAGTTAAAAGTCCATTGGAAAGAAACAGTGCCTTTAAAATCCAATATGCCCAAATAGTGTTTTTAAAGGGCAATATATCCCAGGGGCCATAGTCACAGGGCAAGCAGGTCTCTCCAAGTACAAGTGGCAAGGTTACTTTCGCCACATGTATATACTAGATTAGCATACTCATCTGGAAATTACTTAAACTTAATAAGTCAGTTAGGTTAGATGTATTCATATCTGTCTAGCAAGTTGCAACTAAACGAAGGAAAACAAATGGGTGTGTCTTGGAATTTTCCTCTCGATGAAGTGTTCATTTAGTCCAAAAAAAAAAACCTCACTTCTATAAACAGTAGTCTCAACAGTATGTGGAGTGTTTAGCACTAAAAACATTGATGGCTGACAATTCTGGAGGAGGAGTTTTGTTAAAGGCAAGAATTCATATTTGCATGAACGCTTGAGATACCTGAGATTGCCAGTAAACCTCTCTCTATTATGTATAGGTAAGAAAACCAGCTGTGAGGGGGAAATGTATGTTTTTGTTTTGTTTTTACTGTAATTGACTGAGAACCAGTTTTGCAGGCCAGTCCACATAAAGAAAGAATTTATTATTAAGTTAACCGTTGAAGGAGTAAGTATTTTATATATTTTTGATGGTTATATACCGTATTTTTCGCTCCTTAAGACGCACTTTTTTTCCCTCTCAAAAGTGAGGGGAAATGTCTGAGCGTCTTATGGAGCGAATGTGAAGCTTTACTTACCTGTATTGTGGGGTGGGCCGGCAGCACAGCGCGCACTGCGGTACAGGAACTTAAATTTCAGGTTCCGGTTTCCGGCAGTACTGAAAGGAAGTGCGCACTCAGTGTGCACACTTCTTTTCAGTCCCACCGGAACCTGAAATTGAAGTTCCTGTATCGCGGTGGGCACTTTTAAGCCGGCCCACGCTACAAGACAGGTAAGTAATTATGGGACACTATGGGACAAGGGGAGGGGGGACACTATGGGATGTATGGGGGGAAGGGGGACACTATGTGCACTATGGGACACACACTATGGGATGTGGGGACACTATGGGATGCACTATGGGACAAGGGGGGGACGCTATGGGATGAGGAGGGGGGGGACACTATGGGATGAGAACACTATTGGACAAGGGGGGAGGGGGTGAACACTTGGACATGGGGGGGGGGGACAGGTATAAATAAAGAACACTATGGGACAGGAGATAAAAAAATAAAAAAAATCTGAACAAACTTTCCCATAGTAAGAAACACTATGGGACAGTTTGTTCAGAATATTTTTTTTCTGGGTTTCTTCCTCTAAAAACTAGGTGCGTCTTATGGAGTGAAAAATACGGTAGTTATAGGTAAATACTGCCATTGAGGGGTTCGGAAGCTATCTTCATTATTATTATTATTTTATTATTTATGTAGCGCCAGAAAATTCCGTAGCGCTGTACAATGGGTGGACTAACAGACACGTAATTGTAACCAGACAAATGGACGCACAGGAACAGAGGGGTTGAGGGCCCTGCTCAGTGAGGGAGTGGGGATAGTGACGCAAAGGGTATAAGTAGGGGTAATGAAATATGTTGCTAGAAAAGTATTCACTGAGAACTATTATTTTTGACAGTTGCAGGAGAGGAGTCATGGGGGAGGTGGGAGGAGATGAGAACACACTAACAGTTTAAATGATCTGTTTTTCAAAGATTTTTTTTTTTGGTGGAGACTGGGTGAAAGTCTAACAGAAGAAGGGAAGGGAGTTCCACAGAAAAGGTGCAGCCCTGAAGGTGAGCATCAGATGTGGGAGTACGGACAGAGGATAGACATAATTTGTCCTTTGAGTCTTTGGTTTAATATCTTCAGGTCCCTGAACTGTTTGTGTATCATTACGGCTGATGGGGGGGAGGGGGGGTTAACATTTGAAAGTATAGTGTACAGTGTGCAAACAGACAGGGGTAAGCCAGGACAGGTCAAGGATTGGAGAGGATCTGGCGAACGTGTAATAAACAAAGCCAAATTCAGGAATTCACAGTTTAGAATAGTCCGATATTAGAGGGAGTGATAAAATCACACACCATAAGTCAAAATGCACTCTTGGGTAACAAAGCCTACAACAGGGAAAAGAGGCGTTTTCAGTGTGGTCTTATATAGTCCCAGGTTGTGTACGATTGGTCTACGTCAATAATGACTCCACAGACCAATGTGGAGCAAAAAAAAACCCCAAAAGACTGGCATCGGGGTGTATAAAATGAATGCAAAGAGGAGCGTCCGTATCGATGCCAGAATGATGCACCGCATCGGCATGCTTGGTGCTGTCACAGTCAAAAGTGGCACAGGAATGAGGCACAACGTCAATGTGTGTTGGTGCTTGGAGAACGCAGGAGCCAAGACCCTATGGGAATACCAGGGAATGCAATAAAAAAAGTCATGTAACATTTGGTGTTATTGACGTCTTGATAAATCTTTAATGGCATTAATTTTCAATAATGTACACTTCACCATGTGCCCGCTCTGCAATATGTTTTACTATATCTTTTACCTAAAGTAAACGTGGTTTTAAGCCCTGTATTTCACAGTGTGATGTCAGATTCCCATCTAAAATGTACAACTTAACTGGGCAGACTTTTTTTTTTTCATATGGAGTTAGTCTTGAAGGTGTGTGCGACAAGTTAAAATTGGTCCATAAAAGATATTGTATACTTGAGTTGTGTTTGTGTAAAATGTAAGGTGTAATCGAAGATGCCTTTATAAAGCCTTTGTGGTGGTAGTATATTAAATATATAACCTTGGGTAGTATCTGTAGATATGGGGGTTAATTTGGTATAACTTTGTACCCAGGAATACAAAGCTTGCTTCCCATGCCGCCTCCCTCCCTCACACGCCCTCCTCCCCAGCGCCGATGTCCCTTGGTGATGGGTCGAAGCTCCTCCTCCGTCCAGCGACGAGCGGGCTGTAATGCGCATGCTCTTGCATGCATTAGACCTCCCCATAGATAAGCATTGAGTCAATGCTTTCCTATGGAGAAAAATCTGACGCTGGTTTTCCTCATGCAGAGCGTGAGGACATCCAGCGTCAGATACTGGACCATAGGTCTGTTTCAAACCAGGAACTCCTATAGTGGCTGTCTGGTAGACCGCCACTATAGGCTGACTTAGTGCTGCAATGTAAACATTGCAGTTTCTCTGGAATCTAAAACAGCGTGGGGCAGAGGAGGTGAAAGAAGTAACAGAGCCACTTTAAATATATAAATAAGATAGTTATAAGTTATGTTTAGCTTATATTCTAAAAAGACCAGAGTGATATCCATTGGCTTCCCGTAAGATATAGGACTCAATTTAAGATGCTTATAAATCTCTACACAATGCTGCTCCGACCTGCTTATGCTCACTATTACACAAATATGTCCGATCTAGGCCCCTACGCTCTCCACTCCTTCAAAAAATCTTTGAATACTTACTTCTTTAGGAAAGCATATGAATTAAACTGTGAACAGCTTTCCCTCCCCGCACCCTGCTTCCTCTCCTGAAACTGTCATCAAAACAAAACACTAAGCCCTCAATGAATACTATCCTAGCAACCTACTTTTCTACCCTACCCTTACCTTTTGTGGCACTATAGCACACTCCCGCTAGCATGTAAGCTCATTGAGCAGGGCCCTCAATCCCTATGTTCCTGTGTGTCCAACTGGTCTGGTTACAAATACTTGTCTGTTAGTCCACCAATTGTACAGCGCTACGGAAATTGTTGGCGCTTTATAAATAATAGAGGATTTTGCTCTTTTATTTATTTATTTTTTTATTTTTTTTATTGTGGAAAATGTGAATCACTCATGTGCTTCAGAGTTACTTGACAACCCAAAATGTTATACCGCCAGTAAACAGCAGCCATTCAACCCAAATAATGTGCCTCACGGATACTTGTTAAAATTACTATTGTAACATTTATGTAGAGGATAAAGCTGCTTTCATTAAAGGACCACTGTAGGCACCCAGACCACTTCAGCTTAATGAAGTGGTCTGGGTGCATTGTCCAGCTAGGTTTAACCCTTTTTATTTATATATATATCAGTTTCAGAGAAACTACTATGTTTATATTCGGGTTAATCCAGCCTCTAGTGGCTGTCTCATTGACAGCCGCTAGAGGCGCTTCCACGCTTCTCACTGTGAAAATCACGGTGAGAAGACGCCAGCGTCCATAGGAAAGCATTATGAATGCTTTCCTATGAGACTGGCTGAATGCGTGCGCGGCTCTTGCCGCGCATGCGCATTCAGCCGGAGAAGAGGAGGAGAGCTCCCCGCCCGGCGCTGGAGAAAGAGGTAAGTTTAACCCCTTCCACCCCCCAGAGCCCGGTGGGAGGGGGACCCTGAGGGTAGGGGCACCCTCAGGGCACTATAGTGTTTTTCTGGCACTATAGTGGTCCTTTAAAGTAAAACATGTAAGTTAGGCCACAGTCACTAATCACTACTCTTACTCTTAAGTGAATGTAATTTTTTAATTTGTGGGGGAGAGGGGTCTACTTCCTGTTCTCTCATCCGTTATTCTTTGTACTATCAGTGATTACCGTAGTGTTGACATGTTTCTACAAATTGTCTTCCTCAGAGTGTTGATAAAATATTTGCCATCTGTCTGTTCATACAGGTTTTCCATATGGCTAACAACCAATCAAATTGATGCTGTCACCATCTTTATAACTGGTAATCTGGAATTATTGCCATTTTATATATGGTACAATTATGTAGTTTTAGAACCATCTTTGTGAATGGGGTATAAATATTGCTACCATGTTGTTTAAGGGCATATTAAAGGAACACTATAAGGTTAGGAATACAAACCTGTATTCTAAATGCTTTAGTTTTTATCGAATTGTACTAATGTCCCCCCTGCTGTGAGGGTCAAAGGATGAGTTTTACTTACCTTCCAGCCCTTGCCCAGCTGGTCTCCAACCTCAGCCAATCCTTTGCTTTCCCAGAGGAAAGCTTTGAGACTCTACTTCACACGCGCTGCAAAATGCCACACAGCCATGATCGTTTCTCGGAGAACATCCAATTGAAAAAGCCAAGCTTTTACTCCGCTATTTCGTCAGAAGCGTCTCTAGTTACCCTTGCCATTCCTGCAGAGCAGCAAAGTTTTTAGCTGCAGGGTTACAATACGAGGGATATGGCACAGACCACTTTAGTGAGATGAAGTAAGCGCTGCGAAATCTGTTGGCCCTATATAAATGGCAATAATAATAATGAAGTGGTTTAGGTGCCTGTAGAGTCCCTTTTGGGGGAATTCATCTGAATGTAATTATTGTAAGTATAGTGAAATTTACAATCTGCCAGTAACCAATCAATTTTATGGCTTTCGGCTGGAATCACAACCATTCTGAATTCATGGGACATTTCACTGCTGGTATTGTATCTGGCATCCGTTAGAAGTACTTTTCTGACTTCCAATGAGACTGCAGAGTTGTGCTTCTTCGTTCACAAAGCTCCTCTACGAGGAGGATTGGGCATTTAGAAGTGTTGTGATGTTAAAACGAGATAGTTTAAAGCGGCTGTAGGGATTCTATCTCAGAGTGGGGGATCTGTGTAGTGTCTGAGTATAGTGCTACACGTTCTCTACTGCCATGCTTACTCCACAGTGAGGGGCACCTCCTTTCTGTGTCTGGTGTGTGCAGAGCTGCCTGCCTATTTACAATGCTAATAAGCCTGAGTAGCTTGCCCACAACAAACATGACATGGGACACAAACTATTGTGGAACCAGCCAGCTCGGGTCAGGACTGGAAGATTTATTGCACGATAGACCTGCACACGGCTGTTCTCTCTGTTAAGGCTTTCCACATAGAGGTGAGATGGGTAGTTTATTTGTGAGTGACTGACAGGTGTTAATCAGTGAATAGTTACATTTGTTTGCTTAACTACCCTTTCACTATACAATGCTTTAACACCTTACTTCTACACAGCAACTTCTCACCTCCTTATTTTCTCTAAACTGTGCACTTTCAGTTCTCATAACCTTGATTCTTTCGTGTCAGCTGCAATTACTCCCATTTCCATTGTCATCCTATTAACCCTCTTCATCTTATTTAACCTCTGTCTGAACATTTATTTAATTAACCCTCTGTCTGTCTTTTCATCTCGTTAAACCTATATTTGGATAGTTATCTCATGCTTTCGTTTAAAAAAAAAAAAAAAAAAAAAGCTCTGTTTAAAATGGCATCCATTGCTAGTGGTAGCTACAGAAATGCAAGGTTAAGTCAGATAATGCCTTTCTGTGCTTATTTGCATGACAAGCTGGATATTCTGGGATAATTGTGGAAACATGATTTATTGCAGTTTGTATCCAAAGTAGACTTCCTTCCGAAAGACCAACATACAGATTAAAAAACAGTGCACACACAAAAATAGTTTTCAATTTTACAAGGCTACTTTATTATTATTGGCATTTCTATAGCGCCACCTTATACCACTGTGCTTTTTATGCAGGGGGAAATGTAACCATAAATGAGATAATTACAAAATGTTACAGAAACAGTAGGCTGGTGAGGAACCTGCTCAAACGAGTTTATAATCTAGAGGTTAAAATCACTTTAATTTATGTTAATATTGCACTGTCACTATTAAAGTAGTTGTCTCTCATGTTAATATTAGTATAGGACCCACCAATATTGCAACTACTGTGATGTAGTTGTGGGCTCAACACGACATGGCCATATGTTGGAACTGAATCCCCATAATTGTTTAAATAGGGTATTATTGTATCCTTGAAAAATGTAAAACTGCATTTATGTGTGCTCTGTTCCTACGTATGTATTTTGTAGAAATGTGTCTTTACGGCAGCGCCACTGCAGAGAAATGCATGTTCTGGGTGTGCCCCCTGTTCTTTCCTCCACCCTCCCCCCTAAAGTCCAAGGTGAGGCATGCAGGTGATGCTGCAATTTTTTAATCTATATATGAGGGCATACTTATGCATATGGTTTGTATTGCTCCTTGTGACTTTGTATCAGTAGTGTGTACTCGGACATGCTTTTGTGATGCTGGTACTGTATGTACACACCTGTTTGTGTGTGCACGCCTTTTTCTGACTAGTTTGGTTTCATAGAGAAGCATTGGGACACCAGGCTAACACATGGCAATTGCTGTGCTTGATAAAGCAGTATTTCTAATAGAGAAGCACTGAATCCAATCCTTCCCTATGAGAAGTTTTTCCTTTTGCTTTGTGTTGGGACACAAAGCAATAAGGAAGAGTATTTGCACTTTTCTTAAAGTTAGACTTTTTGTAACATTTCAGATTTTTTTTTTTTCTAAAATCTAAATTTTTATAAAAGCAATAAAGGGTGATACATTATGTTAACCACTGAAGCACTTCAACTAGCGGAATAGCTCGAGGCCTTTGGAGTGTTCCTTTTGTGACACATGTATGAGCGAGTGTGCGGATAATGCGTGCTTTTGTGTCACATTGTAATGAAATATTGTGTGACTGTTAATTGTTAGTCCTTATTCGTAGATTTTTCTAGAGGCCTTGTATAAAGAACTAATGTGTGGAAATTATCTGAATTTGAGGAAACAAGGGATTTGGGAAAACATTCTGAATTTGTAGCACTCTGCACTCTCAAACCATTGGAAATTTTCTTTTTGATTGTCCAACATTTTAGAATATTGATTTTATTGCAAAACCTAATGTACCATTAAAATTAAGTTTGTGTGTATTTTAACTTAGTCTTCCTTAAGTAATTTTATTTTAGCTCCTGTCATAAACAAGAAAGAAGACAATAAATAAGTAGTCAGAAAGTTTAAATTGATTTTGAACATCCTTTCTCAGTATATGACCACCCTCATAGTTTACATATCAAAATTCATGTAAACAGGTATTTAGGGCTAACAGGAGTCCTGTTACCCACAACTGCTCCCTGGCACTGTGTACCACCCTACCCAAAGCAAACACGCCTGACTAAACAGTAGTCACTTGTATTGAAGCTGTTGACTGTGTGCTGGTGGGAATTTGGTGAAAGAAGTAGATTGCTGGGAACATGTAATTGTGTCGACATGAAACTGACGTTGGCATTTATATGCAAACAGCTCTGTATTGAAAGTGGGAGGAAATCTCAAGTTTGGCTGCTTGTTTTGTATTTTTCTTTTCCTCCTTTGCTGTAAAACATTCGTTTTAGAGATATTTGAAATAAATTTCACTTAAGGGGGAATGGTCACTTTCCAGATTTTTTTTTTTTTTAAACATTGTTTGTTTATCCGTATATTTAACAAATGTGAAGTGTTAAAAAAATCAAGTTAGATGTAGAAATCCATATCTTTTTCCTGCAGCTGATTGCCTCCATCTTAGCTCCTGTCAGCCTTAGTTTTAAACTCTGTCCTTTGCATAAAGAAAATAAATTAAAGTTTCTATTTTTCCACTTAATTTGCAATGTTTCCCCGGTTTTACTTTGATCTAGATTAGGGGTTCCCAATTAAATTTTCCCGTGGAACCATTTGACATAATGTGATAACAACGTGGAACCCCACAAAAAATTGTTGGCGCTGTAGCACAGATATTAGTACTTGGGAGCAGGTGTGCTTTTGTGTGTACGGTTGGTGTTTGTGTATAATGTTAGCGTTTTGATACAGGGGTATGTTTGTATTTGTGTGCAGGGGTGTGCTTGGATATAGTGTTGGCCTTTTAATGTGGATGTACATTTGTGTGTAGTATTAGTGTTTGAGTCTTTGAGTGAAGGGTGTGTTTGAGTGTTTGTATATAAATTTAAACACATACTGACATACACACACTCAGATACACACCGTGACACATACATAAACCTTGACACACTGACACACACTCAGACACGCATACTCTTTGACAGACACACATACACATTCACTGACAAACACACATACAAACTCCTTAACAAACACACATACAAACTCCTTAACAGACAAACACACCATTTTTAAAAATTTTCTTTTTTTTTTTTTTTTTTTTTATTTCTCTCCACCCAGCCTCCCTACCTCTGGGAGTGCTGGCACGGAGTCTCTTGTATCCCTGGGGTCCTGTGGGGCTGCTGGGCTGAGCAGCTAGCTTGCTGTCCCTGGGTTCCTGTGGGGCTTGTGGGCTGAGCGGCTGGCGTGCGGGCGGCAAGGTAGCAGTGATCTTACTGCTCGGCTCCCTCGCGCGCCTCTTAGTAATGCCAGGGCCGGAGTGACATCATATTCCGGCTCCGGCATCACTGCGGTGCGCGCGAGGGACCGAAGCAGGGAAAAGTGCTTCGGTGGACATTTTGTTTGCTGAAATTACGGCAGAACCCCATTTGTGTTCTCGCGGAACACCAGGGTTCCGTGGAACACCAATTGGGAAACGCTGATCTAGATCATGATGCCATTTGCAAAGAAAATTGGCAATTTCAAGAGACAAAAAAAAGCAGTTAATACAAGTTGTGTGATTTTCAACATTTTATTTACTGGTGTAAATTCCAAAGAAGCGACAGATCCTCTTTGTTGCAAATTGCTCCAGACATGATTTTCTTTCTTTTGCCTTATATATTTTCCAGTAAATCAAATTATATGCTAGAAGCTTGCTTTTTTTTTTTAAACATACAGAAGTAAACCGGGACAGGTAAAGGATTGGAGAGGTTCTGGAAAACGTGTAATAAACAATGCCAAATTCAGGAATTCACAGAGGGAGAGATAAAATCACACACCACAAGTCAAAATGCACTCTTGGGTAACAAAGCCCACGACAGGGAAAAGAGGAGTTTTCAGTGTGATCTTATATAGTCCCAGGTTGTGTATGTCAATCTACGTCAATAATGACTCCACTGACCAATGTGGAGCACAAAAAAAAGCCACAAAAGACTGGCATCAGTGTGTATAAAATGAATGCAAAGGGGACTGTTCCATGTCAGTATCGATGCTAGAATGATGCACAGCATCAGCATGCTTGGTGCTGTCACAGTCAAAAGTGGCGCAGGAATGAGGCACAACGTCAATGTGTGTTGGTGCCTGGAGAATGCAGGAGCCATAACCCTATGGGAATACCAGGGAATTCTGCTCCGCAAGCAATATACTCGTGCATTATAAGATGTGCTTGCACTGTTCAGAGTCTCTTGGTGTATTCAGCCCATGATTAAGAGTGCTTCAGGAGTGCTCTGCACAGGGGCAGCATTTAGTGGGGATGACCAAAGTGTTTTCACTTCAGCCTGCTGTACATTAATGCTGAAATGCCCCTTTTTTGAGAGTACCTGCCCCTGTACATGTCCCTGAGCCACAACTCCTCTGTTGGTAGGGAGTAGGCTACTGAAAATTTAATGCCTCATCTTGTGTACATCTTGCCATCCCTTCCTTGTGTTTTGCACTAGTTGTATTACATGTTCTAAGTTCTTATGCAGCATTCCAATTGTAATTAAACAGGTTTAGGCTAGGTCACTTGAATTTCCAAATTACAAACGAAACAGAAAGCTTTTCATTACACGCACGCTTAAAAATTCCTAAATTGGTTATGTAACACTATCATTACTTCTCTTGGGTGATTATGGAAACATAAATTCAGACTTCGCCCCTTTATGCTTTGGTACAAGGGAGGGGATTTTTCAATGCTATCATTATTTCTCCTGTCTCCTTAAGTTTTATTTCTGGAAACTTTGACATAGAAGACTAGTCTACTGTTTTAATACAAACTCTCATGTTTGCTATATTTATTTTATCTTGGCTTTCAGAAAAAATGGTTCGATGGGCAGAAAAATTGTCCTGAAGCCTTGTGATGCTGCATTACCTGTTATATCAATTTCTACGTTGATATAAAGGTCTCTTCACTAAGATCCGAGTTTAGCTGCCAAAATACAGCACAGCTTGGCAGATACATCTTTGCTAATTTTATTTACACAGTTGCATAAAGCATGTCGTTTGACTTCTCTGAATGCTGCTGGTTTTTAGCTGACTTGGGCAACAAGCTCTGTCGCTGCAAATTCCCTATGACGTCTCTGGGCTAACCATTGATTTAGCTTTGCCAGACCATAGGCTCCTGTTGAGTTCAAATTAGAGTTCCACCAGAGCTCAAGTTAGTATTGGACTTCTGTCCTCTTGGAAGTACAGCCAAACATATAGGAATAGAAACTGTAAGAGGTAACCTTGGCCCCCCACGTGTGTATGAACTTTCCCATCATGTGCAACCATCCAGAAGGAATTAACAAGAATATCTTTAGTCAATAATAGGGTGGGAAAAGCAGAATCAATATTAATTTGTTTCCAATTCCAGCCATCACCTGAGCTATCTAGTTCAGATGTTGTATGGAGAATTGGAAGTGTTAAACAAAGAACTGCCTTTTAAATCGCTTTCTTAAAAGTTTAGCAAATATGGTCTTAAAGAAAACAATTAATTACACTGTAGATATAGAATATAATGGGCAGCCTAGCCTGGTAATTGTACCTACAGCTCACTGAAAACCAAATCTCCATAGTTAAGACACAGCATAGTTTTAGATCTCTCTCCTGTTTAAAGGTTTGTGTGTTTAATTTGAATGTGTTTTTTGTATAAATATGTCCTTTGTTATATATATATATATATATATATGTGTGTGTGTGTATATATATATGTGTGTGTGTGTATATATATATGTGTGTGTATATATATATGTGTGTGTATATATATATGTGTGTGTATATATATATATGTGTGTGTATATGTGTGTATATATATATGTGTGTATATATGTGTGTATATATATATATATGTGTGTATATATATATATGTGTGTGTATATATGTATGTATATGTGTGTGTATATGTATGTATATTTATTTGTTTTATGTATACAGACTTCTTAAATTCTCTTTACTTTTTCAGGTACCTGGACACCCTTTAATCCAACAACTGTGCGCTCCATAATCTGTAAGTTCACTTCACTTTTATACACCGTATAGTTAGAATCTGACACATCTAGTTCCATTTTCTGATTTAATATGTATGTGGCAGCAATTTAACGTTCCTGGTTAAATATTAACCTGTATTTTTTGCGCTTAACAGATTTAACATAGTTTAGCATGATTTAATATACACACTTAAAGACTACTTACATTGGCATCTGCAATTAAATAAAATGAAAAGAAAGTAAAAGGTTAACTTCTTGGACTACTATGCCGACTATGGCTAAACCCACCCAGTTTTAAAATTTTTTAGACCTTGAGACTGGAGTTAATACATTAAAGGGACACTATAGTCACCCAGACCATTTCAGCTCAATCAAGTGGTCTGGGTGCCAGGTCCCTCAGGTTTTAACCCTTCAGATGCAAACATAGCAGTTTCAAAGAAACTGCTATGTTTACATTTGGGGTTAATCCATGCTCTAGTGGCTGTTTTCCGGACAGCCACCAATTGAGAAATGCTTTCCAATGGACTCTTTGAATGCGCGCGCGGCACTTGCTGCGCATGCGCATTCAGCTCCGCTGACGTCGGCGGGGGAGGAGAGGTCACCAGCGCCGAGGGTGCCTGGCACTGGATTAAGGTAAGCTGCTGAAGGAGTTTTAACCCCTTCAGTGCCAAGGGAGGGGGACCCTGAGGGTGGGGGCACCCTCAGGGCACTATAGTGTCAGGAAAACTGCTTTTTTTCCCTGAAGCTATAGTGATCCTTTTAAAGCGACACGGTCATGGCTGCATCCGTTTTTTATTTAACCACCCTCTTGACTCCACTACATCTCCCAAATGCCCCACTCGCTATGCTGATTCAAATAAATGGGGACCTAGCACAGGTCCCCCATGGTGGGGCATTTTCTAAAATAATTAACTGGGGAGGACATATTGTCGTACCCCAACCCCCACCCATACCTCGCAATTGGGGGCTATTCAATGGAATGGGGACCTAGGGTGTCCCCCCTGCCCCCACCCATGAGCAGCGGTTAGGGGCACCAAGTAACAATGGGGGGGTACATATTGTCCCCCTCCAGCATTGGTGATGGGTGTGGACTAAATGTAAAAAACACCCCGCCCCCCCATTCCCACCTCAAGTGACTAGGGGGTCACCCCCCTCCGCAATAAAATTAAACCCTACCTACCCCTTCAGCCTACAAATAGTGAGGCAGGAACAAAAAAACTAAATACCTGTAAATAAAAAAATAGGTAACCCCCTTTTGCTACTTTTGGCCTCCACCGGCCACTCATGAGTGGAGGACATAGTGTCGCCCATCCTGTGCCACGCGAGTGGGGGCTATTAAACTGAAGGGGGGCCCCCACCCATGAGTGGTGGGTGGGAGGCCTTAATAACAAAAGAAGGAGGACCTATTGTCTCCCCCCAGCCCCCAGTCATGAGCAGTGTGTGGGGGTCCTAAGTAACAAAAGGAGGGGAAGGGGGGGAGAGAACCTATTGTCTCCCCGGGCCCCCACTAGTGAGCGGGTGGGGGCCCTATTGTCAAACTGACACTGTTATCCCAGCTGACACTGTGTGCTGACTCGTAACATTTTATGTTTTTATTATACTTTTCACATTAAGTGGATGTGTCCCTTTAAATAAAATTACAGTTATTAAATAAATAAAATGTTTACTGGTTTCCCAGCAAGCAGTCTAGAAAGGCACCTATGTGGTTAAGTGTTTTCGAAGAAGAAACTACATTCCAGTTTTTCAAGTTCTCCATAACCGCCAGAATACCAATATTTAGGTCACATTAGATATGTCTACTTCATCCTGGAATGTCCTCACACCTATCTGCTCTAGGGATGCTGTTTCCATAGCTGTCAATATTTGGGGAGAAGGATCCACACAAGCTTTGAAGTAGGGCGATCATGTAAACCGCTTCCAAGACACTTGGCTATGTCCAGACCGGTGACACTTCGTTGAGCACCACTCATTCTTCACCAAGGCCAATACTTTATTTTAGTCCATGTAATCTAGATTCCATCACCCACTTTCCTATGATAATCACAAAGATAAAACAATCCTGACTGCTATTGTTACTGTATTCTTACTCTAACTTTAGTCGCATTATCATTCTTTCACTTATAGATCCATGTTTGTCACAGAATCTGTGTCAATCACTTCACATTCTCCAGGTTACATAATGTGTGTGACTATCCTTTCTCTTCTCTGTCCTGTCATATTTTGCCTCTGTTAGTATTGACTGGTCTTCTCTGTCACGTTTTGCCTCTGTTAGTATTGACTGGTCTTTTCTGTCATGTTTTGCCTCTGTTAGTATTGACCGGTCTTCTCTGTCACGTTTTGCCTGTCACTCTCTCAATTTCACATGAAACAAGGGAAAATCACCTGCAAATTCTTTAAATAGTGGCCATGCAAAAATATTTGAGCCACCAGCAGGACAACAAAGGTATAGATAACAAGGCAAATTAAATGAATACCCAGGGGAGCTGCTTACAAGACTAATTGAGATACTCACTAAAATGTGAATTTTCACATCTAGAAAGTGATGTCAAGTGCACTTAAAAGTTTAGATCAACTTTAAGTTCAGAAATGTTTAAAATTCAAGTAATTCCTCCAAAAAAAAGTAATGTAATTTAAATTCACTTTGAATTTACTTTTAACTGACAATTCGCAGTTTAGTGAATAACCATGTGTGTGGAACAATGAGTTTATTCACCAAGCTGAGAATTGATAAGGAATGGAGACATTTTAGAAATGATTGTCAAACAGGAAAACAAAATCTTCTGAATTGTCTGTATTTACCTCCTGTAAGTATGTGCGTGTCCCTCAGGTGCTGGAATTAAACATTTGTGTCTTAAGATTTCAGATATGTGAAGAACATGGCTCCATGCAAAAAAAGGCATAGCCTATATTACAACATAGGTTTCCCACATACCTTAAATTAAAGATAATTCTTTATTAATTCTAGTTTTAAAGCTATTGAAATAATACACCAATAATGAACACAATAGTGACAGTACTTCAACCATTGCAGCGTATTGGGTTTGTTTCTCATTGTTGTCACTCTTTTCAATTATTTCTTTAGTCAACAACTTTACTTTAAAAAAAAAAAAAAAAAAATTTATTAAAATATATGTTAAGATATATTTGTATTTAAAATTTTAATTTAAAACTGTCCTGTGTTTCAGCCATGTTTGACCGAGAAAATAAGGGTGGTGTGAGCTTCAATGAGTTTTCTGGGGTTTGGAAGTACATAACAGACTGGCAGACCATCTTTCGAACCTACGACAGAGACAATTCAGGGATGATCGACAAAAACGAACTAAAGCAGGCGCTAACAGGTTTTGGTAATTTGTTTATCTTTCTGTATGTCTTTACTTCAGTAACTAGGAGGCAAACTAGATAATGTCCAGCCACTAAAAATGAGAAAAAAATTACCCGTTGATGTAAGTAAGGATTTATCCCTGCTCACACCAAATCTGCAGGACGTGTTGTTACGCCCTAAAGGCATTAAGGCTCATTATAGTTTGGACATAATGACATGTCCTACTGTCCTTAAGGGGTTAATGCTAATTCAGTAGTGTTTACAGTGTCCCAATAATATGCATACATTACATATCTCTATGTTAGAACAAATTACTACGTTATGACTGTCCTCCTTCTTTTGATTAGGGGCTTACTTGGCCATCTTTGTAATATACAGTATTTTGTAAGGGAGACAGAGAGTTATAGTCCTACAGGTAGGTTGACATTTAACCCTTAAACCTTTTTTAGAATTGCTTATCCATACAATGCTGTGGTATTGCGCACAGATGATGGTCCTAAAGAGGAAAATCTTTGCACAGTGTTATATGCCCTTTAGCTAGCTTTTAACATGGCAATATCATGACCACCTGATAATGCCAGTTTAGGCAGAGACAGAAATAGTACACTACCTCTGCAAAACATGAAAAAAAATATTCTGTCTTGTTACTTTGTATTCGTAACCTAGCAATGCATTCAACAATAGTGTTTCTAAGGTTGCTATGTGATAATGCAAACATACCGTATTAGAAAGACAACTCTACCTGAGTCAGTTATTAGTGTCAAAGATAGTTTGGCTGTACTCTGTTTAATAAAGTTTACAATGTAGTATTTCCTGATGTGTAAGCATGTTTCATGGCTCAAACAATGGGAAAGGGTTAGACAGTCTCCAATATGGATGGGAAACATTGTTGATATAGGCACCTACAAGCACACACATTTTAGGATCCTACAGCTCTGAGCTTACTTAGTTATGTGCATAGCAGTTTCATGCCTACACTTCAACTGCATTTTATTTTTATTTTTTATTTAAGGCTATCGTCTAACAGATCAGTTCTATGATGTTCTCATTCGCAAATTCGACAGACAAAGAAGGGGACAAGTTGCTTTTGATGACTTCATTCAGTGCTGTATTGTTTTACAGGTAACTAGAACGGGGGCACTTTACTGAAAGCTATTAAAGAAGTGATATTGGGTATTATTATATTTGCTAAATAATGAAGGTGGTCATATCTGTGGCCATAAAGGGTCACTCTAAACAGTGCAGAGCTCCCCTGTCACTGTACACACCTGCTTATATTAATCTGAAAAGAAAAAAAAATGCAGCCGCTATAAACTTCCTCTTCTCCCACTATTGTCAAAGGAAGAAGTTTAACATCCTCCTTTGCTGTCCTGATCTGTCAAAGATATGCATGAGGCAGGTGCATGACAATATATGCTCTATAAATTGGGGTCACTTGCAATCCTAGAGTATGCCTTCTATTATGGTATAGAGCTTATAGAGAGGTTGGAGATGTTGGATATATACATTTGTTGAACCAAAAAAATAATTTCATACCCTAGATAAATTCATATAAAATACATAATATATGATTTTTTTTTTTTTTTTAGTACAACAAAAGTTACCATCTTTAGTTTTGGTCTGTACTATTCATTGAAACTATTCACAAATAAACGGTTTTGGGAAATAAATACTATTTTTAAGGAGAAGGTGATGGGCTCCCAATCACCATGGTTGTTGTACTGCATCAAGTAATTCTCAGAATGCTTCATTAATTGAGCTTCTTTCAACTAATTATAATTTATATATAAAACAGACTAACTTCCATTGGAAGCCAACCACTAGCAAATCCCCCACTCCTCCTTTATTTCTTCTCCTCCCCTATCTCTTGTTCTTTTCTTGTGTTCTAACCCTGCACCCCTCAGCCCCCCTTTTTTAAAATTAGTCTTGTTGAGCACTATTCAATATCTTCCAACCCTGATTTTTCTATTTGTATGGCACTGATGTTACTTGTTTCCCCTCAGTATATTTTAATTAACCCAATACCTCATTATCTTTTTTTTGTTTTTTTAACAGCTTGTTGATCCAATAAGGATTCTGACTGAGAAACAAGCTTACTTTACCATTTAGTGGGAACTGTAAATGTTGTTGCCCGATACTGGATCAAAAGTAGAATCTGAGATGAAATGCTGAACTTCATGTTCATGAGTTCAGCCTATATTACTCTGCAACTAAGTATTGCACAAAGCGGCAAATAAACTCTGTTAATAGGAATCTTCTCTTGGGTTCCTTGTTATTTAACATAGCATATTCCTTTGTGTGTAAGAGCACTCAAAGCAACATATTAAACCCTATGACAGAACACTAGCATGTTCCTTTTAGTTTAAGCATGTGTGGGATATGGATAAGGCCAGAGACTAATGAAAGTATTTAGAAAATCGGGCAGGCTAGATGGGCCGAAAGGTTCTTATCTGTTGTCACATTCTATGTTTCTTTTCTCTCGAGTTGCGTAATAGAACGGTTACCAGTTATTATATTACCAGTTATTTAAACATTCACAATGTCCTTTTCTGTTACCGTAAATTATGCCCCAAATATGCCATTTATACCTTGCAATTGCTTTGTGTGTTTACAGTACTCTTTGTGCTTCTATTTCAGAGACTGACTGATGTCTTCCGGAGATATGACACAGACCAGGATGGCTGGATCCAAGTATCTTATGAACAATATCTTTCTATGGTCTTCAGCATTGTATGATGCCATACCAGTAGAGACTAGAATTGCCAAAACCCCATATTTTCTTACTATACTTGAGTATTGTACTGTAATGTACAAACGCTTCATTTTTTTTTATAGTTCATCGTAAGCAAAATTGTTATTGTATATGAGGATAACCTTATTTTTACCTTGTATTAACATGAAATATAACTTAGCCATATTTTTATTTACATAATTACTATGCCATTATTATGTGCCAGGGGGAAAAAAAGTAGTTTTGTAAGGATTTTCCATGGCCTAACCTTTTTTTCTTTTTTCTTTTCTTTCTTACCTTCATTTAAATATACAGTGCCACATAATTTTCTTAATTTGCATTCTTTGGCCAAAATAAAATTCATAGGATATTTTACATGCTTCAGTGCATGGTGCTGCACGTTTATGTACAATAGTAATATTATGGCTAATCATAACAAGCTCACTCACATTGAATTCCGTAGAAATATATGTAGAATTGTTGTCTTTTAAATAAGTGCCAGTGTGTCTTTAAATAACATGCAATTCATGCTATCCTGCCCCTTTAACGGAGATCTCTCGTTGCTGGTTCTTAGTAGAAGTTCACAGTTTCAGGCTCTAACAACTGGGTACACTAGAAATTTTGTTGCACAATTGGGAAAACTTCTAGCATGGTATATATTGACACAACATTGTATGAGCACAACTGCTTGTTTTCCAATACAGTCCTTGTTTATACGTATGATGCCAAATTCGTTGAGGATGGGCACATTTGTCTGATAACCATCAAATCATCCAATATGCAATGATAAAGTTTCCATTAACATGCTATTTTGTTCACCATATTTCAGGTACTGATGAGCATCTAGATGTTAAGTCAGCAGAGATTTAAATAAAATAAAAATACACTCCAAAAAGGTAGAAGCCATCAGTTATAATTTTATTAAGTCATTGCCATTCTAAGGGTTCTGTTACAGATTATGTGCAGCCAGTGTTTGGATTTACCATAGGACTGATTGATATAAATATACAGGTTCTAGATTGGAAAGTGGTTTCCTCAGTAGCCTGTCTTACTATTCAGTAAACCTGTTCTTATACAAGTTCATGTATGTCATATGACTGCCCTGACTGGGATGAACTGTGTTTGCATCCAATATATTTTATAATGGGGACTACTTTTTCTGATGAAGGTTGTTTATTACCACAGCACAACTTTTGAATGTGAGTCTTAAATGCTTTTCCACCTTGTCGACAGACCGTTATTCATGTTATTTTATTTCTCTGGAAGCAGCATGCAGTGCTGGCTTATTAAAAAGTCATGATAGCAAACTGTAATCTTTCTATGTAAAATATAGTTGCATTTCAGGGATACGAGCATGGAAGCATGTTTTATGTCTCTAAAATTCTCTCCGTGATCAAACTGTGATTTGAATAAACCAAATACATTTTATGCAAATGTAAAATAATAAAAAAATTGTTATTAAATGTGTACTGCTTATCTAATGTAACATTACACCAACAATGTTGCACAATATGTACAATGTTTTGAAAAGTACTTTGACATTGATTTGTACAGGTTCCATTTTATTAAATCATATCACAATAAAACCCATTATTGCACATTTACCATAAGGGCCTCTTATCATTTGAAATGTGTTGTTTTAACATGTTATTATTTAGACTTAATCCACACACTGATTCAAAACACCCATATACCTTTCTTTTGATGACTGTAACCTTGCATGTATTATGAAGTTAAAAAAAAATTAACAATACCGAATGGGGAGAAAAAGCAAAACATTCCTTGGAAATATTTTGTATACAATTAGTGACTGTGTAGAGCAAAAATGGGTCGCAAGAGTATTCTGAGAACAGACAGCAGCTAAAATAGCCTGCCCTTCGGTGGGTCCCCGCTCAGAACTCAAGCTGGTTTTAGCTCATCTTGTGCCATTACAGAGAGAACATATCAGACTGGTCCCACCCATACGGGTAGTCCAGATCCGAAATGCCAGCAAGTTCTCTCTGCACAAGTGATACAGCAACCCCAGACGATCGTTTCAGCCTTGTTAGGCATCATCAGTGAGGCATAGCTGATATCTCTCTAGACACCGTGAGCAAGGGGTCCATGTCTGGATTACCCTTTTTAGTGACTGTGTAGTTTTTACCTAAACTTACATTCCCTGAATGTATGAAGTCCAGATATGAAATAGCAATTTCCAGTTTAAAATTTTTTGTTACAAAGATCTGGAATAGCTAAAACAATTCAAAACCACCTTATTTATAATTGCTGTTTTTTGCAACGTAAAGGGTACCTGTCATTACAAATGCAACTTAATCTTGCATTATAGAGAACTGAATTGCATCAATACAGTATGCTAGCAGATTTCTCTAAAATCAGAGGTAAAAAAAAACCCATTTATTCCCACCTCCTCCATCACAGATAGGAACTGACAGATCACATGGACACATGCTCTGTATATTTTATTAGGGAAACCTCCTGGGAGTCTCTCCTGCTTGAATTCAGAGAAAGTAATGTCTGTGAGAGAAGTATGGAGAAGGGGCAGGCTCTGTGTGTAAGCAGCACGGAGGGAGAAGAGAAACACGTAGATTAATTTATGACACCAGCTTTGGAAAGGAAATCTTGCAATAGAGTGTGAGACCATACTTTATTATTTAATCAAGGTCAACACCAAGTGTTTTTAACTTTTAACCTGTTATGGGAAATGTTACTCACTGAAAACATGATTGATTGCTTTCAACAGGAGAATGGGGGAATCATTGCAATATGTCTATCAACTTATTTGACAGTGTCACTTAAACTCAAACGAACTTAGAGTGGAACTATGGCTATTCTTTAAATACCTATTAGACACTAAATTGAATGATTTAGGACTTTTTTTGGCCTGCTTTTTGTTGTTTTGGGAACTTTGAATATTCATTTTTAATAAATGGTTCAATTGTGTAAATGTGCTAAAATTATTTAAGTCAGGCTTTGATGGATAGACCGACAAGTCAGTCCAGGTCATTTTTGCAAGAATTCTTAAAGCTGTGTAAATACCTATCACGCCTGGCTTTGGGTTTGCAAGGCTCCACTTGAGTGGGAAATATCCCACACTGTATAGATAGACTCCGAATGGTGTGTTCTCTGAAGTCACACTTTTCTTTTCTGTGAAAATACCTGTTTATGTAATCTGCAGCACATGTATCATCACACATACATGAATATACTTGTTGCTCATTCCATAACCAGCTATTTAAAGTGAGTCCAGTTTTATTTAGATCTCCTTTCCAGTATTTCTATATTCCATGTTTACTACTGCTAAAACACATTAAATCTGTGCACAACAATAAAAACATTGTGAAACAAACAAAATATTTACTTTATTTCAAGATTTCTTAAAGTGCCTGAAGTTGAACATTTTAGATGGATATTTCACATTAAACTATGTTCCATTGCATTATCATGCCATCCTCCTTTGCTTAAGTGATGACTGTGAATCCAACCCACTTATATATCTTTTAGATAGTTGACTTTTTTTTTAAATTTAAATTAACATCTCTTCTTGCCTCCCTGCCCCAAATGTGCCGTCTTTGCCATATGATGACCCGAGTACATGTCCTGAGTATGATTAGTACATGCTTCAGTGTCTGATTGCCCCATTTGGACCAAGACTCTGGCGTCAAATCCCAGCTAAGTTACTGGCTTCCAATCCTTCTGGAATTATGTTTCCATTTGTTCTCGTGGTGTCTGCTACCTTTTGTTTGAAACCGGAGCTTTTGGTTTTGTACGTACAGAAAGAGCTGTAGAAAAGAGCAAAATTGTCAGCATGAGGGAAATTAAATGTTTTAAAAGAGCGGTTTTCTAATCTATATTATGCCAATTTAAATTCCACCGTTATGAATCTTTTTGATGGCATCACCCAAAGCAAAGTGATTTTCGAATTCCATGGGAAATAGTTGGAACGAAAATAGAGTTGGATGATTTTTCAGTTTTGCATATTGTGGCCTAAAATCTGAAATTAACTTTAAAATCACAATTTCCAATTTGGATTATCCAAAATTGGGCCAGTTGCTTAAGTGCAATGTAGGTACAAAGAGTACTACCACTCTACACCAATAGGAAGTCTGGAGATTTAAATTATGGATATCTGGGAGCTGCAGCATAATAACTTGGTATGGTGACTGGTGGTTTTCAGTTTTTTTTTTTTTTTTTTAAATCGTTTATGCAAGCTGTTAAAAAAAAAAGTTAACTTGCATAAACTATTTAAAAAAAAAAAAAAAAAAAATTTAAAAAAAATCTACCATCTTTCCAGTTTGTGGAGACTTGCCACTATATATTCGGAGTGAAAGTGTGCATGGTGGGACATTGCCGTCCATTAATTGGCACCACACTCTTCTTACCTAGAGCTAGGCGTATTTTATACAGGTGAGCAGAATTCTTTGTGTGTGCATTGTCTATTTGTCACTCACTAGTATGTCAGTTTATCGGTTTTTGAGGTGCAGTGGTATCAAAAGAACATGGTTAAGTGGAAACTCTGGCTTTTGTTTTGGTGAGGGTTGTGTGTGGATCAGCGTAGCATACTGTAACATGTCACAGTTGACATATGGAGCTGGATTTTTTCTGAATAAGAGAAGCCTTTATTGTAAGAATTTGAATGTTTTATCTTTTTTAAATTCATAATGGGAATGTGAGAATAGAACAGAAAATGTTCACCAAGTTGGCTATTTTGTCCCCCATTATGGCTATTTTGGCATAAAATGTGCCATTCCCTTGTAGCCCACAGTACTAATTACCTCCACCATCCAAAATTGCACTATTATTTATGCAGATACTTACATTGCTGGGCACCAGCAGGCTGGGTGTTGCTAGCACTGCTTTCGAAGGAGGAATGAAAGTTGTGTATGGTTTCCTGTAGAATCTGTCTCTCGCGCCCCTATAAATAAATAAATACCTTCAAACTGCATGATTCAGGAAGCATCCTCTATGTGACCAAGAATTCTCTTCTGATTATTAAAGGAACACTCCAGGCACCCAGACTACTTCTGCCCATTGGAGTGGTCTGGGTACCAACTCCCACCACCCTTAACCCTGCAAGTGTAATGATTGCAGTTGGTATAAACGAAAAAAGTTACCTTGCAGGGTTAATTTCTGATAAGACAGCCACTAGAGGGACTTCCTGTTCTTGGAACACGAAGAGTTTTTTAACAGACGCTGGATGTCCTCACGCTATGCATGAGGACATCCAGCGTCACCGGAATCCCCATAGGAAAGCATTATTCAATGTCTAATGCGCAACACCATTGCCGCAAAGGCGCATTAGGTCTCCCACACCGGCTGATGTCGGTGGGGGGAGGAGAGTAGGCGGAGCCTCACTCAGCAGCAAGGGACATTGGCACTGGATTCAGGTAAGTCACTGAAGGGATTTTAACCCCGTCAGCAAGCTGGGATTGAGGGAGAGGGGCACCGCAGGGTCCTGCAGTGCCAGGGAATCTGATGTGTTTTCCTGGCACTGGAGAGTCCATTTAATGACACATCAGGTTTAACATCAGAATCCCTGAATTTATTTTTGGAATTGACCTTTCTAAGATAACAGGGTTATTTACTAAAGTTAGAGTTCAAATTGAATTTCAAAGCCAGCTCTGCTTCAGTTTGGCTACTTTGGCTCTAAATCTGAAAATCACTAAAAGTAAAGGATTCATTCGACCACCAAACAAACGTTTGGAGGCACATTCAGAGATTGTTGCTGCTTCTGAATGATTGACAGCAAGGGCTAACCCAGTGACAATTTTAGCAAGTGCGGATTACCAGACCTTAGTGGCTTTGTCCTCATTTTACACCAAGGAAGGCAGTGTGAATGGGCTATTTTTTTACGGGTTATAAGTGAAGTGGCAGTATATTGAACAGTTTCTATTAGGAACTGTAATATTCAGCAGATACCTTTCCAGCATTAAGTTCAGAAATAGCTGCCAAAATCTGCTGTCTGGATCCATCAGTCTTTATCCCCAACTCCTTTAAGTCACCGTCAGTAAGTGTGAGGAAGGCTTCCATGTCAACCTGTGAAAAGAGATTGTTGAACATTGTAATTTTTAACAATCATTCATTTTCCAGTTAGCAAAGCAACTGATTCACATTAAAGATCACAGCAACACTAGCACTTATGTGATAGCCAAACTGATACAGCAATGTCATACAACAGCTAATGTGCACTTTCTTTTGTTAAAGTTGAAAAGGATTCAGTGTGATTGCATTAATGGTAGAAAATGCAGACATTGGACTAGTTATCTTCAAACAGACAGCCAAGGCATGAAATTTATATTTAAATATTCCCTCTATTTTCACAGCCTGGGAATCTGTTATCAGCAGGAGTTCACTGGTAGATGCTGCTAGCCTGTGCACCACCCTTATTATTTTGGAAACATCAGTTCTATAACCTGTGCCTGTCATTGGAATACATGCATTTGCACGGGTTCTGGAACTGGTCACATGCTCCCAATTGAACACTATGATTGATGGTGTAATTTTATTAAACACTGACCTTGATGCAAAATGCTACTTTTAGATATTACCTATGGGGGCTAGGTCCGAATTTGTGCAAATTTGATGGGTAAGGTTAATGAATATGTTATCATCTGTGAAATCTAATGTTAGAAAATAAATGGCAGATTACTTAAAGGAACACTATAGTCACCTAAATTACTTTAGCTAAAAAAAAACGCAGTTTTAGTGTATAGATCATTCCCCTGCAATTTCACTGCTCAATTCACTGTCATTTAGGAGTTAAATCACTTTGTTTCTGTTTATGCAGCCCTAGCCACACCTCCCCTGGCTATGATTGACAGAGCCTGCATTGAAGAAAAAAAAAACTGGTTTCACTTTCAAAAAGATGTAATTTACCTTAAATAATTGTATCTCAATCTCTAACTTGAACTTTAATCACATACAGGGGGCTCTTGCAGGGACCAGCAAGCTAACATAGCAGGGGATAAGAAAGTTTTAATTAAACAGAACTTGCAATAAAGAAAGCCTAAATAGGGCTCTCTTTACAGGAAGTTTTTATGGAAGGCTGTGCAAGTCACATGCAGGGAGGTGTGACTAGGGTTCATAAACAAAGGAATTTAATCCTAAATGGCAGAGGATTGAACAGTGAGGCTGCAGGGGCATGTTCTATACACCAAAACTGCTTCATTAAGCTAAAGTTGTTCAGGTGACTATAGTGTCCCTTTAATATTATTGTACATGTATATGCTACACAATGGAAATTTCTTACACAGCTCAGAATTTGTATAAGTAGATTCTGGGGGAAAAAAAACATAAGGAATAATTGAAAGGCAAAACATTTATAGAAATTACTTTTGTCCACATGATTGAATTGCCAAGAGATGGGGCCTGCTAGCTCAGAAAATGTTAGGGCATGAAAGGGGCACTCCAGACCTATGATACATAATGCATCAGAGCAAAATGTAAAAATATAATCCTTCCACAGAGTAATAGGGTTTCAATTTGAAAAACACTGCCCCTCCTAGCTGAAGACATGCTAGGAATGAAGCAAGTACTGGCATGTATCCCAGAAACCTCAGCATAGCATATTTCCCTCTCACAAAGTGTATACAGTATTCAGTGTGCACTGAGTCACCAGCATCTATTTATCTTAAATAATCATCCAGGGAGAGGCAAGTTAACCCTCATCCGTAGCAGTGTGTGGTTTGTGGACTTATAACCAAATTTCTTGGATGTATGGTCCCCTGATTTTTTTAATTTTTAGCCACATCTAAGCCTTCTAACAGAACATTTTCCATGAGACTTCATTTAGTATAAAAGTTGAATGATCCTTACCAAGCCTTCTTCAAAGAGGATAGAAGATGTAGAGAAACAGTAGGATGCCAGCAGATAAAGAAAAGAGACAGCGTCAAGAAATACATAAAAAAATAAAACTATTGCTATATATTCTTATATGGACCCATCACGGATGCTTTTTAGTTTTTTATTTATATATTTTTGCAATAATGCACAGGGGTCCTATGCAAAATAACAAAGTTATTAGTTAATAACATGGTAATTGAAGTAGTTCGAATTAGACAGTGAGAATGTTTGTCGGTTTTCGGTATTTAGATCAGTGGCTACGTAAAAGTGGATAAATGTGTTTGTGCATTTGTGATCAATGGACCGTTAAAATACCCGAGAAAGATTAGGACTTCATGAAGCTTAGAAATTGCAAAAGGCACATGCAAAATTTTGCCATATCGAAAATGACAAAACCAGGCATGTGGGAGAATTCTTTACTCAGGCAAAAACAAATATAGAGATTGTTCTATATGGATACCAGCATTCATAAACACATTGGTGCGTGCACAAGCGACTAGAGTACATGTGTGTGGAAAACATCACCATAAACTCTGCCTGAGACTGGTGGCAAAACAACTCATATTCTCCATGTGATATATTCACTTTTGTGGAGGCATTTCAATTGATTCCAAAAGAATCCACTACACCCCATCCAAACTCAAGCAAGCATTCCCAGGCACATCCGATTAGTGCTGGAGATGCCTAGAAGCAACTGGGGACACAACCCACATCTGGTGGTCATGCACGGTGATCCAAAAGTTCTGGTCACGGATCTCCAACCTCATATGCCTCATAATAGGAACCACCATACCCTACACACCTGAAACATTCCTGTTTCTTATACTGCCTTCCTCCATACCAAGGGCCATTAGGACCCTAGACATACATATGCTCACTGCAGCAAACCTCCTCATCCCCCTCCACTGGAAACAGGCAGCCCCACCTACCATAAGGGACTGGGTACAGAGAGTAGAAAACATTAGATCAATGAAAGAAATTAGTTTCTCACTAACCGGCAAATACCACATATACACGACCACCTGGGAACCATGGTGTAACTTCATGAGCATCAGTCAAACAGACAGATAGCGACACTCACCTGGAGACAATACTAGACCTTAAACTATTAGCGATTCTAACTGAAAGTCAATGCCAGTATTATTCTTGTTCCCTACCTCCCTTCTATGTCGATTGCATGTAATTTTGTTAACGAATATGAACCATGTACTAGACATTACGATAGAAGTATCAATGTTATCCATGCTATTGAAGTATCAATTGTTACATTTGCAAGATTTTCAAAAAAGAAAAAAAATATTCTGTGAGAAATTAGTCTCTAAAGTTGTGTCAATGGCTTATCTTTTAATAGCCTATATAGAACAAGGAGATGTTTATAAGAAAATAGAGAAATTGAATAAATGGCTTGATATAGATATAAATTGGGAAGACTGGCGTTTGGCTATAAAAAATTATAACAGGAATATCCATTGCACTAATATACTTGAAAAACAATATAAAGTGATCAATTTCTGGTACTTGGATCCCTTGTTAGTGAATAAGTTTACCCCTAACTCTAATTCTACATGTTGGAGATGTGATAGTGAGGGGGCAGATTATCTCCACATGTGGTGGAGCTGCAATTTATGGGCCAGAGACCTAGATCGTGAAACACCATATTGTCAGGAATACACGTTTGTGTGCCTGACACTACAGAAAAAAAATGTATTCATTTGTTTGTCCTGATTTACATAGTATAGAATAAGTTTAGGATTTCAGTATAATTTTAGGAGTTACAGGTCACAAAATACAAGCAGCAAAAAAGTTGAATGTGGAATGAATTTAGAATTTGGTGTGTTCATCTTGTAAGCTTAAGAGCCATTGCAGAAAATAAAATTGCCACACAAAAGTATATATTTATATAAAGCAGATATCAGTCTGTTTACCCAAGAGTATTCGGACACTTTTTACGCAGCCATTTAAGAGCCAACCTCTACTAAATATTATAGTACAATTGTGTTTTGTTTTTTTTCCTGATTTTTTACACACACATATAACAAGTTGTGTAGGTTAGAAACCTGATGTGTACTACTCTTGTACAAAACCCCATACCATGTTCAGCTTCATCTTCTAAAAACTATACCTTTGTCACTATCCTATGAAGCTACATTGCAATTTAAAAGACCAGACCATTTCAATGTTTACAGTTAGAAATTAGTTAGACAAATTTGATGGGTCTATGTCTCAATTTGGGGCATTGTAGCAGTTTATGGGTTAAAATGAAGGATCGAGCGATTTATTTATTTTTTTAGAGTCGATACCGATAATATGTGAACTTTCAGGCCGATAGCGGATAACTTACCGATACTCTGTACATTTACCATTTTGAAAAAAGAAACAATTTCTACACAAATCTACTGTTAAATGAACATGTTTATTATTTATTTTTGCAAATCTTTTTTTATTAAGTAGTAAATGCACAAAAATATACATGCCAGTCAGATTTTTTTGTTTTCAAGAATATTTAGTGTTCCTCTCCCTTCCGTCATTTAGTGTATCTCTTCCCTCCCATCCCTGTCCCTTAGTGTTCCCTTTCCTGTCTCTTAGTGTACCTCTCCCCTCCCTGTCCCTTAGTGTTCCCCCCTCTCTCCCCCCCTTAGTGTAACTCTTCCATCCCTGTCCTTTAGAGTCCCTTACCCCTTAATGGTTCTCTCTCCTCCCTGGTGTGCCTCATTAGCTCTCTTGTAGCATTGCCAAGTGGAGCAGACCGTGGTACAGAAACTACAGTTTCCTGTACCCGGCCAGATTCACAGGAAGTGCTCTCTCAGTGCGCCCTAATGTGGCCGTGTGTTCCGCCTTATGGATGCGCCGGCCCTGCATGCGCTGGGCCACTGCCGCCTCTCACGTTATCGGCAATATAGGTATCAATAGTAGCCGATATCGATATTTGCCAAAATCGGGAATATCGGTCAAACCAATAATCGGTCTATCACTAGCTAAAATTACCCCCATAAATGCATGCTAACTGTGAAAGACGCCACAGGATATGTCAAATGGTTATATGTGATCCTTATTATACAGCCATTTTAGCACCAATTACAAAAACATTTTATCGCATGCATTGCAATTTTGCTGTTTATTTTGTAAACTTGATATGTGATATTGTAATAAATATCACTAAATTGTGCTCAGCTGTATTTCTTGAGTACAGAATGACCCCCTTTGCAAACCTCTGTCAAGTTTTATGAAAAAACAAGGCTGGGGAGGGGAAAGGAAATTTTAAGATTGGTCTTTGGGGCATTTGAATTGCTCACATATTTAAATTACACCATGAATGCATTCCTTTTGCAAAAGTGGACACCATGGGGACTCTCACATGATATATTTTGAGCTTTATTGAGGTGCCATTTTGTCACTGTTGTTTTTCAAAGTTTGCGAAATTAATTTTTATATCCCCATTGTATTTTTGTTGCTCTTTCTTTGTGTATTGTGCGTTAAGATAAAATTATCATCTCCTGGGTACAATGTCCCATATGTACATCTTTGTACAAATCCCAATCTAAAACTAAATCTATTCATAAACCTCACCCCAATCATAACACATACCACAATTTTATACCTAACCCTAATTATAACCTTAATCGTAAACCTAGCAAAGCAATAGTGTTTGAAGGATTCCTTCTGCTGATATCAGCAGAGGAATTCCCTTGCTGCGTTCAGCAGAGAGATTCCTTTGCTGACCCTAATCTAAAATCTAATCTAAAACATAATCCAAATACTACAATTAATTTGAAAATTAATCTTAAACATACATTTTATATAAAACCTAATACTTATTCTAAACCAAATTTTAATCCCAAAGGGTACCCTCTTCTAATAATACTGATATTCGTATAGGGATTCTAAAAAAAAACAAAAAAAAAAACAGAGTGGTAGGTTGCTACTATCTACTGGCTAGTTTCAGTAAGACAGTCTCCTATCTCTAATACTTAAAATAGCATCTGACAAAGCCCAACACCAATCACAAAGGCATTAGGGTATGGAGAGTGACCCTCCATGGTCTGTTCACACTCGAGGAGTCTCCCAAGCACCATATCATGTAACAGAATGTAAGAAAGCACTGATAGTGCTGACATACTGCTCACACTACATTACGGTCTATGGGGATTTAAATTCCCATTTAAAAACCTGCATGCCGATCTCACTCTGAGCTCTGCATGAAGCTCACCTGCCAGTCTGGTGCCACTAAAAATGGCGCCAGATGATACAGTGGATCCCGGAGGGATTGTTTAATGTATGTGGGAATGTCGGATATTGTTATACTGTTCTTATTGGTCTGTACAGTTTGTAATGCGGTGCTCCATCAGGTCCAGGGGGTGTGCCTCTGGCCTGAGGAATTGTATATAAGCCAACCTGTACCAATAAAGTTCCAGACTTGTTCTACCCTTCATGAAGTTTCAGCTCATGTTTGGGGAATTGGAGAACTACCTACACTCTGGGGATCTTGTAAGAGCTTGTTCCTGTTCCTGCTCTCTGGATTAAGAGAGGTCTACCTACTGGAAACTGGATCCTGGTCTTGGGTCCAGAGTGGGTGGAAGATGGCGAGACCCAACCAAGCTGCGGCAGTTCGTGGGGTCTGCAGTGGTTATGGTGTCTAGTGGAGTGCTTGGAGCCCTCGGAAAGCACTAGGAGCATCTGTTAACGGAGGTACCCAGTCGGGATGCCAGGCGATCCATTACAACCCCTACCACTTCAGCTGGAAGTCTATTCCATGCATCCACTACTTTCTCAGTAAAGTAATACTTACGGATATTATTTTTAAACATTTGCCCCTCTAATTTAAGACTATGTCCTCTTGTTGTGGTAGTTTTTCTTCTTTAAAAATATAGTCTCCTCCTTTGCTGTGTTGATTCCCTTTATGAATTTAAAATGTTTCTATCATTTTAAATACATAAAGGGAATCATATCCCCCTGTCTCGTCTTTCCTCCAAGCTATACATGTTGAGTTCCTTTAACCTTTCCTTGTAAGTTTTATCCTGCAATCCATGAACCAGTTTAGTAGCCCTTCTCTGAACTCTCTCTAAAGTATCAATATCGTTCTGGAGATACGGTCTCCAGTACTGCATACAATACTACAAGTGAGGTCTCACCAGTGTTCTGTACAATGGCATGAGCACTTCCCTCTTTCTACTGCTAACACCTCTCCCTATACAACCAAGCATTCTGCTAGCATTTCCTGCTGCTCTATTACATTGTCTGCCTACCTTTAAAAGGACCACTCTAGGCACCCAGACCACTTCAGCTTAATGAAGTGGTCTGGGTGCCAGGTCCTTCTAGGGTTAACCCATTTTTTTTTTTATAAACATAGCAGTTTCAGAGAAACTGCTATGTTTATCAATGGGTTAAGCCTTCCTCCAAATCCTCTAGTGGCTGTCTCATTGACAGCCGCTAGAGGCGCTTGCGTGATTCTCACTGTGAAAATCACAGTGAGAGCACGCAAGCGTCCATAGGAAAGCATTATGAATGCTTTCCTATGCGACCGGCTGAATGCGCACGCAGCTCTTGCCGCGCGTGCACATTCAGCCGACGGGGCGGATCGGAGGAGGAAAGGAGGCAGAGAGCTCCCCGCCCAGCGCTGGAAAAAGGTAGGTTTTTACCCCTTTCCCCCTTCCAGAGCCGGGCGGGAGGGGGACCCTGAGGGTGGGGGCACCCTGAGGGCACTATAGTGCCAGGAAAACGAGTATGTTTTCCTGGCACTATAGTGGTCCTTTAAGTCATCAGAAATAAATCACCCCTAAATCCCTTTCCTCAGATGTTGAGGTTAGGACTCAAATATTCTGTACTCTGCCCTTGGGTTTTTACGTCCAAGATGCATTATCTTGCACTTATCCACACTAAATGTCAGTTGCCACAACTCTGACCATTTTTTTAGTTTACCTAAATCATTTGCCATTTGGCTTATCCCTCCTGGAATATCAACCCTGTTACATATCTTAGTATCATCAGCAAAAAGACATACCTTACCATCAAGATCTTCTGCAATATCACTAATAAAAATATTAAAGAGAATGGGTCCAAGTACAGATACCTGAGGTACCCCACTGGTGACAAGCCCATGCTTCGAATATACTCCATTGACTACAACCCTCTGTTGCCTGTCACTCAGCCACTGCCTTACCCATTCAACAATATTGGAATCCAAACATAAAGATTGCAGTTTATTGATAAGCCTTCTACGTGGGACAGTGCCAAAACCCATAATGAAATCTAGGTAAGCAATGTCTACTGCACCACCCTGATCTATTATTTTAGTTACCCAATCAAAAAAAATCAATAAAGATTAGTTTGGCATGATCTCCCTGAAGTAAACCCATGTTGTCTCTGATCTTGAAATCCATGTGATTTTAGATGTTCAACAATCCTATCCTTTAACATGGTTTCCATTACTTTCCCCACTACTGAAGTAAGGCTTACTGGCCTATAGTTGCCCAACTCCTCCCTACTACCATTCTTGTGAATGGGCACAACATTCGCTAACTTCCAATCTTCTGGGACTACTCCTGTTAATGATTGGTTAAATAAATCAGTTAATGGTTTTGCTTGTACACCGCTAAGCTCTTTTAATAACTTTGGGTGTATTCCATCAGGTCCCACTGACTTATTTGTCTTTAATTTTGACAGTTGAAATAGAACCTCTTCCTCTGTAAATTCACATGTAACAAATGACTAGTTTGTCCTTTTTCCTAACTGAGGCCCCTTTCCTTCATTTTCATCTGTAAATACTGAACAAAAATATTAATTGAGGCAGTCAGCTAGACCTTTATTCTCTTCTACATACCTTACTTAGTTTGTTTTTAATCTAACTAATCCTTGTTTTACTTTCTTTTTCTCATTTATGGATCTAAAAAATGTTTTCTACAATGACATGTTTCACAATAGCAGCAGGCCTCAAGTAGCATGATTTAATTGTAATCCTTTCAGGAGTAAAGAGTGGTATTATTGCATGTATTACCTCTTGTTCTTCAAAAATCGGCTGGTACTTCTCCAGTGACAATTTTTTAAGGATAGCAGACAGCTCATCTGCAAAATATAAAAGTAAGAACAAACAGATGCATATGAAACAAAGCCTTACAAGCTTGATATAGATCACATAACATTATAAAGATTTTAAACATGATATACACTACCATTACCATAATTACACATTGGAAGTGACACTTTATTATTTTGGTGCCGTTCATTCTAACAGGTTTTTAAGATATATGTTTCCCCATTTCGTCCCCTATTTTTCAGTTTATTTATTCTATTTATTTTTATTTTTTGTGTGTGTGTTGGTTTAGTTAGATACATATCTAGCCCCTATATTTGGAAACATTTTAAAATTCATAGATTAAAAGTGACGTTTTATCCATTTATTTAATTATTTTACCACCATTACTGATATTCCCCTGTGTCTTTATTGCTTTAGTACTGTTACCTCCAATTCCTTCTTCTCTTTAATAGCTCACTCAACTAAGGGGTTACCCCCCATACAGAGGTACCAGTCAATAGTAGGCTCCAATTTTCTCTCTCTTTTTTTCTTTCCTTTTCTATAATCCAAGTATGATATACACTAGGACTCAGCCGTGCCTTGAAAGAATTCACATAATGTATATGCTACTTTTTAATGCAAATTTTGGACTGTATTAAGGGGGGCATAAGAACTTTAAAGCAACAGCAAGCAAAGTTTCAAGTGACAATGTGAAGATTTAGAGAGCTCACCTTCATCTGTTATAGTTCCGCTGCTAGAACCTCCACTGCTTTTGGACTGCTTGTGAGAAGAGGAAGACGACAAAGAGGACTCAGCGAGACAGCCCTTTGGGGTGGGTGATGGAGATGGTGTCAGTGTTGGAGAAGTGCTTTTAGAGTTAGAGGATGTTCCAGAAGGAGGACGTTTTAAAATGTCAACTTTCTGCAGAGAAGCAAAACTCAAGAATAATTATCAAAGTAATCCGATATTACTGCGGTTAACAATTACATGACAGGGATCGCCAATACTGCAATGGCTTAGATACTGGTTAAACTTGGTTCAAGACAAAGGTCACATGCAGTGTTCTAACTCAAAGAGAAGAGTGTTCAAAGTCAGTCTCAACAATAACTTTTTCACACACAGGAATTTAATGCAAGTAGCAATCCAAGAATGTGACAAACTGATTGACTTCAGAGATGCCAATGGAGCACAAAATACTTTGTTACCTTTGGTAAATGTGTGCTAGCTGTCAGTGTGACATTCTGCTGCTCTGGGACAGAGGACCCACACACTGTATTGCCTGGGCTTTGTGGTTGAGTTGTTTTCTGCTCAGATAAACTTGCTGCCTTTTTCCGATGGGCTGCTATTTGAGACAAAACATTATCTGCACTGCCACCTTAAAGAAAGAACAAAAAGAAAAATTTCAATACCACAAACACTACTAACATTTACTCAATCTGAGCATTCAACTATTGGCAAACACAAGTTCTAACGACACTATATAGAATAGTCATATTGCTATCTATACCATAATACAAACATTTTAAACGCAAGCTACCCTTATAATCACAGAACCAATAACATATTTTTTTAGAAGATTCTAATAAAATGTAAATATTTCCTACAACTGAAGGGAGTGCTAAAGAGGTACGATGAGCAATTTTTATCTAAATCAAGCTATTTTCCTAGTTTTTGAAAGTGCCTTTATTAAAGGTGACCATAATATTCTGCTAAATATAAAAAAACATTTATATGAGTCAGAGGAGTGGAACTTCTTCATAATTTGATATGCAATTACTGTCAGTTTGACAGAGTTGCTTTTGTGGTTTTGTCAGTGGAGATGAACTGTACATGGAGAGCTCCTGCAACTCTGCCTTTGTCACACAGCTCATCACAGGAAGCATGGACTTGAATGGTGTGAACTTCTGTAGTGTGCACGATATACAGAGTAATATGTAGTGCTTCCTCCTAAGACATCAGGGTCAGGGTTAGTGCAGCAGCAAAGTTGCATGGTTAATTGACTCCCAACACTTTGTGAATATGACATGACAAAACTTAGGAAATAGTTATTATATAATCTATAATAAATAAATGGCATCTGTTAATATAATGTGCTGCGGTTCCCTTTCAAGCACAAATGAACAACTGTTATATAAAAGGAAAATAGTCTCCCATTATTTTTCATTTAATTTATACAATTATTTATGAATTGCTTATCCCAGAGAAAGGAAGATATTTTTCAAAGTCGTCTGAAAAGTGGCCGTTTAAATTGTGTAATTATTTTGATCATATTTATTAAAGCAATCTAAAAAGTGACAGTTTACTTCATAGCAAAATATATAGTGGAAGAGAAAATCCACCGCTTTTAAAAAGAGGCAATAATATTCATAAAGCTGTTGCTGTGGTGAAAAATTGGCACATATGCAAAAAAAAAAAAAAAAATTATATGGTTGAATGGCACAAAATAAGCAATAAATGGATCCAACATTAGACAGAAAAGTGTTGGCAACATTTATTTAAATTCATCTCCCCTAGTGTGTTTATTTCTGAAGAATACCTGAGACAGTGTTGCCACCAACAGATGAATGAGGAGAATGGTTGAAGTTTCCAGAATTTGAAGGACTCCTCGGCAGACTTGGGAACTTTGCAGTTCTTTGTAGTCGACTGACAGATGTCTGCCATAATTGGGAGATAATAGATTATTACTAGAAAAAGAAGTTCAGTCTAACACAGTGTTGAATGAAGGTCTGTAAATGGAATGGACACAAAGAAACGTCTGTGATTATGTAGAAAAAAAGTATGAAGCAGCCACTATGAAAACTGAATGAATGATTGCTCCACTTTCACAACTTTGTGCGATAACTGGTATGTACAAATAATCCTCAATATGCCACAAACAGAGAATTACATCCCCCCAATGTACACATATATCTGCATGTGGTTGGTGCTAACACTGGATCACCTTTCATATACAGCCAATAGCCAATAGGCTGCCAATAGGCTGCAAATAGGTAAGAAGACGTATCCATACTGTATGTTACAAAATAATGGATCACTTTATAAGACTTAACCCTTGCACAATCTTTAAATAAAACCAGTCACTATAAGAAGTGTGTATATGTTTATACACACGTACAATATTATAATATGGGGATGAATTTGTACTAGAAAGGGCTGCACTCACCTGAACATACATACTTAGAAGGGTGTTGCTGGTGCCAATTCATACAACATAGAAGCTATGGTAATTAACATATTATGCCAATTCTAAATACGGTTATACTTTAAGCCGATTGATTGACAGGTGGAAAAAAGACATTTTCAAGTAGGTTTTTCTACTAACCTATACATTTACTAGCAAATCTGCTAGCACAATGTATAGATAAAATGTAATGTTCTGTACATTAAGTATTCTCATTTTAATGAATGACAGGTAATCAGGTAATAGTTTACTGTGGAGTATGCTCAATAAATGGCTGTAAGCAGTAATTCAGGCTTGTTCAGGGAGAGCATGAATGAGCATAAGCACCATTTGTATGCATGTATGTATGCACTCAGAGGGCTTGTAGTCTTGTGCATTATATCCTTTATTTGTGCAAAGGTACAGTCAACGTTTCAGTTCGACTTGTACTTTTTTCAAGTCGGACTGAAACGTTGACTGTACCTTTGCACAAATAAAGGATATATTGCACAAGACTACGAGCCCTCTGAGTGCATTTCTCTGGGACGTTTTATTGGGGCTCAAAATAGCACTGAGGCAAGAACAGGACAGGAATGTGAGTGCCAAGCCCATGTTGGATATATGTATACATATTAAAAGTGGGTCAGGGAACTATGTCCTTTTCAACGGTGTCATGTATTTCATTTACTACCAGAACTGTATAAATACTGCAACCTGAATCCATTTTGATACTGTGAAAAAATGTGATGAGAAAAGAAAACATAACTTACGTCAGAATTCACACTAGCGTTAAAGCTGGGCTTTGAAAGCCTTGATGGCATTGAAGCTCTGGTCTGTTCCATTTTTCCATCTTTACTAACCCTGGAGCGGTCAGAATTCCACAGTTCGAAATTGGATGGAGGCAGGAATGGAGGGATTACAGCCTTCAGTTTGTCATTAGGAAGCTTGGCAAATGGCGCTCCATTCTTTAACTACGAGAATAAAAAGCCAATCAGGTAGGATTGAATGAAAACTTTCTTTAATGAGCAAGCTGTTTATTAGAAGGGAGGCAGTGTAAGCAATGTTCTACAAATACACTGTAAAATGAAATAATAAAGTGAGCCCAATGCAGGAAAAATATGGAAACACTGAAGTCAATTAATAGGTAATAAAATAAATTTAGAAGACAGATACTATAGAGCAAGGCACATCATCTTTTTGCTGCACCAAGTAAGATAATCATGGGTTTTCGTAATTAAATTTTAAAAATGTGGTTTAGATTTTTTTTGCTTGTAGATGTTGTTTGCATGAGAATGATACAAGTAATTTTAGTTTGTGTTGGTCTAGGTCAAACTCTTTTTTTTTTTTTTTGTTGCCCACAAACTTAAGCCTTGTTTATTTGGCCCGCGTTAGCCTTTGAGTTTGACATGCTATGACATGATATCCTAATTACAAAAGTTTTGCAGAAAAAAAAAAAAAAAAAAGGTCAAAAAGGTACACAATATGATGTATTTCTTTACACAACCAGTTATTACCCAGTCTAATAAAATAAAGTGTTAAGATTCTCAATGATTTTTAACTTACAAACGGTTTTTAACAATTAATGGAATATTGTCCTTTAATGATCATTTTCACAATGATATATTGCTGGCAAGAGGCATACATAGTAAGGGAATTTTATTTAAATCTTTGGAACCCGGTTCTGCAGACTTCCACCCTATATTAATTGTAAAATCCCTACCATTGTAGTTAGCAGCAAATCATCATTTTCAACCTTTGTTGTTGTTATTCCTGAAATATAAACAAAATCATATTACAATGCAGCATACTAAGGAAGGGAGATTTAACAAGTACTTAAATTAATTTAGCACATAAGCACCAGAATTTAGCAAAAGTAAACACTTGGTTTATTATGTAAAATGCATTATGGAGGAGTTCCAATATGTTCCATTTAATTAAGGAATGTAGCACTCCAAAGGGTGTCGTTTTGAAGGCAGTGATCTTAGAACCATTTCATTTGTATTTATATTGCAGCTAAATACAATGTCAGATTAGCTTCCTGCAGGGGAGATTTCTCAGACGCTTGGTCACCTGCAAGCACACTGATTGAAATATAGCAAATCTGACCAGCGAATGGATGCTTCTATGTTGCTGCAAGCAGCATAGGGTAGGTCCTAAATAGGCATGCAGAGGACTTCGCAAGCAAACATTGGAATCTATCAATTCATTCCCGATCATTCCCAATAGAACCTCATGCGTTTTCTCACACAAAAAGTACAGATTTAAAAACATTGCCAGGGTTATTCATAAGCAAATGTATTCAAAGTGAATTTCTAACACAAGTCTAAAATAGCTTAACTGAAAGCATAGCGGTTTTCTTTTTTCAGTTTGACTATTATGGTCTTACATTTCAATTTAATTTTGAATTTCTCACTTTGGTGAACCCTATGCAACTACAAAAACTCAGAAAATGCTTTGTTGTTATCCAGATATCAAGGTGAAAGTCTTATGTGTTAACTAACTTTCACATCCTTCTTTTGGTTTGGTATCCATAGGTCAATACCTAGATTTAGATCAGAGTTGAGCCCAATGAAACACTCAGGAAAATGATGCTCAGAGCCTTAAAAGAAGAATATGACCAGAGAATATTGACTGCAAGGACTGAGGACTGTCTGTTGCTCCTAATCCAAATACATATTACTTGTTTCAGCTAAAGTCGCAAAGTCTCAAATTGGTCAGAATTTCAGTCACAAAGCCGCTAGTAAGAGCTTTGTGTATTAACTGAAGGCACACTTCTTGTGCAAGTAAGTTTTTGTGTGTGTTGGTGATGGTATGAGTTCACGCGATATCTTCTTTATGCTCCTAGGACTGCGTGAATGAACTAGCCAGACCTTTAGCTTAACGGTTGTAATTTTATAGCACTGATGTAACACAGTGTATATATATTACATGGATGTTAGTGGTGCTCAGATAGTTCATTCTGTTTGTTTTGTGATACTATTGGCATAAATTGAGTTGAATTCAGTTCTGAATTCATCACATGGGATAGATTGAGAATGTAAGCAAATGTGGTCCTGATGACTGCATGACATCAAGACAAGGGAGGAAGGTAAGTACTATAACACTATTTCTAATAGAATTAATACACTATAGAATCCTAAAATGACCGAAAGTGTAATAATTCACAACTACACAGAAATATAACATGTGTCTTGTTCGGTACACCTACCACTGTCTTTGCTGGTATTAGTCCAAGCTGTAAAAGCCTCTGTTCTTCGTGGGTTGGCAGTGTCGGTGTGTGGAGAACATTTTAGTGCAGAGTCCAGGGATACGCTAGGATTTTCTGAAAAAGGTACAAGCCGATTGGTAGAGAACCCATGTCTCAAAGTCTGAGTTAGTTTCAGCTTGCGGAAACGGTTTGACATTCTGTTCCACCATGACTGAAAAGTGTAAAGAAAAAGAAAACAATAACTAAATCAGAGAAAAAGGGGACACTCCACTGTCCAAATATGAAATATTACTGTTTAGTAGATATTCACCAAATGAATGCATGTGTTTAATTATGCTTTTTGGGGTATATCTAAAAACATCTTGCTACAGGTCCCGTCTTAAACCCTTCCAAGCCCCCCCTTCTAATCCAACCTAGACTTTCTGTTGCTGTCCAATCGCAGTCTTCCCAATGCAGCTCCATGAGAAGTTTTTGCAAGGCTAACACTTAGAAATTGCCTGTCTTCAGTTTAGCTTAAAGCGACACGGTCATGGCTACATTCAGATTTTTTTTTAACCCCCCCTCCCAACTCTACTACATCAAACTGCACCCAAGTCACACCCAAATGCTCCTAGGCCCCCCTATATTCCCTTTTTTTCTTCAACTTTATTTTGTGCCCGAACCTAGTCCCTGGATGCTGCCATCTTTGTGTGGGCAGATGAAGGCTCTGTCGGAAACGTCATCTGCCCACTCTAGATAGCGCTATGAAATTCCAGTGCATACCCAGTTAAACAATGGGCATTTGCTATTGTCCAAAATTCGGACAGGAATTTTGTCTATTCATTTGTCAGAAAGACGAATGAATGAAAATAAATTTCACACAAACGAACAAAGACCGAATGTCGGTGTTTGTTTTGCTTATTACAAGGAGGGAGATACTGGCTCACAGCTCCCTCCTTGTAATATGTAAAAATACAGTGTGCTCCCCACCACTTCCTAAGACCCCCATGTCCTCCCTCACTCTATGGGGTTAATATGACCTCCATATTAGCATATGGGAGAGTGAAATCTCCCAAATGCCCCTACTCACTATGCCGTGAGTAGGGGCATGTCTACCACACAGTGAGCAGTCTGTGGCAGGTGGGGGCCCTTAATAACAATGGGGGGGGGAGAACCTATATTCCCCCGCCCCCACCCACGGGCGACGTGGAGGGCGCTAAATATAAAATTATTCCCCCTGGTGATACCCCCCCCCCGCTGCCCCCAAAAGAAGGAATAGATCCCACCCTATTATCATTTAGTGACCTTTTCATGGGTTGGGGAGGGAGACAATAGGTCCCCCCACTGTCATTTAGGGCCCCCACCCGCCGCTCATGAGTTGGGACAATAGGTCATCCCCCTATTGTCATTTAGGGCCCCATCCACCGCTCATTTTTAATTCTTTATCACTTTAACCCTGAAGGGGTTAATATTTGTTTTTTTCCCTACATTACTTATTGCATGCAATGTAATTAAGCATGTAACTAAGTATATATTTGACAAAAGCTATGTATGGTTTAAAATGTTGCCAGGCAGTCTGTTGTTATAAATCCACATTGAAATTCATTTTTAAAAAAAAAATGACTGACTAGGAGAGTACCATTAAGAGCCTTAAAACATAACAGAAAACAAACAAAAAAAAAGGATACAGAAGCCTGTCACAGGTTTTAAAATATTTATCCTCTTTCAAATTAAAACATGGCCATTACTGAAGAGAACACAGTGATAAATGTTAGACTAAAGTTCACCAGCAGGGTTCTCTACTCCATTTGTGTCAGTATGTTTTTATGGGCAAATGCAAATATTACAAGTTTTAGAATGAAATGTTGTATTTCTTAAACTGTGTATTTTGTCTATATGAGATATTGCAAACTGACAAGGTGTTACAAATGGAACATATTGTTTTTCAAATGTTTTTTAAATGTTAATGGACAGAGGAGAGATTTGGAGACGGAGACACTGTCGCTCCATATTATAATGGATATGTTGACATGTTCAAGAGGGTATATTATTGATATTGCAAGCATATAGTTTAATTGTGTGTGTGTGATATATATATATATATTTGTCTGTATGACTATCTATTATTTATTGGATAATAGCAATACATAAGACATGATAAATCAATGAAAGCCTGAGAAAGTGCTGTACCTTTAACCCTGCAGTGTCTTCAGTTGGCCCAGGGATATTGAAAGATTGCTTGCTCTTGGAAATGAGCAACGGACTTTTATTCTTCTGCTTTGACTTCTCCTTCTCCACCTCTAAACATACAGATGCCAAGAGTCGAACAAGCTCTATATCTGCCGTAACAGAACACAAAATAGACATGATATATAAAAGTGTTTCTATAAAAACTAAGTATAATGTTTAACTCCAGAAATGTATGCAACGCCAATGAGCATGCCATTGACTACACTTCCCAGCTAAGATGGTCACAGTGTTCCTATCTGCATTACAATAAATGCAATATACATTCCCTCTGACCACAAATTCACATCAACACTTGAGTTAGCAGAGTTACACAGGAATCAATGAATATTCAAAAGCATGAACTATTAACATGCATTTCCAGGACTTGTAAGGAAAAGAAGTACTATCTCCATGGGGGAAAAGAATAGAGATCTGCTTACACATAAATACTTAAAGAAACAGGACAGCTATCAGGTCAGACAATATATCTTTACACTAAATTACAGTTCAGCATTGTCACATTTCTAAAAACATTAAAGGACCACTATAGGCACCCAGACCACTTCAGCTTAACAAAGTGGTCTGGGTGCCAGGTCCATCTAGGATTAACCTTTTTTTTAATATATATATATATATATATATATATATATATATATATATATATATATATATATATATATATATATATATATATATAAACATAGCAGTTTCAGAGAAACTGCTATGTTTATAATATGGTTAATCCAGCCTCTAGTGGCGGTCTCTTGACAGCCGCTAGAGGCACTTGCGTGCTTCTCACTGTGAAAATCAATCAATTTACAATGCTTTCCTATCAACTGGCTGAATGCGCGCGGCTCCTGCCGCGCATGCGCATTCAGCCGATGACGTCGCTATGGAGGAGAAGAGGAGGAGGAGGAGAGCTCCCTGCCTGGCGCTGGAGAAAGGTAAAAGGTTGGGGGCACCCTCAGGACACTATAGTGCCAGGAAAACTAGTATGTAAATTAAGCTCAGGCTTTTTGCTTATTTTAATATTTTTTATTATTAATATTATTTATATTTCATTTCTTGGCTTTTATATCATATTCTGCACTGAACACTGACTTCTATGAGTCATGGTCTAGAAGCCAGGTCCCTGTAGATTTAAGCATGCCGCTGCAAACATTGCAGTTTTGCAGGAACAACAAGGATTGCAGTGCATGATTTAAATGCCTCTAGTGAGTGTCGATCTGAACGGTAAAAGTAAAACTTTCTATTAGATGATCTTATAGAGACCATCAGGTTGGAACAGTACGGTGCATTGCTGTGCGTGCACTAACCTCCCAATGGTTTCCTATGGGAAAGAATTGGATAAGCTGAGATCATTGATCCTGATGACCTCAGCCATGCAGACGTGACCAGCCGCAGAGAGAGCACAGCGGCGTTGGAGAAAAGATTAAAGAGAACACAGAATACACATTTGTGTTCCTTTAAGAATAACTATTAAAGATTTTTTTTAATAATCAAATATTCTTATCTATGTACATTACATTTAAGTAAGAGATTTTGAAATTAGCTTTTTGAGATAAGCCCCTTCTAGACCAGAGTGACTGAAACATCTTTTTCCAATCCCTGCCTGCCATAGGCAAAATGAGTATGTCTCACAGGCCACTACCTAGCAGGAGTTTATGGGCTATGTAGAGCAGCATCCAGTAGCGGTTTTATTCCTAAAAATGCTAAAAATAAATAAAAAAATAAATAAAATTGTAAGCATGGCAGCCAGCAAACAGCTTTACTAAAAGAACGCAGATCTGGTTAGAATCTCTGAAGTCTTCTAAACTAACACTACTTTAGGATTTGATTTACAGCTCTAATTTGATCATTTGAATTATAAAGCTCAGACAAAATACATTTTATTATACTTATTTAAATAATCTCTTATAAAGCAATGAAACCATTCAGTATTATAAAAATGTGAAACATTATTGCGTATTATTCAGCCTTTTTTTTTAGATTCAAGCAGTGTTCTTAAAATGACACAATAGGTACCCAGACCACTTCAGCTCATTGCAGTGGTCTGGATGCAGTGACCCTGTCCCCTTAAACTTACAATATTAATTATTGCAGTTTCTAATAAACTACAATAATTACATTGTAGGGTTAAGACTGACTCTAGTGGTTGTCAATCAGGCACCAAAAGTCGTCTGAGGCTGGACGTCCTCACTCTTTGCAGGAATGTGGGGAGGGCCTAATGCTCTTGCTGTGCATGCACATTAGTGCCTGCAACCCCTTCCTGTGAAGGTGGAGCGTCGACTCCGCGCCAAGAGAGAAATCGGCGCAGGAATCGGGTAAGTACAGGAAGGGTAAATTGGGGGGGCGCGAACGAGGATGGGCGCACAATGGAGCTAAAGCGCTAGGAATAAAAAATGTAAAGAAATACTGTTACCTTCTGCACATAACATGTTTAGTAACACTGCATCATCCAGTCGGGAAGATGCAGAGAGTCTGTGAAATCAGTACTGAGAAGGGGTGCACATTGACTCTGGTCCTACAATACATCCAGCATACCACAGTATTCAAAAAAAACAATACTTTTGCCTTCTTTTGGATCAACAGCAAAAAACAAATGTGAGGAAGGCTGAACTTGATGGACACAAGTCTCTTTTCAGCTATGTAACTATGTAAACAGCACTAGTTTCAGGAGCTAAATGTAACTGGAAGTAACAAAATAAAAGTAAAAAATTATAGATAGATTTTTTTTTCTATTTTTACTTCACTTATTAAATTATATATTATATTTTATAGATGGTCACGTTCAAATAATAACTTGTCAAAAGTTTATTTTAAATGAAATGTTTGCTTGTAAATCAAGCCAAACTGTATTTTTACATTTACTATATTATAAAATGTATACTCATTTGAAATGGCAAAGAATCATCATGAGAAATGGAAAAAATAAAATAAAATAAAAATACATATATTCTTTTGTGTGAAGAAAACAACTCCAGTCCACACACTGCCACATTTATATAATGGAGAGTGGCCAAAAGGAGTGTTATGGGCAAATGCTTCAAATGAAATGCTGTAGTTCTTAATCTGTGTATTTTGTCTTTAAGAGATTTTGCAAACTGACAAGTCGTTAGAAATTTAACATATTGTTTATCATACAATGTTTCTTTAATAAATGACCTCCTACCCATAATCAGTGAATATGGTGTTCAGACTTTAGGATGCCATATTGTCCTAGGTTAGTGGAATTCACCAATTCAGGTGTACCCTTTAAGTTTTAGTCTAAAGATAGATATTCCCACATGAAATGACCAAGTTATGGCCTTGCCAAGTTAAGGCAGGTCCTAACATGACCCCATTGAAAATCTAGGGTATAATTATGTGAACCTATTAATATTAGGACACAGAGGAGAGAATTCTTTATGCAGGGACGCTGCTCCATTTTATCATGACTGAGAGGTTGACATGTTCAAGAGGGTATGTTATTCTATTTTACGGATATTGCAAGCATGTACTTTAATCTTACAAACTCTGCTAGAAATTATTTTAATAGATTATTAAGGTTTTATATGTCTATATTTATATTTAATAAAATATTTAAAAAGACAAAAATCTTTATTGCTTCCAATAATTTTATATTGTATTCTCAATTATTTATATATTTTAAATAGAGGAACACTTACTAACTATATAATATTATGGCTAAGATATCTGTACGGTTATCCCTGCCAAATTCTATACTTTAAAACAAGCATGTCAAACTCGCGGCCCACAGTGAATACCTTTGCGGCCCAGCGAGCCGCAAGTTCGCCATGCTTACTAAGGCAGAGTAGGCACCTGCTCTCCTTACATTGCAGGTGCCTACTCTGCTAAAAATGTACCCAGCCGGGAAGAGAGGTACCTGGCGGCAGCGAGGGAGCTCAGTCTTCCTGCTCCTCACTGCTCCCTTGCGCGCGCTCTCTGTAGTGATGCTGTGTGCCAGAATATGGCGTAATTCCGGCACACGGCATCACTAAACTGCGCGTGTGAGGGAGCAGGAAGACTGAGCTCCCAAGAGAAGATCCCCAATGGATCCCAGGGAGAGGACCCACACCAGCTCCCAAAGGTAGGGAGCAATAAAGAAAATGATGTTGGGGTGTGCAAGAATGTGGAATGTGTGTGCCCATCACTGCGTGTGTCTGTCAGTTAGTGTGTGTGTGTCCTTCAGAGAGTGAGTATGTCCTTCAGAGAGTGAGTGTGTCAGTCAGTGTGTGTTGGTCAGTGTTGCGATGGTCGCGGCTGGACAGTGGAGGACCTGGAGGCATGCAACGCCACGTCACAACCTGACATGCTCCACCATCACAGGTTTTCAAGGAGTAGCGGGAGGATCCGCTTTGGCACAAGGTGTGGAAGGCGCCATTGGGGGTATAACAGAGGCTGCATACTGGCAGCGGCAATATGAGTGGAGTCTGCTTGTTGGCTAATATTGTTTTGATTTTTTTTCTAAACAAGGGCTGGGGTTTAGTAGATGGTCTTGTGGGATTTAGTGGGGGGAGGGAGGGAAGGGGCTGGGATTTAGTATCAAGGGGGAGACTGGGATTTAGTAGTTTTAATACTGTACTTTTCAAAACAACGTTTCTATGAAAATGTATTTTTTTGTGGACCACATAAACTTAAAACTTGTTTATGTGGTCCGTGCTAGCCTTTGAGTTTGACATGCTTTAAGATGTTCTATGGTAAATAGGGGAACCATCAGCGGTTACAGAAGGAAGGAGTTTATGCTGAATAGGTAATATTAAGTAAAGAAATGCAAACCTGGATCATTTAGTAGTGTCACAAGGTCAAATGCCGTGTACCCATTTTTGGCACGCAGGTTGACATCAGCTCCTTGATTTAAGAGGTAGATCACAATTTCTTTGTTTCTTAAAGAAAAGGAACAGCAAATGTCACAAAAGCTGAAAATGTTCACTTTGGTATGATAACTAAAAATAGCCACACTGTGATATGTTAAAGGATTACTCCAACCAAAAAATATAGTAATTATTCCTATGCTGCTGCATCCTCCCCACACAGTTCTGCCTGATGGCTGATCCTCTTCTGCCAAAAATCACACCACTGCCTCGCCAAAAGGGTGAAGTGAGGACATGGACGGCACAGAGGAGACATACTGTGTGTGCTGGCGTCAGATGCCAAATTTGCCAGATGTCAGAATTCACATTATTCAGCCCAGAACTCCTGTTGCAGGTAGACTAATGATGCCCCAATTTTGCAGCCACAGATGGAGTTACACATCCAGCAGCAGAGTGGTTAAACTCTGTAGGTGCAGAGTTTCATAGCAAATCGCTGCATATACAGACTCCAAGCACCATGACCAGTTCAAATCACAGAGGTTTTGCTCAGGAGCTTACATAACAAACAGTAACTTACCCACCCAAGCAGTGACCTTTTCTCAACGTAACAATGTTAAAATCCACCAACGGTGATTGCTTTTGGGGTCAAAGGCCGGTTACAGCCAATCGGATCCACAGGAGGGGTATTTAAACCCAGTTCTCCTTTTGCTTTTGACAAAGTAATCAAATTTAGTGTCCTTCCTTACTTGATCATGTTTGTTTCTTTGAAAAACAGACAGCTGTGCTCACTCACCCATGGTAGGTGGCCTGCATTAAAGCAGTCCATGCATGGACATTGTCCTGTTTGTTGATGTCTGCATTCTTGTCAACCAGCAGCTGTACAAGTTCCAGTTTTCCAGTAACTGCGGCTATCATCAAGGGAGATGCCCCATCACCGTTGATGGCATTCACTTGATTTGGATCATCATCTATAATTTCTCTGACCAGCTGTACATTGCCTAAAATAACACATAAAGTTACATATAGATTCATGGACAGTTTTTACACAGCAAGATTAGAATCCAAAGAAAAGAAAAAGTTACCTGCGCTCTCTCCTTAATCCCTATGTATATTTAGACAAATGGAGGTCATTTAGTTGCTCCAATTAGAGCAACTAAATGACCTCCATTTGTCTAAATATACATAGGGATTAAGGAGAGAGCGCAGGTAACTTTCTTTAATTTGGGTTTTACTATATATTGGGCTGATGTGTACTGTAGTCATTGCTGCCGGCCCAGTAGTGATGGGAGTGAGCGCAGGACTTCTCTTTTTGTATTAAGATTAGAATCCAAGTGAAAACAGGGAGGGTCACTTTATTCCATTCAACATTACAGGAGTAATCTCAGTTTTATTAGTTAACCCTAGCTTCACACAATCAGAAATCAGACATACAAATGATACTTTCTAGAGGTGGATTCTTCAGGTTATATTTGCTGCTGGGAGGGACTGCATTCTGTTACATGTTGAACCTTTGCAGTTAATAATTAGAACAGCTTGCAAACACTATTTCCTTTTACTGAATCATTAGCTGCGTGGCCTGTATTAGGACAGAAGAATTCGGGCCACTAAGCATAGTTACATGGAAATCACTCTAACTATGTATGAAAGTCAGAATTCTGGAACTACGTACCAATCTTCACAGCATGAAACACATCAGGTCTTCTCTTTTCTTCATCTGCAAAAGAAAGAAATAATTATAAATATATGTGTATATTTCATAGAAATATGTGTGCATTATTTCATAAGCCATTAGAGACACAGAAAACCTTTCAAGGTCATGTATAGCTTGGAGGAAAGAGGAGACAGTGGTGATATGATAGAAACATTCAAATACATAAAGGGAATCAACACAGTAAAGGAGGAGACTATATTTAACCCCTTAAGGACTGTAATCAAAATTTGGAATTTGACTATATGTCTGTTCAACCATAATTCACATCTTTCACATTAAGTGCACCCACACTTATTATACATCATTTTATTCATGATAAATAGGGATTTCATTTAACATCAAATATTTAGCTATGAAACAGAATTTAATATGAATATTTTTTTTAAAACTGAGAAATTAAGAAATTGTTATTTTTTTTAGTTCTGCATGACATTTTAACTGTGAATGTCATAATACGGTTTGCTTTTACTGCAATAAAATACACATATTTGTATTCAGCGATGTCTCACGTATAAAACAGGACCCCTATGTACAGGTTTTATGGTGTTTTTGGGAAGTTACAGGGTCAAATATAGCATGTTAAATTTTTTTCACATTGAAATTCGCCAGATTGATTACGTTGCCTTTGAGACCGTATGGTAGCCCAGGAATAAGAATTAACCCCATGATGGCATACAATTTGCTATAGTAGACCACCCAAGGAATTGCAAATGGGTTATGTCCACTCTCTTTCAGTAGCCACAAATACTGGCCAAAGTTAGCATTTATATTTGTTTGTGTGTGCATAATGCGAAAAACTAATTTTGGCCAGTGTTTGTGACTAAGTGGCTACTAAAAAATACTGGATATACCCATTTATAATACCTTGGGTTGTCTACTTTTGCAAATGGTATGCCATCATGGGGGTAATTCTCATTCCTGGGCAAAACCGTAAAACGTATCACAATTATTTTGTCCGTGTAAGTGCCATTTGTGTGTGACAAATGCAAAAAAAAGTCATTTTTACTAATGATATCATTGTAATGTTGTAATATTTGTGTTCAGCAAAGTCTCCTGAGTAAAACAGTGCCCCCCGTGGACAGGTTTTATGGTGTCTTGGAAAGTTACAGAGTTAAATATAATCCTAGCAAATTAAATTCTCTGGACTTTCTGCCTGGGTTATCAGGCAGGTGTCACGTATTTATCCGCACATAAAAATGTGGTTAATGGCATTTACCGTCCTGACAGGAAAAGTTATGCCAAGCATCATTACCGTCCTGACAGGAAAAGTTGTGCTGAGCAGCAATCATGCACATTGAGACCTGGTAATTGCTTTTGGGGTCAAAGGCCGGTTACAGCCAATCGGATCCACAGGAGGGGTATTTAAACCCAGTTCTCCTTTTGCTCATTGCCCTGTCGTGGTTTCATCCAGATGGTAATCAGAGAGTGCATTCCTGATCTTGATTTTCTGGTATTTGACTTTGGCTTCATTTTGACTTCCCTGAATTCTGGTATCCTTGACTTTTGGCTTTCCCTCATCGTTGTGTCGGATTCTGTGTTTCTGACCTCGGCAAGTATTTTGACTATTATTATTATTATTATTATTATTGCCATTTATATAGCGCCAACAGATTCCGTAGTGCTTTACAATATTATGAAAGGGGATTTAACTATAAATAGGACAATTACAAATAAACTTACAGGAAAAATAGGTTGAAGAGGACCCTGCTCAATCGAGCTTACATTCTATAGGAGGTGGGGTGTAAAACACATTAGGACAGGAATGGCAATCAAATAAGGTGGGCTGCCCTTTAGGAGAGGGCAGGAGACGGGTATGTGAGGTAGGGGTTAGTCTTGGAGGCCATAAGCTTTCCTAAAGAAATGGGTTTTAAGGCACTTCTTAAAAGATGCAAGACTAGGGGAGAGTCGGATGGCGGTAGGCAGGCTATTCCATAGGAAGGGAGCCGCCCGCGAGAAGTCCTGCAAGCGCGAGTTGGCCGTACGGGTGCGGACAACGGACAGGAGGTGGTCACGGGCAGAGCGGAGAGACCGAGAAGGGACATACCTGTGGATCAGTGAGGAGATATAAGAGGGGCTAGAGTTGTTCAGTGCTTTATAGGTGTGAGTTAGTGCCTTGAATTGACTCCTATAGCACACAGGAAGCCAATGTAAGGACTGGCAGAGGGGTGAGGTGTGAGAGAACCGACTAGAGAGGAAAATCAGTCTAGCAGCAGCATTCATTACAGACTGTAGGGGTGCAGTACGGCTTTTGGGAAGACCAAGCAGTCCGGCTATTCTAAGGTCTGGTCATACGTTATCCTTAGTTCTAGGTGTGACACAGTACTGCATGCTGAATGAACTTGTAGTCCTGACATAACGACATGGCCATAGATCCTGCAGAATTGTGTCAGCACATAGCAGCTTGTGAGAGAAAGCTGGAGGAGAATGATCACCGTTTGGATCAATTTGCCCATGCTTTTAGCACGCTTCTTACTAGGACAGCTCATTTACAACCTGAGGCTTCTCGGATTATGTCACCGATGTCTAATCTACTGCCACCTATAGTATATAAGGCACCTGTGATCTACTTATATCCCCCCCCCTTATTTTTTTTGCTAATATCCAGGAATGTAGGGGATTTCTCAATCAGATTGAGTTCCACTTTGAGGCCTCACCTGGTTCATTTCCTTCAGATAGAGCTAAGGGGCTACTGGGTATCTGATGAACCAACTTAAAGGTAAGGCCTTAACTTGGGCTAATTCTTTATGGGAAAGTAATAGGAGTATCACTCATTGTTACCAGGAATTCCTTGCGGAATTTAAACGGACGTCTGAACCATTAGGCAGTGAGGAATTCCGGCCATTCTAAGGTCTGGTTATACGTTAACCGTAGTCCTAGGTGTGACACAGTTCTGCATGCTGGATCAACTTGTAATCCTGACAGCAAGTCTGGCAAATTGTAATTAATAAAATGACTCAATTATGTAAAAATATATCTCTATATCATTTTTTTAAAATAATATATAGTTTGATATATACATATATCATATATATATTATTTCGTTCTAAGTGTATTTTAATTTCAATATATATTAATATCAAAATACAGTTAGAACGAAATTACACATATTTTAATTATTTTTAACACACACTATATATATATATATATATATATATATATTATTTTTTTTTTATATGATTCTTTAATATAACTACGTGTATTTTGATAATATTAAAATACACTTAGACAGTGTATGTATGTGTAAGTGTATACATATACACACACACACAAATTATAAAATCTAAGTATATATTATTTAATTTTAAATGGTTTTTAAAAACTTTATTTTACTTTAATACAGGCAGCAGGGAGACTATCTTTCATTCCAGGCACTTCCCCTGCTGGCACTGCTATGGACGGCTATTCCGTCCATGTGATCGTGAGGTCCTCGCAAGGACTTTGCGATCACATGGCCCAGGAGGGCCGAATCGGCAGCAGGGGGAGTGCCTGGGATGTCAGGCAAGTCCCCCCATCGCGATCAATGGCGGGTGATCGCCAATGAGCAGGCAAGCCCCCTGGATGGCGGGGACGTTCTATGCCACCCGCCATCCATAAGGAGTTAAAAGAAGAAAAACTACCACAACAAGAGGACATAGTGTTAAATTAGAGGGGCAAATGTTTAAAAATAACATCAAGAACTGTTACTATACTGAGAGGGTAGTGGATGCATGGAATAGCCTTCCACTTCCAGCTGAAGTGGTAGAGGTTAACACAGTGAAGAAGTTTAGGCATGTGTTTGATAGGCATAAGGCTATCCTAGCTATAAGATAAGGCCAGGGACTAATGAAAGTATTTAGAAAATTGGGCAGACTGGATGGGCCAAATGTTTCTTATCTGCTGTCACATTCTATGTTTCTATATTTGCTAAAATATATTTTAGGAATTCAAAGTGAATTTTAAAATTTAGGCCAAATAGTCAAAAACTGGCTTGGATGAACACAGGATTGGATGAGCTTGTCAAAGTTGATTATCTCCGCGCGGCGGTGTAATGTGCGGAGAGACTGGTAAGTAAAAGCTTCTTTTTAAAGTAAAAAAGAGAGGGGCCCAGGACCTAAGTAGTCATTTTACCACCACAGATGTAAATACATGTTTGTGTTCTTGACATTATAGTGTCCCATTAACCCCTTAAGGACCAAACTTCTGGAATAAAAGGGAATCATGACATGTCACACGTCATGTGTCCTTAAGGGGTTAAGTTAAAGGGTTACTCCAACATCCATGATCACTTCTGCTTTTAGAAATGGTCATGAAGGAAGGAATCTGTAGGTACAGTGTTTCTACTTACAATGCTGCACATTCAGCAGTATCTGAACTTATATGTTGCAGGCTAGTTACATCTCTGGAAACTGTTCTGGACTGCCAAATGTCGATTCTGTTGTCAGCAGACACTGCACACTGGCAACACTTTCTCTCAAGCTTGCGTCTCCCCTCCCCCCTTCACTGCAGTCCTCCCTACAAGTTTTTGCAAGTGGACCTTGTTGCCGTGACGTCAGATGAAGGCGTGCTGATACTTTGTTTTATTTTTATTTTCTTCCATGGGCATTAGTATTATTAATTAAAATTAAAAAATAGTTAGGTAACAAAAGGTCAATTAATTTTGAATTACCACAAATTTAAAAACTGTTGGTCTGTTATATGAAATGCAGTATTAGACACATTTACGCACTACAAATATTTATATAATGCGACTCATCGTACAGCAAATTACCCAACCCAAATCTAACCCATCACTAGGAATTCAAAAGCAAATAAATCCAGCCAGGTATAGAGCTGCAATATTTTAACAAGAAATAGTGAAGCGAAATAAGGATTTTAAAGAAGATAAAGGAACAGTAAAGCATTAGGAACACAAACCTGTATTCATGACACTTTAGTATTTCTGACCCTAGTAAAATACAGGCCCTTCCCCATTTATGATAAAAACATTTTAAAACACTTATTGAGGCCCCTCAGCACTGTTTACCACTCCACCAGGGCCTTCTCCATAAGAAAAGTAATGTTTCACACTGCAGGATTAAAACTGAACAACCACTGCACACAGACCACTTCATTCAGGTGACGTGTCCTGGGTGACTTTAGTGAAAGCAAAACAATGAAATGTACTTTACTTGTATTAGTCACAGAACATGGATTTACAGACTTATTTTTTTTTGGTTTCTCTACACATTTGGTGTGATGAACACTATGGCCTTTGCTGCCAACCTAGAGCAGTAGGTGTATAAACACAGGACCTATTTCTGTGTGTTTTTGAAGTTGTCAACATAACTAAAAATTCTAAGTCAAAATAGGATTAGAAAAAACTTAAAGCAGCACTATCACCTCGAACGTACCTTTCTCCTATTGTTTCTTCTTCTCTTCCTCTCTCAAAAGCTGTTCTTTTCTTTCTTTCTGATCTAGTTTTCTTGAAACATAAGAAAAAGTAGTGACTATTTTGTCTTATGTATTTTTCCTAAACTTTACTTTCTTTGACAAAAGGAGCTTAAAGGGACACTATAGTCACCAGAACAACTACAACTTTTTGCATTAGAGAATTAGTAGAATCATTACTGTCAGGCTTTTTGCTGTAAACACCGTCTTTTCTGAGAAAATGTAGTGTTTACATTACAACCTAGTGATAACTTCACTGGCCACTCCTTAGATGGCTTCTAAAGCTGCTTCATTAAGCAGTCCTGCCTAATGTGCAGAACTGCCATTCAGTGTGCCCACCATCTACATTGAGACACTGAACTTTCCTCATAGAGATGCATTGATTCAATTCTTCTCTAAGAGGAGATGCTGATTGGCCAGGGCTGTGTTTGACTTGTGATGGCTCTGCCCCTGATCTGCCTCCTTGACAGTCTCAGCCAATCCTATGGGGAAGCATTGTGATTGGCTCACACCACCACTTCTGATGATGTCAGCAGACAGGGGCAGGTCTGAGGCAGACAGGGGCAGAGCCAGCAGCTACAGACTTGAATACAAGTAAGATTTTTGCTATATTTAGAGAGGTGGTTTTAACACTATACACAAGATGTTGGTTTTAACACTATAGGGTTAGGAATACATGTTTTTGTTTCTGACCCTATAGTGCTCCTTTAAGTCAGCTCCATTTCCTGTGTCAAATAATGTTTTCCCACAATACTCACCCTCCTCTTTGATACAGGAAATAGAGCTTACTTAAGCTCCTCCTTTGGTCAAAGAAAGTCAAGCGTACGAAAATATAAAAAAGCATAAAACAAAGTAATCAAAGTAATTTGGTCTTATGTTTTAAAGAAAACTAGATTAGAAATAATGAAAAGAAGAACTGCTTCTGAGAGAGGAAGAGAAGAGGAAACAATGGAGTAAAGGTCCATTCGTTATGACAGTGTCGCTTTAAATTCTTACATTTACACATTTCTTTTCCAGTTCAACTATTTTGTTTTAAAATGTGCTTGTTTTCAACAATTACCAGTTACATACATAGCTAGATATTCTTACTATACAAATAATGGATATATGCACACAGATATAGATTTTATGATAGAACGAAATGCAGAAAAACAAAACAATGCAAGCAACCATATATTAGTATATTAAGAAATAAAATATTTGTCCTTACCTGTCTTAGGCCTAATTGTAGTTATGGGATCCAAATAATCCTTCAAATCTTTATGTTTTAAAAGCAAAGCAATTTCAAAAGGTGTTTTCTCCAAAATGTTGACATGGTCTGGGTCAGCACCCCTATCCACTAGCTGCTGTGCTACACTCACTCGCCCATGGAGAGCTGTCAGCATCAAGGGATTCCATCCAGTTTTTAAACGGTAATTCACATCAGCCCCCCAGTCCAGTAGGAGGCGCACTACTGCCTCGTGTGCGTGCTGTGCAGCTGTCATGAGAGCAGTTATATCAGGCATTCCCTCCTTAAGGCCATTGTTGCTAACAACATTAACATCAAAATGATCATAATTGTCCACAAATGCCCCACTTTCCAGAAGAAGCTTGACCACGCCAACATGGCCACCTCTTGACGCCACTGTGAGGACGCTGGCTCCCAGTCTATTCTGGGCATTAACATCTGCACCATTTTCCAGAAGTATAAGAGCAACATTTAAATGTCCCATCCTAAAACAAAATACAAAAAAGAAAATATTACCTACTCTTACTTCATGGCAACCTATTTCTGGATATATACAGAACGTGAAAAGACCAAGCCTTTTATCAGGCATATGCCATTACATTATTAAGATCCTGGAATTGTTTCTGAAATGTACAGGTGAAAGCACATGGATGAAAAGTTTTGCTTGCAACTCTTTGCCTGAAATGTAAAGGTAGTAATTCTTACAGTCTGCACAGCTCTGATAAGTTTGCATATAAACTTAGGACATTATTCAATGACTCTGCATGTCTGGAAAGACTGGAAGGACAACAGGTGCTCAACAGAGCCAGGTAATTATCAAACAATCTGCAGCATGCGTAACAACGTATGCATGGGACTTCTGGGACAATAACCACTGCAGCATGCTATAGTGCTTAGAGAGTCTCTTTAAAGAAGGTTCTGTCCTGCTTGATGACAACTACTTCAAATGTCCTTTTAAACCACTGCAGAAGATGTCAAGTAGTCCGATGACTACTTGAGAAAGGATGCATGATAAACTATTGGAGTTCTAGCAGTGTTATCTGCACTGTGAGTACAAGAATAGTAGTCTGGCAAAATAAAATCATGATTATTTTAATGTGCATGCCAGCCTGGAAATATTTTTTACGTAAAAATTTGAAGAAAAAAAAAAAAAAAAAAAATTGTACATAGAATAGAATACTGTATCACTAATCCTATAGTATCGCTGTCCCTTGTTCTACATAATACACCCCATTTTATATTTTGAGGAAAAAACAAGGCTCTCTTGGCGCTGTTCACCTTACCGCCTCTCGTGATGTCACAGAGGAGACATGGCCTCCACCGCTGATGTCCAATCCATTGCTCTTCATATAGGAGCATGGGAACTTAATGCACATGCGCGGCAATCAGACTTTACCATAGGAAAGCATTGACTGAATGCTTTGCTACGGTTGCTTAAGCGATTACCGCAAAAGCACGTTTACTAGCTATCGTGCTGACTAGAGGTTTACTTAATCCTGAAATGGAGATGAAGTGGTCTGGGTGACTATAGTGTCCCTTTAATTGAAATGCTCCAAAGCACCACACTTTTTTTTGTAACTTTATTCCATTTTTACATAGATGGAACTAAAATGGCCACTGAGGTTGAAACATTATCAATTCCACTTGTCTTGTGATTGTGGAAAAAATAAATAATCACATGAAAAAAATACAGTGGTTTGGGACTATAGTGGGGACTCCAAGATAGTATTACACCCATTAACAAGATGAGCATGTGAGACTGGATATACATGTTTTCCAGTTCTAAAGGGGAACTGCCACTTCCCATGATGTTTAGTACTATGTCTATTTATCCCTATATTTAAGAAACGTATTTGTGAGGTGTGAAAAAAGGTGTGTAGGTACAGTGCCCCTTTTGCACCAAGTGCTGCAATGTAAAACATTGCAGTTCCAGGGAAACTGCAATGTTTACATTGCAGCACTAAGTCAACCTAGTGGTCCGGTATCCAACGCTGGGTGTCCTCACGTTCTGATTTTTCTCCCCTATGGGGAGGAGCAATGCGCGCAGCATGTGCCATGCATGCGCATTAGCGTCCGCTCGTGGAGTGACGTCAGAGGGAGTGGAGCGCCAGCCCAGCGCCGAGGGACATCAGTGCAGGGATCAAATAAGTAAATGAAGGGTTTTTAACCCTTTATTTGCCCAGGCAGGGGGAAGGCACAGGTTTAGCGATAGTGCCAGGAATACAGCTTTGTTTGTATTCCTGTCTCTATAGTATGCCTTTAAATCTAGAAATAAACAGCTACTTATCCTGCAACGGAGTGCCACCATCTTAGCTCCTTCCATCATTGTTATAAACTCTGTAATTTCCACTGGGGAGTCACCACAGAAATGAAGGGAAGAGGAGAAAAATCTTCTTTTTTAAAAAAATCTTATTTTGCAATGTTTGCCCTGGCTTTGCCTTGTTTGAACTGGATTATTATGCTTTGATTTCTAAACTCTTGAATAAAAACAAAAAACAAAAAAATTAAATAAAAAAAATGAGTATTTTATGAAAAAAAAAGTTAACAACTTATGGGTAATTTTCTATGTTTTGTTCACTGTTGTATATTCCAGAGAAGTGCCAGATTGTGCCGATTTTGTATATTTTTTTTATTGAATATTTAAATCTATGCTCAGCCCTATCACTCTCCATTGACATAGCTTAGAATGCTAACAATGAGTGTGTTTGACCATCTCCCAGTAGCAGTATAACTGTATGGATTGTAACAGGGTGCCATGTCCATGCTGTGATGCTATGGGGAGATGTGACCAGATGTTAGACTCCCAGCTCCTACCGGCAAAGCATCACGGGAGCTGTAGTTCCCCATCATCTGGCCCTGCGTTTATACCAGTGATGCCCAGGCTTTATGGACTACATCTCCCACAATGCTCAGCCAGTCACAGTACCTGGCAGCCTGCATGAGGGGGGTCCAGCCGTAGTGATTCCTGCTGTCCACCGAGGCCCCCTTCCTGAGCAGGATCCGGACCAGCGCTTCGTGTCCCCCGCCGGCCGCCAGCTGCAGCGCCGTATTACCGTCCTCGTCCGTGCAGTCCACGGGCACCGAGTCCGCTCCCACCGGCAGCACCCCGTCCGGCCCCCCGGCACAGCTGGATCCCCCGGGATGATCGGCGCTGCCCGGCTCCAGCACTCTGCGGACACCCTCAGAGTCTCCGTCCTCGCAGGCCCGGAACAGCAGTTGGCACTGGGCGGGGATAGTGCACTCCATGGCGGCGGCCGCGCTCTGCGCTCCGAGCTCGCGGTGAAACGGTTAAATCCGGGAAGTAGCGGATCGCCCAGCTCAGACTGGCACGGGCAGGGGGCGGGGCCGGTGAACAGACACGCCCCCCCGAACGGTCACCGCGCTTGGATTCAACGGACGTTCCAATGTCCGCGTGCGCTGCCCGGTCTGTTCCGAATGGAAACCCTATTGGCAAAAGTAGCCAAGCTGTCTGTCTCCATAAGCTGAGCTGGACACACTGTTCCATTGGCATTGTAACTCACATCAGATCGCAGTTTAGTGAATAAAACCCATCCTTTTATTGTAGAGAGACGTTTTAAAACAGAAATTCATGAAAAATTATCGTGCCTCCCTGTAGAAATTTCTTTCCTTCTTGGAGGGGTTGTTGAATAAACACTAGGGAAGGGAGGAGGGGTGGGGGGGGATAGTTTTTGTAACAAAAGGTGGACAATGCACACACTAAAGGGGATTACTCCCACCAAGTATCCGTCCGGGCACACCTGCCATTTGAAGAAACCACTCACACATGCCTTACTAGCATTATGGGTGTTAGAGCATTATGGGGGATGTAGTCCACAACATCTGGAGTGCCGAAGGTTGCCTATCCTTGGGTGTTTCTGTACATCTCTGTAATTTTCCATAGACACTGGATTTTGTCCAAATGGTCAAACTCCAGTGAAAATGACCGAATTCCGCCCGCAATGGCAGATCTCATATTTACTAAAGCCAAATATGGCCCTTCATCAAATTTGCAGCAATCGCCTGGTTGAATTCGGTGTCCACATTAAAATCTGTACTTTCGCATCCAACTCATACTAAGAATATAATTCAGAAGATTCACAAAGCACCGGTTTTAATAACATTTTGGACCGAATGCATCCAGCAGGATGCACATTTGTAAATTCTCTCGCTATCTGGAAGGGAGGAGGGAAGGGGGTGACCACCTGTACTCAGAGTGGTATGTCCGCCCAATGTTTTCCCTATTCCCGCAAGGATTCAGTGATTGTATCGCTCTATCTACCATATACCCAAACATCAGTCGAGACTTGACGAAGGGTACAAAACAACTGTTTCATTAGGCCAAGGTGTCTAGTTATTAGGGATGTGCATGGGCAAAATATTCGTTTGGGTTCGGCATTCCAAAATTTGGCACTTCGGTTCTGTTCGGCACTTCCGAAATTCGGGTCTTCGGGACTTAAGTGTAGGGTAAGTGTATGGTTAGGTTAAGGGGTAAAGGTACCCCTACCCTAACCATAACCCTACTCCTAACCCAACCCTAAACCTACTCCTAACCCTACCCCTAACCCACCCATAACCCTACTCTTAACCTAACCCTACTCCTAACCCAAACCTACTCCTACCCGTTTTGCCACTTTTCAGAAGTCCGAAACACTTCGGCACTTCCGAAATTCGGTTTGGCACTTCGGCCATTCGGAAGCATTCGAATGTCTGAAATTTGTCCAATTTCCATTCGGATCGAACCGAATTGCACATGTCTACTGGTTATATACACAACCCCCAGCATTGGGTCCCTATTCATGAAACAGTAGTCCCACACAGGCCTCTCTGTGTCTTGGAGATAAGTGAGTTTGCCTTTGCTTAAACTATCTCCCAGACACACGAGGTACAACATATAAGCACCCCAAAACATACTAAAAACAGGCAGGAGCCCCACATATTGTATATGCCTGCATTGCCCGTATCTAAAAGCCCAAGTTGTCCAAATAGGTCCTAACAGTCACAGCAGAGGGCACAAAGATGGGCACAAGAGGGTAAGGGAACTGGAAGAAGGGCACTGGTGGGGAGGAAGGGCTAAGGAAGAGCACAGAAAGGAGGAGTGGAGGAGGAACAGAAGAAAGGCACAGGAAGGGGAACTGAAGGGAAAGGCGTGCACAAAGTGACACACTGAGGGGGCACAAAGACACACAGAAGGGCTGTGGGAAAGAAACATGAAGAGGGGAATGGGAAAAAAAGACACAAAGGGGTTAGGGGAGAAACAGCCGCACCATAGGGCTGGGGGAATACTAAAAACAGGCAGGAGCCCCACATATTGTATATGCCTGCATAGCCCGTATCTAAAAGCCCAAGTTGTCCAAATAGGTCCGAACAGTCACAGCAGAGGGCACACAGATGGGCACAAGAGGGTAAGGGAACTGGAAGAAGGGCACTGGTGGGGAGGAAGGGCTAAGGAAGAGCACAGAAAGGAGGAGTGGAGGAGGAACAGAAGAAAGGCACAGGAAGGGGAACTGAAGGGAAAGGGGTGCACAAAGTGACACACTGAGGGGGCACAAAGACACACAGAAGGGCTGTGGGAAAGAAACATGAAGAGGGGAATGGGAAAAAAAGACACAAAGGGGTTAGGGGAGAAACAGCCGCACCATAGGGCTGGGGGAAGTAAGTGGCTTGCCAACCAGCCACACCAGCCTGTGTCACGCCTTACCTATATCCCGTCACTACTCCAGCGGTGATCTCTTGCCGCAGCAGCCCAGACACACGCATGCGTGAATATTCGGGCCGGGACGCGACCTATGAACTTTGATCGCGTCACATCTCCGAGGTGACGATAGACGTTTCATGCCGATACTCATCTGTAGAGATGGCTGGGACTTCATTAAAGGTTTATTACAGGCTCCATAGCAACCTGTGATGGACAGCTCCTTACACAGAGTGTTAAGGAGACTATTCTCTACAGGTGTTTTCTCCCATTTGTCCCCTATTTAAACACAGCACAGCTGAGCCTTCATTGCTCAGTTGTTCTTTGCTAGCCTACCCTACTACCTTGGTGTTTGTTACCTGTTTTCCTGGATTTACCTGACCCTTGGCTTTTACTATCATTTATGAACCTTGCTGCCTGGATTTTTACTTTGGATTACCTGACTTTGCTCTTGCCTTGCCCCTTATCGGACTTTGTTTGCCTTGAACTCTTGTTGCTTATTTCTTAAGTACTGCATTCTGGGTTCCATAACCCCAAAGCGTGTCATAACAACTGAGCCCTCATCATGGAACTCGCAGACTTGGCAGAAGCTATACAAAATATTTCCCGCCAGATCGGAGCACTTGGTCAAACCGTGCAGGATCTCCAAGACGATCAAGCACAACTACATTCCCAGATCAGAGAATTCCACACCACTCCTGTTTATGGTCCTATGTCCGTCACCTCTTCTGACGAATCACATGCTCCCAATCCCGCTGTTGCCATGCCAGAAGGTTTACTGGTGACCAATCATTTTACCAGGGGTTTATGATGGACTGTTTGCTAACGTTCACTGTCAAACCAGACAACCTGCCAGTAACTGTAAATAAAGCGAGACGAGTCAACTTGGGCTCGGTATATTATGTTACTGTACTATGAATAGGGACCAGGGTGTTAGAGAAACTGTTAGGAGATCATACATGTATACTGCAGCATGCGGAATCGGGTTACGAAATGATGCATATCTGAAAAGCGTGTCACAATATGAAATGCTTGGAAAGCTCTACAGTAGACTATTGCCCCTCATGTTTTCCCTTCCAAGCCAGCTGGTAAGTCTCATCTCTAATTCTTGAGTCAACAGAGAATGTGTGCTGCTTTTGCACAGTTCAGCACAGCTCTATGCAGTACAAAATGATGCCTCCAATTACAAGCTGCAGTGAGCCGCCCATAACTGCACTAATTTGTGCTATACATGCCATATGGCTGTGCTCATGCCCATTAGCAAATGCTTTGTTCCTTGAGTTTCTGCCTGCTTCTTTCCCACCAGCAGCCACATGCAACACAGTCTACCAGACTGCCCAAGGTAATCAACCAGTAGATTCACATTACACTTTTTGGGTACCCTTGCTATGTACATTGTAACTTACATGGGTTGATGCCCCTTTAAAATGTGCCCAGAACATTTATTCACTGAACCAGGAGTTGACAAAATATTCAGAAATTAATAGTAAAATGACCAAGTGGGAATGCATAATTGAGTTGGAGACATTTTCCAGTATTTCAGTATTCAAGCATATCTGAGAAAGTTATACCTTGGGCACCACAGAGACACCTCAACGAACCTCACATGCCTTTTAAAAAAACTCATTAATGAGATTACTTTGAAATAAAGTTTTACTAATTTTCCAGCAATGCTTTCTTGTACGTTGCATTTTCAATGCTGATCACATTGATTAGGAAGTTGGTAGAGTTGATACCTGCATATATTCCTGCATTCTCCATCAATATGGCCTGCATACCATAACGGAGACATCACCAAGATAAGACATAGCCTCTATTTCCCATAACTCCCCTGCCACCAGTGACAACTGGAGTGTGTGAATGTCATCCGGTTGTATATACTCATCATAGACTGGCAATAGTTTTTCTACTAAATAAAGAGTTAAATACAACAGGGACACAGTCAAATCCCATATAATTATAATGGCGTGGTAAATCAGTGGGTAGGAATGGGTTTTGTTCCAGTAATGAACTTTTGGCATTTCATAGTTCCAGCCTTTGGCAAGTAGCTTGTCTAAACCTTCTTCATTCCATCTCTTACTTTGTCCTGCAGCTTGCATCTAATCAATGATCTAGGAACCGTCAGTACACAACCCTTTTATCTCTTCAAATGTCAGCCTAATACGAACACATGCCAAGTATTGTTTTACCAGTGAAAGAATTTCTTGGAATTTTGGATTACATTAATATTAATGTGACCTTGTTTTAAAATTTTGATATAAAAAGTAGAAATTGTCTAAGGACATAGGGAAATTGTTAATCCACAAAGAATGCTCCTTTAACCAACATCTAATTTATGCTTTATATATACACGGCTGGTCTTTCTATATTGAATTAAAGAAAGAACTATGTTTAGTTGTCTTGTCGCTGCTCATCACATTCAGGAAAAAAACAAAAAACTACTTGCATTTATTAATGAGCCAAAGTTTCTCAAGTTTCCAATTTCATTCAGCGGAAAGGGAAATTGTTAATATATATCTGATTGAAATTCCGTTTTAAGTTAACCATTTTAAATTGAATTATACAGAGCAAACGTATTAGGTGTACTGACCATAGTACTTAATTGCAGTGGGTGATGCTTTTCATTAGTAAATTGATCTGTGGTCGATACAATTCATGGTTTGATGATTTACGTGAAGATCCAGTCAAATAACTATGCTGAGTGAATGTTCTGCATCAGTAACTACATAAGATCGTCTTGCTAGGTTGGTTTCTCTATATAAAAGGGGATAGACTGAGGTTCATATACAAATACTTGAACTATGTAGTCAGGATTCTGTTGTGAATTCGTAGCCCTTGAGAACTCCTCGATTGCATATGCCAACTAAACATATGTAAAAAGATATATGCATTTAAGAATTATCATCATAGTTGGTGAAGAAAAATCGAGAACTTTTACAGCCACACTTTTAAAAACATGCCCCCACTGTTTGATTTTTCAGGTGACCTTGTCATGGATGATGACTGTACCTGTGAAGATCTAAAGAAGAAATTGAACACCGTGTTGACAGTTTCTCTAAAATCAGCCATAAGTAAGGCTGAAGAAGTACTGCAAAATGACATAAATGACCTTCTGTCGACATGGATGGCTCCAGAAACACCCACAGAACATGGAGGCTGGTATTCTGAGTCATCTGGTGGTACCTTCAGGCAGGATCCTATAGAGAGCAGAACTTCAACTGCAGTTAATGAAGACAGGATACATTTTGCCCTTATAAGAGCTATTGTATTGGTGACAGTCATTGGGATTGTTATAGTGTCTACTTGTAGACTGGTCTTGCAGTTTATCACAAGGACCTACAGGATTACAGATTGAAGCAGTACAACCAACTCTGTTGACGTTGCTTTAATCAACACATCTGCAAAGACACTTTGGACGCAGTAAGAAACATAGCGGTCATAGGGTAATGCTGATGTATAGAGACAAAACTAGATTTATGTATTTAGTCACTAAGTAAGCATATTATATAATGTATAGTTATACGATATACATGAATGATTATGAAATAATGAACTGCATGCTTTCATATTTACGTACTTATTAAAGGAAATTAAAACAAATGATCCCATGAAAACAGTTCATGTAACAGTTCTAAATACACGATATGCCTTTGAGTTATTATTACAGCTTTTACACCCGTATTTGGTTTTCTATATCAGCCATATGTTATCAATCTAATTCCTCCCGAACACCTTGAACGTAGTACTATTACATGGATCATTTAATGAGGATTATTTATAGGCAGTTTCAAGGATTTTAATTCACCCATTATGCATGTGAGTAGCCACTTTTATTTATTGCATTTTATTAAAAAGTGTGAACATTTTATTTTTTTTATGTACTCTTTTTACCATATTTTCCAAATCAAAAAGTGATTTTGCAAAATGAACACTATAAAAGCCAAATTGGCAATACAGATGAAGGATTTATTTTACACAACCATTGCTTTCTAAACGTAAATATACAGGGTTTTTCTCTAAAGGTCAGGAATTAAAAGTGAATTTTAAATTGTAGGTCAAAATAGCCAAAAGGGGAAAAAAAAATAAAAAATGAAATAGCAATTATTCACACTGTAGTGTATATCCATTAGTATGGGATCGCCATATTTATTAGCAATTAAAAATAAACCTGAGGTGTTTATTTTTCACATTTTAAGTTGATGAATTATTGAGAAGTAGTAGGCAATTATGTGCATGATTATTGTTAATACATCATTTTTATGCATGCATTCCTATGGAGGTTTTATCTGAGAAACATATTTAAATCTGCCTCGTAACTATTTAATTCAGACTAACTTAAACCATAATCAAAGAAATATAATGTACACAGGATTATTCACTAAAGTGAGAATTGTCTGAGTTCAGAGCTCACAGTAGCTGAAATGGAATCATAGAATTTTAAATTCACTTTGAATCCCCAACTACCCTCTTCTTAGTGCAGAGATGGTTACAGAGAGATCACTTTTAATGGGTGATTATTACTTATTTCATAGAACAGCTTACCTTTTACTACCTTTACAAAGTAATCTAGTAAGCTTGTATATTTTAAAATTTACATGGCATGCCATAAAAATGAACCTCCTAAGTGCTATGTGCAGATACACTTTTATACAGGACAAAAGTAACTAGCACCCCTGTTGGTAAGCAAATTACACACCGATACCCAATAACTTATGCTCTGCACATTAGTTATAATGCAAGGATATCCCCTGTCCCTGTGAAGAACAGAATAAATTATGTAGTGCAAAAAAATGCTAATGCCGATCAGTGACTATGGGTGTGTAATCAATATATTCTGTATAATTAATATTGTCGATTTGTCGTGTAACATAATTACACTGCACAAAATTGTGATATGTTAAACAAAAACTCAGATAGAAGGATCCTATTCACTTAGGTTTAGAGCTTCATTTGTGCCTCTCTAGTAAGAAACATGTGCATCACGACTTTTCACTGCCACTGTGGACTAAGGTCCATTACAAACAACTTACTTTGTTTTCTGTTAGAAGAAAACAGTTTGTGCAGCATTCTCTCAGACAGCCCTACCAGAATACAAAGCTGGCAATCTCTGAAAACAATGACTGCTCATCATTTCTACCAAATTGTAACAATTATTAATGGTTATTTATGTTGTATGTATGCTATGATTTATAACAAGACTTCTGAGAGTGTCCCATTTTCCTTGTATATAGTTATAATTGCGGTGAATTGCAAATGTTGCTGCATATATCAGATCTGACCATGACATGCTAAGAGGGAGGCACATTTGGACAGCGTGGTCACACTATATTGGTTTATACTGTGCAAGTCCCAACCTCTTAAAGTGTGTAGGACACACACATAATTGGCAGCTCTTGTGACCCAGTGACCTAATTCCATCTTTTACATTAAATAATAATAAGAAAACACACCAAAATGGTGCCCCTTAGAGGAATACATTTCACTGTGTGGCAAATATAATTTTTTTAAGTAACCCATGAGTTCTCGATTGAACAAATCAGTCTCATGTGGCCTCTTTTAGCAGCTGCAAACATTGAATATTGGAATATTTGGAACACATGCAATGACTGGCTATGAATCATGTAATGTCCATACATATCTGGGGTCTCAATGCTAGCCATCAATGATCTAGTTGTTGAGACAGGTACAATGCATTAATCACAGCTCATTTAATACATACCATCCATCTTGTTATCATTGTAACATTTCCTTGAAAAAAATCAAATAAGGAGATACAGAACAATAACAAACATAGTTCAAATGCCATTTAGAGTGCTTAAAATTAGTTTTAAAACAGCAGTTACCTTCGCCATATGCAAAGCAGTTTGAAAAACCTACAGCAAACATACACAAAAAAAAAATTAAAAATTCACACTTTGCAAAACATTACACCTTATATCTCCAAGCCTTTCATTGTGTCAAACAATATAGAGTTAAAGGGACACTCCAAACAGCTAAGGTAAAACAATGCACCTACTTATAGAGGTTTATGGGGAACTTACAGATGTCTCATAGGATTGTATATGGAGCTGCAAAAAAGTGCTGTGTCTACCACATTCACTTACTAAATAATATAATGAATTTGCTTGCACATTAAAAAAAAAAAAAAAAAAAGAAATCTGGTGGCTTCCATTAAATCACACAGATAATATTTTTTCTGCCACAAAAAAGTAAAACTGTATTTTGTAGCTTTCTGTGCAAAATCCCACAAATCAACACTACTGAATGCCCCCACTAAAATCAAAGGGAGGACCAGGAGTGGCTGATTGATCTGTACACATCACATTTGACTGCTAACTAGAACTATCCACATTTAAAATGACTGTAATATTCCAATTACATTCAGATGTATGGTTTTAATCAATAATGCATTACATTTTGTTAATCCACTGTGGGTTGTCCCTTTAATGGCATATCTGACAACAAGTACAAGGGAGAATAGCACATAATATCAAAGAGGCCAGTCAGTCAGTTTTACTGAGCATCATTCAGCCGTTGTAGCAGAAGTTCTATATTTCGTATGATTCTAGTTTTTGTAAAGATTCAAATACCCTGCTTTTTTTTTTTACATTTCTCCCACGAAAATAAATACTGTAGTGAACATGCTTTAAGCTGGTCATTAAAATGCTTGCGGTCTTAAAAGGGTGGTTAGTAAATACTGCTTATGTAATGTAAAATTCAGGAATTAAATGATTGTAAAATGTAAAGTTTTAAAAAGGTTTGCAATCATTTCATTTAAAAAATAATAATAATTATTGGTCTGATTACTAACGGGATCTTCACAATTTTCTTGAACTTAAGCACGCAGCAACTGGAAATTGCAGTAGATGAAAAGTATATGTAAAACATAAGCCAAGTATTACCACATCATGTATGAAATATATCTTCACAACATGTTTGATCTGTTCTTTAATTTTTTAGGTAGAAAATGCCTACTGCTATCAGTTTTGCTTTATGTCACATTACGTGGATGGTACTGAACAAACAAGATCCAAAGTCAGTGTGGGACAACCTTTTCTGTGAACTGAGCATCATAGGAGAAGTAGTACAGTTTAAAGTTGCCCATTACTGATCCCAACTGATCTTAATGTTCCTACAGCATATAATAAGCAAAGTTATTATATAATAAAAACCTCTTCTGAGATGGCCACTTTCTATGGCCTTTACTTTTAAAACTGTGTATATCACAAAATATTACAGCAGAACATACTATATATTGTTTCTACCAAACTTAAAGGAACACATCCAGTACCATAACCACAACATCACTGCACTTGATATGGTGCTATGAGTGCCCTGGCGCCACCCCCATTGTTGGTACTCACACATTTTATTTTTTAACAGTTCTTACCTGAATGACATTGGCTGCCACTCCCCACCTCCACTACTTCAGTCGGAGAGTAAAAATCTCACAAACAGGAGTTTCTGTTAGCTCTCCTTTGCTAAACCCTAGCTCACTGGCTGAGATTGCCAGCTGACCGCCCTCATGTTCTGGCTCTCTGTGTGAAGTAGTTCCAGCGAAACCAGGTAAGAAGTCAAACCATTCTAAACTATTTTAATTACTTACAATAGGAGGGAGCTCCAGGTCACTCCTGGCACCAAAACCAGTGCAACAGACTGGTGGTAATGATGTTTGGAGTGTTATTTTACTACCACCCATCAGGGCAACAATGCCCTCTAACAAAGTATCTGGTTTTTATCTCTAGCAGTTAAATTAAAAAAATAAAATAAAAAAAGTATGATTTTTTTTTAACTAGTATTACGATAACTAATCAATTTATAAGTACCCAAAGGAAAGTCCATGAAAGAATTATTTCACACTGCATAAACTGTATAACAATTATAATTCAAAACCATGGATATGGATCCGTCACCATTTGCACATAAGAGTTCACATAATGTTCTAAACATACAAATCAATGTGCTTCCCATCACAGGCTGAATGAAGCAAGCATGTAAGGTGATCCTAATACGCCAGATGACTCAGCGAGTCAATGCCAGTGCAACGTGGTATAGGACACAACCCTACTTCAGAAGTTTTTGTACACTCATGGCAGTGCTCGGTACAATTATGTCTTTGAATATTGGGGTGTAGTTTGGGCTTTGATGTCGCTGACTTTGTTCCACAGTTTCTATAATCATTTGCTTCATCTCCCTGCTGGCATCACCTCGAACAGCAAGAAGGGCCGCTATATGGTCATCTCTAGAGAGACATGAGAGAAAACAAGTGAAAAATGCGTGGTCAGTAAATTTAAATGCAAGCAATGTGAGGATTGCATGGTACAAACACACCTACAAGCCCAGAACTGACCATATTTCAAATTACTGTAATATCCTAATTACATTTTTCATTTTAATTATTCTATATTCTCTGCCTGTGCATATATGTGTCTCTATGTGCTTATGTGTGTATATGTATTTGTTGCATCCCACAGCCTCTGGAATGGGGGATGGATTTCTTGCAAACCAGATGTGGAGCAAATGTAATACACTTTATATGTCCTTCAGACTGATGGTTTTTGCGATCTCTAGAACCTCGTTATGGCATTATTTTACCAAAACACACACAGGGTTATTCAATAGTGGGAATTCAAAGTGATTTTCAAATTTAAAGGAACAGAAATTTGTTAGGAATTACAACCTGTATTACTAATGGCTTAATGTGCCTATTTAAAAACAGGTCCCACCCTTGTTTGCCATATAAAATAATTTTACATACCTTTTTCCTGCTCCATTGGTGCTTAACTCTCCGCCTCCAGTGACATCCAGCAATATGTCCAATCCAATGCTCCTCATAGTGGAGCATTAGGGGCACAACAAGCAAATCCAATCTTCTTTGTCACTTGACCAAGTTTTACTCGATCAGTGCCACAGAAATGTCTCTAGTGGCTGTCAGTATGACCGCTACTAGACAACGATTTAACACTGCAATAAAAAATATTGCAGCTTGTAAAAATAATATTTTTTTACATTGCTGAGTTACAAGGACAGGACCACCACATTCAGACCACTGAATCACAATTAAGTAGCCGAGCAGACTTTAGTGGTCCTTAAAGTGAAAGAAGCAGAATGGGAAGTACAGCAGACAGAGAATTTTCCAGTTCGCCTTTACCTTGAATTTGAAATTACCTCTGAATTCTCACTTTATTGAATAAGTCTGCCAATTTATTGTTATGCATCTGAGATATTTTATCTACATATACATATAATAATTGTATTTATGTTTTTTTCATCTATGTCTTATGTAGAACATTTAAAAACACAATTAAAATCAAAAAGGATCAACTCTAAACATATATCTGAGATACAGAACCGTAAACTGTGTACTTTGGGACAATATTGCCATAAAGGCAGCCTATAGATTAGGCAAGTGAGGCATGGGGGGCAGCCTATAGATTAGGCAAGTGAGGCATGGGGGGGCAGCCTATAGATTAGGCAAGTAAGGCATGGGGGGGCAACCTATAGATTAGGGGAGTGAGGATGGGGGGCAGCCTATAGATTAGGGGAGTGAGGGATGGGGGGGCAGTTAGGGGAGTAGATTAGGGAGTGAGGGATGGGGCAGCCTATAGATTAGGGGAGGAGGGATGGGGGGCAGCCTATAGATTAGGGAGTGAGGCATGGGGGCAGCCTATAGATTAGGGAGTGAGGCATGGGGGGCAGTTTATAGATTAGGGGAGTGAGGGATGGGGGCAGCCTATAGATTAGGGGAGTGAGGGATGGAGGGGCAGCCTATAGATTAGGGGAGTGAGGGATGGAGGGGAAGCCTATAGATTAGGGGAGTGCAGCCTATTAGGGGGCAGGCATGGGGGCAGCCTATAGATTAGAGGGAAGCATGGGGGCAGCCTATAGATTAGGCAAGTGAGGCAGCCTATAGATTAGGCAAGTGAGGCATGGGCAGCAGCCTATAGACTAGGCAAGTGGGGCATGGGGGGGTAGCCTATAGATTAGGCAAGTGAGGCATGGGGGGGCAGCCTATAGATAAGGCAAGTGAGGCAGCCTATAGATTAGGCAAGTGAGGCATGGGGGGGCATTTTATAGATTAGGCAAGTGAGGCATGAGGGGGGCAGTTTATAGATTAGGCAAGTGAGGCACGAGGGGGGCAGTTTATAGATTAGGGAAGTGAGGCATGGGGGGTGCGGGGGCAGCCTAAATGAAGAGTCAGCAAGGAGCAGGAAGGGTATGCAAGGAGCAGGGGCAGCAAAGGGCAGGAAGGGTCTGCATGGAGCAGAACGGGATAGAAGGAGCACAAAGGTAAAGGAGCAGAAAGAATCAGAAGGAGCACAAAGGTAAAGTAGAAGAAGGAGCAGAAAGTGACAGCAAGGAGCAAAAATCTAAAGTAGGAGAAGGAGCAGAAAGGGTCTGCAATAAGCAGAAAGGAATCAGAATGAGAAAGGAGCAGAAGGGCGCAAAAAGGTAAAGGAGCAGAAGGAGCCAAATATAGAAGACAGTGTCAGAAGAAAAAGAAGACTGTCAAATGAAGGAGAAGAAAAATATCAATGTTAATGTGCTCACTTTTATTTACTGAGTGTCAGGAAGCACAGAGTGCCGCTGGGTAGGGGTGTTGCTGATTGGCTAGAGCGGTCAGCTGGCACTCTAAGCCAATCAGTAGCTCCCCATTCATAAAAAAGTAAAAAACGTTTATGAACCGGGAACTAGCGATTGGCTTAGAGCGTCAACTGTCAACTCTAGCCAATCGGCACCCATGCCTGACGTCAAGCTGCACTTCCTAAAAACTCAGTTTCAAATGCCGAATATCACTGAGCGATCTGGAGCTGGAGGAAGCCTTTGGGGTTAAACCATTTGAGAGCGGTTTAACCCCGTAAAAGAAATAGAGCACCCAGGGGCTTCCTGGCATCATAGCATTTTCATTTAGATGAAGTTGTTATGGTGACCAGAATGTTCCTTTAATTTGCTTAACCCCTTAAGGACACATGACATGTGTGACATGTCATGATTCCCTTTTATTCCAGAAGTTTGGTCCTTAAGGGGTTAAAGGAACACTATAGTGTCAGGAATACAAACATGTATTCCTGACACCATAGTTGTGAAAACGCTATTCACCCTGGCTTTATGTGATAATGACTATGCTCCTCCCCTTCATGACACTGTCAAAAAGGGACCAAGCATAGATGTCATTACAATTATGCCCCCCCTCCGGAAAAATTCCTGCGGACGCCCATGTTTGCGTGCAATGTTTTTGAGATGGAAATGGACAGGATTTGGCGATAGATTGAACATGAGGCTTGAAGGAGAGGTCAGAGTCAAAGAGAACACCTAGGCAGCGAGCCTGCGTGGTGGATCTGATGGTAGCACCGTTGACTTGGAGGGAGGGAGACACAGGAGTAACAACACTTGAGGGAGTGAAGACCAGAATTGTTCACATACTTAGGTTGCCCCAGCTGGCAAGGCAAACTACAATCTCTTACAAACAAGATTTATTAAAAATAAATTTGATATAATATGTACACACACATAAGTTATGTAATATGAGAGATACAGGACAGTGAATGTATATTATTGACATTTATATAGCTCTAATTATTCTTTAGCATTCTAATATGAGGATATAACAGCAAATGAGACAAACTATTACAAATGTAAACAGAATCTAAAAGTTAATGAGGACCCGGCTCGAATAAGCTTACAATCTCAGGAGATTGTTTTTAAGAGATTTTTTTTAAAGGATTCAAGACTAGGGAATATTATGATGTGGGAGGCTATTCTATAGGAATATAGCAGCCATTTGAGAAATCACGTAGGCGAGAGTTAATAGTACAGATGCAAGAAGAGAAACTGAGAAGATAACTGGCACAGTGGAGTGACTGAATAGGGTTGCACGTATGAATTAGTAATGTAACAGGTTAGAGTTGTTGAGAGCTTTGTAGGCAAGTGTTAATATCCTTAAAGGACCACTACAGGCACCCAGACCACTTCAGCTTAATGAAGTGGTCTGGGTTCCAGGACCAGCTAGGGTTAACCCTTTTTTCTATAAACATGGCAGTTTCAGAGAAACTGCTATGTTTATGTTAGGGTTAATCCAGCCTCTAGTGGCTGTCTCTTGACAGCCGCTAGAGGCGCTTGTGTGCTTCTCACTGTGATTTTCACAGTGAGAAGACGCCAGCGTCCTTCGGAAAGCATTGTAAATGCTTTCCTATGAGACTGGCTGAATGCGCGCGCAGCTCTTGCCGCGCATGCGCATTCAGCCGAAGAAGTGGAGAGGAGGAGGAGAGCTCCCCGCCCGGCGCTGGAGAAAGAGGAAGGTTTAACCCCTTCCTCTCCATCCAGCCCGGCGGGAGGGGGACCCTGAGGGTAGGGGCACCCTCAGGGCACTCTAGTGCCAGGAAAATGAGTATGTTTTCCTGGCACTATAGTGGTCCTTTAACTGAATCCTAAAGGATACAGAAAGCCAATGTAACATTTGGCAAAGGGGTGACGTGTGAGAGGAGCGACGAGAGAGAAAAAGAAACTGGTCATCAAAATTATTATGGACAATGAATGTCACTGAGGGGTTCTGGAAATAACTGAGCTGCCTGCAGTGGTTTGAGGAGGTGTGAAATAAACGAATAACAAGCGAGAATCATTACCTGAGATCTGGATATCTGCTGACTAAAGTAGAGACCTCTAGATAAAGGAGTGAAGGGTCTGTCAGCTTTATAACTTCAGCAATGTCTATGATAGTATTACAGAGTCCATCAGTCTCTTCACTAAATCCCTGGGGAGAGTAATAAGTCAAAATGAATCAGGAAGAATGCAACATTTTAAAAACAAACTATTTTGGTAAAACACATCATGAATTAATCTAACAGAACAGAGTAATCCCAGCACTATCAAGACGTTTTCTTACAAAAACAAATAAATGTAAGATTTATTTGAAACATGGGATGCCCAGCTAATACATAACATGTGAGGAAAACTACTGCAAAGATTGCCATTAAATAGATCTAAACAAACTACAATTATGTAAACATAAACAACATTTTTATTTATAATTTTCACAAATACTCTGCGTAAATATCAATAGGAGCTTCATACATGTTAGACAAAGTTAGAGAAGCATTACTTCTAAAAAAAACAACAGATCCGACAAAAACAATATATCTAATATAATAAATATATAGTAATACCCTATTTAAGGCTATTAGTAAAGAACCTGTTGAAGTAAAACCATCATGACTGTGATATGTATAAGTATATGTATTCAAAGGGCATCATAATAACTTTATGGGAATGGAGTTGCTATAGTGCCAGGACGCTCTTGGCACTGGGTTACCATCAGAGCTCTCTAACAGTTAAAACTCAACATTTTCTGTCAGTCAACCATTCACCATACATTCATGGTCAGTCAACCATTCATTCAGTCAACCATTCACAAAATAAACTGAGAAAAATATGTTAATTTCTCCCTCCATTTTGTAATCAGGGAGCTACTAATAGGCAGAAAGTATAAGCTGACGCTCTCAGCCTATCAACAGTAACCCTGTCCAAGGCTTCCTGATTGAAGCCGAACAGCCACAAAAGTTTTGGGGCAGAGGAGATCAATGCTAGAATGAAGACTTTGATGTTAAAACAGTCTGTTAACAGATTAATTTCTGCAAGTAAGCTGCTGCCAGGAACCTCCTGGCACCATAGCAACTTAAAGGGACACTATAGTCACCAGAACAACTACAGCTTATTGAATTTGTTCTGGTGAGTAGAATCATTAACTGCAGGCTTTTTGCTGTAAACACTGTCTTTTCAGAGAAAATGCAGTGTTTACATTACAGCCTAGTGATAACTTCACTGGTCACTCCTCAGGTGGCTGTTAGAGATCCTTCCTGGGTCATGGCTGCCTAAAATGCATCCAAACATTCAGTATCTCCTCGTTCTGCATGCAGACACTGAACTTTCCTCATAAAGATTCATTGATTCAATTCATCTCTATGAGGAGATGCTGATTGGCCAGGGTTGTGTTTGAATCATGCTGGCTCTGCCCCTGATCTGCCTTTTTGTCAGTCTCAGCCAATCCTATGGGGAAGCATTGTGATTGGATCAGGCTACCACTTCTGATGATGTCAGCAGACTGCTTATCTTTTTTCTGAGTCAAGCAGCATGCAGAGTTACAGCTTCTGGCTTGAATACAGTAAGATTTTGCTATATTTATGGATGCATGAGGGATCCAGGGGGGCTAGATGGTGGTTTTAACCTATAGGGTCAGGAATACATGTTTGTGTTCCTGACCCTATAATGATCCTTTAATTCTTCCATGTAGGCTTTTGTACATTGTGGAAAAAGACAACATTATTTGCAATTCCTGTGGCAAGGCAAATGGGCACCTTGACTCTTTGTACATTCAATTTTATACAAATGTAGACTTACAGAGGCAAGACGCTTAAACAGAAACTTGAACTGTTCTGCTTCCCTGATCATTCTTTCTGCTCCATCCTTTCTCTCATCTGCATTTCTAAAGGCAATGCGCTTCTGCATTATTGCTTTTACATATTCAGTCACTACTTTTCTGTGAGCTTTTATGGTCATTTCCTGTAAACAAGGAAAGTGTACCTTTAGAACAAGTTGCGAGACTTAGAAATTCAGTGATTTGTGAAAAGGAAAAAATAAATAAAATGAAATTATGGCAGCTTATATATCAATTCCCAATACCAATTTTATTTTCCCTGGAAAGAAAGCTAAGCTGTGCATATCAATCTATACACATAGTACTGGTCAACAAAGAATGTGCAACAAAGCAAAGTATAAACTAGGCTGCTATCAGTTTACAGAACAGTTCCACCCATTCTATGTAATTAGTAGTACTGCTTTTGGGGGGGGGGGGGGGAGGAGGGGAGGGATATATTTATCACATAAAGTGCACTTGGGATGACTCCACAGACCAGAATAAGATATTCATGTTTAAAGCTACTAAACAATGCATCTTTTTATTTTTTTTTTTGCATTATTTATTTTTAATGCATGTTCTATAAAATGCATTAAAGGTATGCTATAAGCACCCAGACAACTTCATTTTAATAATGGAGTCTAGGTGCCATGTTCCCTTTATTTTAACCCGGCAGGATAAAAAAATAGCTGTTTTACATACTGTAGAAGTGCTTTTTGATGAAATTAAGCTGAGCAAAATTTGGCTATTTCAATCAGATTGACTCATACAAAACATCTGATTGGCGCAGCGCAGCATTTTGCTGTGCATGCGCACCAGCCTCCCAATGATTTCCTAGGGGAAGGCATTGGATTGGCTGAGATCAACAAGATTAATAATCTCAGCTGCAGGGAGAGAGAGAACAGCGAGGTGTGGGATTAAAGATAAGTAAACTTTTTTTTTTTTACTCCTTACATGGGTGCCAATTACCTAAATGGGGACTAGGACAATATAACTCTGGGAATACACATTTGTATTCCTAACATTATAGTGTTCCTTTAAAATTATGGAGTCAGTTCCTGCCTATATTTTCCCTTCAAGACAACCCAATTCACTTGTCATTTGCAATTAAATTTACTTCCTGAAGAATTTGAATAAACCCTTTCAGTACGTGCAGGAAATCCTAACAAGAGTATGATGTGCCATTATCACTACCTGCTTTGTTTCCTCTACTTATTTCATACATTTGCCAATTGAGAGTCCTGCTTAAATCACAGTATTTCTATCCAATACCGAGAAAGGCTCATCATGTCACTTCCACCATTAAATAGCTGTTTAAATCAGACCCTTTAGTTATGCAGGAGTTTTACAAATCAAAACCTATGGTACCTGTTTGTAATGTGTTTTAATTTTGGCAAAGTCATTAAAATAATCTTCTATAGTGACACAAATTGTATCAACGGAATTTGATCCTCCAAGCCATTTCCTGGTCAGCAGGTCATTGAGGTGTTGCTGAGGAAAGAAATAAAATTATTAGAAAATCTGTGTAAATGTGTCCCCATAATTAAATCTAAAAAGTTTTGAGAGTTCACTTTGCTATTTTACTTTTCCTGCTCTCAAAAGGTGGTCTACAAACCATCTCAAAAACAAAAAAAATAATGAACAGGAGGATCCTGTGCAAGTATAAAAAATAAACCATCCCCAAAAACAAAAAAACAGTGTTCTCACCTCCAAGTCAATGAACACTTCATCTAGCAGACTGTTGCAACCATCATTGGCAATGTTGTTTAGTGTTGAATCCATAGTCACAGTACTGGTCATCTGCATATCTTCATCATTCTTTAAGTATTTTCTTTTTAGACTGACAATTGACTCCCTATCAAACAATCAAACATGCAGACACAGTGATTTTATACAGTAAGGCATCATGGAATAAACAAACATATGTTTGGAAGTAATTTTGTTCAAAATTGCCATTATCAATTTACCACGTGCAGTCTCTCAGCTTAATTTTGAGGGTATTCACAACCAAATTGGAGGAAGGGTTTAGGAATTACAGCTCTTCAATATGTAGCCCTCTCTCTTTCAAGGGACCAAAAGTGATTCGACAATTGACTCAAAAGCGGTTTCATGGACCGATGTGTGCTATTCCTTCCTAATGTCTTCATCAATTAAGCCGGTTAAAAAGTCTATAGTTGATTACAGCTGTGGCATTCATATCTGGAAGCAGTTTCTGTGAACCCACAGCATGTGGTCAAAGGAGCTCTCGATTTAGGTGAAACAGGCAAACCTTAGGCTGCAAACAAATCCATCACAGAGATAGCAGGAACATCAGGAGTGGCTAAATCAACAGCTTTGTACATGCTCAGAAAAAAACAAAACACACTTGTGAGCTCTGCAACATAAAAAGGTCTGGAAGCACACGGAAAACAACAGCGGTGGATGATCGTAGGATCCTTTCCATGGTAAAGATATACCCCATCACAATATCCAGCCAAGTGACGAGCACTCGCCAGGAGGTAGGCATTTCATTATCCATTTTGTTCCTTTACATATGATACTGTGAACACTGGGGCTGAGAGCACAGAAGATTCCAGACACAGCGATTTATGTTCTGCGTGCCAATTATTTATCTTTGTAAGTGCAATAGTCCGTTAATCATTACATGGTGCTTTGTTGGATTACACTATTTTTGATCATTTTTATTGTAGATTGTTTAGATTATATTGTTTTATGAAGATATTGAGGAGTCTTTTTAATCTACAATATTGTTGTGGAAAAGGGTAATACATTTTCTATTATTTTACCTCCACTGCTATTTTATCACACTGGTGTGTGTGTAGGTGTTTTATTATATTTGGTTTATCATTATCCAAGTCTACCATAAAGAGAAGATTTCACTAGAGAAAATACAGAGGGTTCACCACAAGGTGCAGACTACCCCTTAAGGACTGAGCCAAATGTACACATTGTGATCAAAACAAAATGTAAACAAAACCTGGAATTTGACTATATGTCTGTCCAACCGTAATTCAACTCTTTCATATTAAATGCACCCACACTTATTATATATCATTTTATTCAGGGGAAACAGCTTTCATTTAACATCATATATTTAGGTATGAAACATAATTTAATATAAATAAAATATTAAAAAAAAGGGAGAAAAAAAAGATTCTTTTTAATTTTTTTAGTTCTACGTGACATTTTAACTGTGAATGTCATAATACGGTTTGCTTTTACTGCAATAAATAACACATATTTGTATTCAGCGATGTCTCGCGTGTAAAACAGCACCCCCTATGTACAGGTTTTCTGTGGTTTTGAGAAGTTACAGGGTCAAATATAGCATTTTACATTTTTCAATTTTTTTCACATTGAAATTCGCCAGATTGGTTACGTTGCCTTTGAGACCATATAATAGCCCAGGAATGAGAATTACCCCCATGATGGCATACCATTTGCAAAAGAAGACAACCCAAGGTATTGCAAATGGGGTATGTTCAGTCCTTTTTAGTAGCCACTTGGTCACAAACACTGGCCAAAGGTTAGCGTTAATATTTGTTTATGTGTGAAAAATGCAAAAAACTAATTTGAATGCCAATTTTGGCCAGTATTTATGGCAACTAAAAAAGACTGGACATAACCCATTTGCAATACCTTTGGTTGTCTACTATTGCAAATGGTATGCCATCATGGGGGTAATTTTCATTCCTGGGCTACCATACGGTCTCAAAGGCAACGTAACCAATCTGGCGAATTTCAATATGAAAAAACTAAAACGCAAGCCTTATATTTGACTCTGTAACTTTTGAAAACACCATAAAGCCTGTACATGAGGGGTACTGTTATATTCAGGAGACTTCGCTGAACACAAATATTAGTGTTTCAAAACAGTAAAAGGTATCACAACAATTATATTGACCGTATAAGTGCCATTTGTGTGTGAAAAATGCAAAAAAATTCACTTTCACTGACAATATCATCGTTGTAATACATTTTACTGTTTTGAAACACTAATATTTGTGTTCAGTGGCATCTTCCAAGTAAAATAGTATCCCCATGTAAAGGTTTATGGTGTTTTGGAAATTTACAGGGTTAAATATATAAATATAGTGCTAGAAAATTTAATTCCCTGGACTTTTGGCCTGGGTTGTCAGGCAGGTCCCACAAATTGTAATTAACAAAATGACTTAGTTATGAAAAATTATTACATACATATATATATATATATATATATATATATATATATATATATATATATATATACGTATAATTATTATATATAGTCATATATACGTATATACTTTTGTATATATATGTATATATATATTATTTCGTTCTACATGTATTTTAATATCAATATATCTTACTTGTAAAATACAGTTAGAACAAATTTACACATACTGTATATATATATATATATTTTATTATTTTTATGCGTATTTAAATATTTACTTATTTTATATTATATAACTAATGATAATTATATATATTTAATCAATATTCTACGTGTATTTTGATATTAATATATATGATTATATATATATATATTAATATACACTTAGACAGTGTATGTGTATTTTTATATATATATATATATATATATATATATATATATATATATACACACATACATACTTAGATCATATATATAATAAGTATATATGTTATCTAAGTATATATCATTTTGATTTTAAACGGTTTTAAACTTTAATTTTTTTTTTCAGGCAGCAGGGGGAGTACCTGTCATTACAGGCACTCCCCCTGCTGGCATTGCGGTGGACGGCTATGCCATCCATGTGATTGTGAGGTCCTCGCAAGGCCGGAACAGAAGGAGAGAGACTTCCTCGGATGCCAGGTGAGTCCCCCCACCGCGATCGCTGGCGACCGGGTAAGTACAAAAGATGGCCGGGACGTGCTGTGCCGCCCCCCCCCGGCGTTGGCACGCCTGCCATCCTTAAGGGGTTAATGATGTGACAGAAGACAGAATAGCAGGATGAGTTCTGAAGTGTATAGAGGTATATTGTCTACTCAGACAAATTCAGTAAAGTTGATTGGACGGCGCTTCACTTTACAGATGGACAATGACCAAAAACATACTGCGAAAGCAACCCAGTAGTTTGGGGTTTTTTTAAGGCAAAGAAGTGGAATATTCTGCAATGGCAGAGTCACCTGATCTCAACCATATAGAGCATGCATTTCACTTGCTGAAGACAGGTGCAGTAAAGGCTTTTGGTGATGTCCATGCATTCCAGACTTCAAGAAGTCATTACCTGCAAAGGATCCTCGACAAAGTATTAAAAAATAACATTATATTTATGATTGTATTCATTTGTCCAATTACATCTGAGCCCCTGAAATAAGGGGATGTGTATGAAAATAGTTGCAATCCCTAAAAGTTCATACAATATTTTGTTCAACCCCTTAAATGAAAGCTGAAAGTCTGCACTTCAATTGCATCTCTGTTGTTTCATTTCAAATCCATTCTGGTGGCATATAGATCTAAAATTATGAAAATTGTGTCAGTGTCCAAATATTTCCAGACCTAACTGTAGTCTATCATATCGGTTTGGAGTTTTCTTTTCAAACAGAAAATAACAAAGATGATATTTACAAAGTGAAAAACACTATTAGTAAATAATAGGCATAACTTTTGTGATCTTACTTGAAGGTCTGACAGTTGTTAATGATGGCAATCATGTATTGCACATAGCAAGCAGGAAGCTGCCGATTCTTCAGATGTTCCTCCTTATATAGCTGGGCTTCCTCTGAATACCTAGCAGCACAAAGAGCCCATCGCAAAAAAAAAAAAAGAAAAAGAAAAAAAAAGACAAACAGTGTATCAAACACATGCAGCTGAAAAGGTGCTTATAATAATTATATATAAAGCAATACAGAACACGAGACACCTCTACAAGCGTTATAAACAGAAGTAGAACACGCAATGGGTAAATTTTAACATCACCACTGAATTTCTTGCGTAAGATCTTCAATTATACAAAGGCAAGGCCTAAAATTACTATTAGAACATACCTATTCAGAAATGTATTCATTTGTTGGAGGCACAATTGCAAAACTTTCTTTTTCAAATCTTCACTAATCTGTGCAGCTACCTGAAGATTCTGCTCAAACATCTGAAATATTAAAGAAGAAAATGTTTTGCTAGTGTATTTACTTAAAAATAATACACATTTGGCTTTCATATACTAAATGTGCATGATCACTGAAATCAAAGCACTTCTTCATTTTTTTTAATGAATTTGCCATAGAATACAAATTTTAAATTGCCCATTTTGCATATTTAGTTATAGGTCAACCCTTAAAATAAAATGTTAAAAAAAAGGTACTTACTTGTAAATCCAAAGCTTCTCCAGTAAATTGTAATTTTTCTTCATCCCTACACTTTACTGTTATCCAAGTAAATTTCATAAATCTCTGCTTAGCAAGTAAATACAGCTACAAGTAACAGAATGCAGAGGGACAGGGAAAGGGGTGCACCTGGTACCATTACCTGTGCTGGAGTATAAATTATTATCGTATTAGGAGCATAGATGGCAGTATATTTGTTTGCCTCTCTATAGGTCTCACGATGCACATAATTGCATGGGTAATAAGCCTGCTATAGTGTCCAAAATAAAGGAAATTTCCTGGCTGTTGGGATTTCCCAATAATGTTATTTTAACTGTGAATTTGTATGTATATATAAAAATAACACTAACAACTTCTCTACATTCCCTAACTGAGAAATGAAATATTTACTACGTATACAGAATTCCAAAATTTACGCAGTACTTGGAAAATGAAAAATGGAACCAAATTATTCCAGCACAGGAAGTTTCAAATGTTCATGAAGTGCCAAAATCCATACCCAAGGGAATCCCTTACACTGAAAGATATGACATACCAGTACCTACAAATTGCTAAATATCTTTCCAGAATAAATATATTTTCCAGAGATACAACATTGTTTCTAGATCAATCTGCCCTTGTAGCAAGTAGGTAGCTAGGTGGTTTGGGTAGAACCTTAATGGGTCTATTCCAGTGCCAATTCTCATTTTATTTTAAAGCATCAAATAAAAGAGGCTCCAGTAAAGAGCAGTGTCAGGAGTGAGTCTGCCAGCAAAATATTCTGAACTCAAGGCAAGTGTATGGAGGAAATAAAAGTTGTTTTTTGTTTTTGCTACGGTAGCTCTATTTTCACCACTTTTTTTCCCAAGCCCGACACACGTGACTTAGGCAGCCCTGAATTCTGTTGCAGACAGCCTAATGTTAATTCTGTATATATTACGTCTGCTTTCAGCATACACTGACATAATCAGCTGGAAGGAGAAGCTTGTATTTCCCATCTCCCCCAGCATCTCGACATTCTATTTTATTTATTTATTTTTAATTCCCCACCTCTGTCCAACCTTCCCTTACTTGAACTGATGATCAGTTTAATCAAATGCTAGAAGAAACGTGTGACTGGACATTGGAGAGGAAAGCAGTGATGCAGTGTGACAAAGGACGTGGCATGTAAAGTATCGAGCAGAACTTCGCCAGGCACTGGTTTATACTTATTTTATAGGGTTTTCATTAAAACTAAGGGGGGACAAGTTACTGCCCATAAGGGCAATATAAATACAATTTAAAAAATGGTTAAACTGTATTGGAGTAACTCGTTAAGGACTAGTGATAGTCTATGCTGTCATATTCTCTAATTTAAGAATCCTATTCCAATGTTAGCAGTTCCACTAATTTAACTGCAGCTATCAGAACTCGATAATAAGGCCAAACAGTTTTTTTGTGATTTTTGAAAACACACAATGGCGAAGTATAACATTTGGTCTTTAGAAGGTTAACATATAGCCCAATCTGATGCAGTGCTGAATATGCCGGTGCTATAGAAATAAAACCAGTAACGAAAAGAATGATACCTGGAAAACAATAGCTGGCAGTGTAGTCTGATAATACCCATCCTGGTCAGCTTCAGGCTCCGTATTCCTGTCCCAGTCCTTTTTGTCTGTTTCCAGCGCCTTCCTTAACCATCCGATAATATTGGACTAAACATTGCAGAAATCAAATAAAAATAAATAGCAAATAAAATATATATCACACACTGTGGATAATCAGTATAGCAACACATCAACATGAAACAGATTTACATAAATGTATTAGTGCAAAGAATCTGGAGATGGTAAATAACTAAATATTGTCAGAGTATTTATATCGGCAGACATTTTGTGCTATGATAGAAACTAAAAGTGTATATTCTGAGTCACTCTGAACAGACCAGACTCCATTTTGTTATTTCAAGTTAACAAAGAAGACACTAGATTTCTTTCTGTAAGACTGGCCTCTTTGCCAGAGCTAAGGAATGTATAGCATAGTATAAACAAGTGATAAGAAGAATATAATCAAATCTAAACCCAGACAATTGTGACAGAGAAGATTAAATAATTTAATATTTAACTGTCTATACATATAAGGTACCATTGTATGGAAAAGGGTAAACTTAGTTCATGATCTGTCATATCAGAAATTATAGCAGATTTGCAGACACATAGTCTGGACAAAATTTAAGAACCCCTTTGATCTTTGAAGGATACGTAAGTTATAGCCACTATCTAGATAGGCCAAAATGACGTCAAAATAGCCACCAGGAAAAGTTAACTCTTTCCTGGATAGGTATGTTTAGTGGGACAAGACTGCCCTCTACAGACCAAATAACTAATTTGCGATCTGGAAGATAACCACACCTCTAGTGCTTCTATTGGGTTATCAACTGATGACGTACAGAGAGTCTGGCCCTTTAAAAGTTAAGACAAAGGGAAGATAGAGATATACGAGAGAGGAGGCAGATGCAAGAGATGCAAAGGAGAGGAGAGAGGAATTGGAAGTTTGGGGACTCCAACTCGGACAACATCTGAGGCTAACACTCTACTCCTAAAACTCTAACACTTAGAATTTACTGACTTTCTAACCAACACCTCCATGCAGAGAGACTACCAATCGGATGAAATATCTACTCAACTGGTAATTATACTGGTTTCATTTAATTAAATTAAATTAATTAAAATGTATTAATAGCATTATATATGACTGGATAAAGCACGGTCAGATTTCCATATTAAGAAATCTTAGTTAACTAAGAATATATAGTTATAAACATTCCATTCTGCAGGTGGAATTAAGAATAATTATATATTGATGTGATATTATCACGTGTTAGCATACCGCTGTTTTTATCCAGGTGTATTGATTTGCTCTAAATTAAGATAGATATCTTTTAGACAAATTAAAAATCTGCTTATATAATATGTAGATTCTCTTATTGGATTGTTTTCAGGAAATGGCTAATGAACTGGTTTAAATGTTATTTTATTTAAAAATTACATAAGAATAGATCTTAACTACCTAGGAGATCTAGCCAGCATTGAAAGGGTTATTCTAACTGTCTGCTAAACTTTACGACCTTACGCTGCACTCTGAGGAATTCTGTTCTCTGTGTGAAAAGTTTCACTTTCAGTCTGTGGAAGCTAGTCATAAATCGTCAGAATTCTTGACAGGAAATGCTATTTAGCCATTGAAACGTAATACCCATTTCTTTGTATTGCATATAATTTTGTACTGAATATTCATTGATTATTGTTATGCATGTTACATATAATATTATTATTATTAATTTGTCATTATAAATAAAAATCTATTTTTATACATTGTGATATTATTATATGAAATACATTCCACTTAACACGATAAACGTTCTTTGGGATCTGAGAATTGAATTAGTGGGCAATTCTCACTGTTACTATTATTATCCCATAAATATCCCCACAATATAGACAGGCATCTTGGATGGCAGGCTCATTAATTTTGGTTCTCAAAAAGTTTTATGTACAAAAACAATGCAAAATGAATTAACTGCAAGCTTTAAGCACATCTCCAAATCCCGCCCACCTCCTACCCAATTGTCCTCACATTGGAAGCATAACAGTGCTTCCCCCAAAACTGGTGAATCACCACCATAATGCTGACACTTTGGGATTTTTGTCAGCCACATTGGCATGTGTACAGAGCTGTGTATGTCACTCTTTTACTATAATCCTCTGCACATTAATGCACATGATTATTATCGTACTATCCATACCAGGTAATCACAGAAACTACAATGTGCTGTGAAAGAAAGCAGCAGAACTACCTGCAGGAGGGTTCCCTGCTTCTCACCTGCCAATCAACATATGCTGTCAGGTGCAGGACATCCATACAATTATGAGTATATGAGGATACATTTATTTTGAAAATTCACTAGAATATTTCCAAAATCTGCATACATGCCTAAGAAACAGACTTTTTTTATGAACACATTGCAAAATACACAAAGGCATTTGAAAGGGATATAGCTCTTTCAAAGATTAATTTAAACACTAATTTAAAATTAAAGGACCACTATAGTGCCAGGAAGGGGGTTTAAACTTACCTTTTTCCAGCGCTGGGTGGGAAGCTCTCCTCCTCCGATCCTCCTCTTCTCCTCCCCGTCGGCTGAATGCGCACGCGCGGCAAGAGCTGCGCGCGCATTCAGCCGGTCACATAGGAAAGCATTCATATTGCTTTCCTATGGACGCTGGCGTGCTCTCACTGTGAAAATCACAGTGAGAAGCACGCAAGCGCCTCTAGTGGCTGTCAATGAGACAGCCACTAGAGGAAATAGGGGAAGGCTTAACCCATTCATAAACATAGCAGTTTCTCTGAAACTGCTATGTTTATGAAAAAATGGGTTAATCCTAGCTGGACCTGGCACCCAGACCACTTCATTAAACTGAAGTGGTCTGGGTGCCTAGAGTGGTCCTTTAAGAAAGATGATTTATTCACACTTTGTTTTAGGATTATTAAATGCATAGCTTGTCACTATGTCAAAATAAAGTTATCTGCATGTGTTTAGTATATATCCATAACAAAAGTCTAAAAGTAACAGTGCTTAAACCTGTCTTATAATGGTAGCACATGAAAACATTTACTATTTCAATATATGACATGTTTTGTGAAATGGTCATCCAAACCAAACGTATTTCGACATTTGGTACAAGCAGAAAAAAATGCAAAATGCGTGTAAAACAATACTAGGACACTGCCATACTTATAGAGTGTATCAATTAGATGTTCACTGTTAAGGAATAGGTATTCATGGAGGACAAACATGTTATATGCTACTAAAATCACATGTTTTTGGGAACCACTACAGAATTCATTACATGAACCTGGATCACTGGAACAACAGCTGCACAGAAACCACTATTAAAAGGCCAAAGTGAAACGCCTACAACCAGAGAACATACGGAATGGATGTTGGAGGCGTGGAAGTCGGACACACTTAAATTTATTAAGCTAAGATGACAGATCATGTAGATGGTCATGTGGCATGTTTTCAAATAACATTGAGAGGAACGGACAGTGTTGGTACAGGATATATTAGATCCCTAAGCACTGTCAACGTTTCTGTCCCTTGTTTTATTATCTGTAGATATAATTAAATAATGAACGAATATGCTCAAGAAATCAACATCGTCATGGTGCTGGAAAAGTGAAAAAAAAAAAAAAAAAAAAAAAGAAATCCAGGAGCTGCTAATGTTTAGTAGTGACTTTATCCTCTTGAAATAAATTACTATGTTTCAACTTAACTTTTTAAATCAATTGTTCCATGAAATATTTGCTCACAAACTGTTCCAGAATTTAATAAAATAGGTGTATGTGTGTATGTATATATAATCAAAATAGCTTACTCTGAGAGTCGCCATGTACATGTGGAGCAGCTGGTCCACTACCTCCTGGGAAAGAAGTGGCCTCACTGACTTCACATCCACCTCGGGGACTAGGTCAATGTTTCCCATCATGTCAGAGCTGCAAGGAACAGAGAATCAAGCCTAGCATTTACCTATACCAGTTACAGTTTTTAGGACACAAACAAAATATCAATTTAATACAAAATAATGACAATAACGATAAAAACTAACTACAAGTCCTCAACTCTCTAATCAATAAATTATGGTATCTATATATAGAACATATTAATACGGACTAGAAAAACAAAAATAACACAGGGTTACTAACTACTTTAAGCAACTTGGGAAAGACTATGATTCCTACACAAATGGGAGTTTTATAAGTAATGATTATATGATGCGTCAAAATATTCAAACATTTAACTTTTCAGTTGCCATCTTATAATTGGGCAAAACATATATAAAAAAAGCTTATTAGCTTATTTCATATGTTATGCCTCTTGTTGCAATTATAGGCACCAAGACAACTTTTGCTTAATTGAGCGGTTTGGGAGTATAGATCATGTACCTGCAGCCTTACTGCTAAATGATCTGCCCTTTCTGTCTATATAGCCCAAGCCACTCCTCCATAGGATGTGATTCACACAGCCAACATGAAAAAATGTTCCATTTTCAATCAGATCTTATTTTAGATGGCTTTATCTACAGCTCTTTAAATTGAACTTTACCACACACAAGACTCCTGCAAGCTATTAACAGAGCAGGAGATAAGAAATTCTAATTTCAATTGACTGTTTAATAAAGGAAGTTTAAACATCAGATCTCTCTTTAAAGGAAGTGTTTAGAAAGGCTTTGCAAGTCACATGCAGGGTAAGCGTAGCTAGGGCTGCATAAACAAAGTAATTAAACGTCTAAATGGCAGAGAATTAAGCAGAGAGACTGCAGGGGCAAAATCTATACACCAAACTTAGTTTGGTTATTTTAGTGTTATTTTGGTGCCTATAGTATCTCTTTAAATGTTTTCCTATTTACACCCGATACACGGCTATATATTGCAATAACATAATTATATAAAGAAAGGGATTGTTTCTAATCTCCTTCCTCTTTACAATTAGCTGTATTATCAAGGTTACCTCATTCAGGGAAACCAATGCATGTATTAGTATTAATAATGCATGATGATCACATATTTCATTTATATATAATTTATAGTTTCTACTTGCCTTTGATACGTGTTTAAAACCCAAGTGAGGAGACTGACAATTTCATTGGCTTCCAGCTCTTCTGAAGCCAACTCCTGAATTCGAGAAGACAATGCTTGGTGATACGAATCTAATACCTGGTTGAAAATGTTGTAATGTGGGGGATAGCATTGCACCATTAAGTTTTTTACTATTATGAGATCCTCAAGCATGTATCGGCGGGTAATTTCCAAATGTCGCACGAGCCACATCTTGTCAGATTCCCTTGTGTCTGCTTGACTTCCTTCAATTCTGGTCACAATGGTTTTCTCAAGAACATCAAACATTTTCTCTTTCCACTTCTTGGGTCTTCCAGGTGGAATGAAGGTGGTCTGCTTTTTCCTGTCCATCATCCGACGGTCAATCTTTTCCTCTCTCTCTATGATGCGTACCACTGATACCAACAAGGTGGGATCTTTGCGCACAGTGGTTATTGCTCTCTGAATGACCATCCATAGCTGTTTGGCCAACTCCTCTGATAAGTGCTGCACTTCCCCAAAATAGTTCTGAATTAGATTCCTTTCATGAGTGTTCTTGCTGTCCGTACGGAATTGTTCATACATTAGATCATCACGAGAACACTCCAGGTCCATGAGCTTTCTGTGCGCATGCAGAAGATTCCCTTGCTCTATCAGATCTTGTGTCTCCTTTACGATTTCTGGCACTGTGGGAAATTAAAAAGGAAGACAAAGAAACTAAATATACTATTCATCACAGCCATACACAGAATGACACTAATGAATCGCACAGAAACACTCTGGTACATTACGATGAAAAGCAACAGAAATCCCAACATTAGAAAAAATTAAAAGGACACTATAGTCACCAAAACAACTTTGGCTTAAAGGGGCACTATAGTCACTTTAACAACTACAGCTTAATGTATTTGTTCTGGTGTCTATAGTCTGTCCCTGCATGCTTTTTAATGTAAACACTGCCTTTTCATAGAAAAGGCAGGATTTGCATTACTGCCTAGTAACACTCAGTTTGCAGCATTGACATACAGCATCTCCACGCCCTGTCTGGAGGTGCTGCACGTTGCGCATAAAGATGCATTGATTCAATGCATCTCTATGAGGAGATGCCTATTAGCATTGCACAGTGTTTTGCGTGCATGCATGATAGCCTCCCAATGCTCTCCTATGGGAAAACATTGGATAGGCTGAGATCATCAAACAAAATGAAAAACCTGCTCAGTCGCGGTATTTCAGAGCCCTGTACTTTTTGAGCCATGAAAACCTTCTGGTGATGTCAGTACTAGGAAGTCCCTTGAGAGGTGGGTTTAGGACTGGAATTATAGGTAGGATTGTGAATAGGATTAGGGGTTGTTTTATGCGCAGGATTAGGGTTGGATTAGAGTTTGAATTAAAGGTTGGACTAGGGGTAGGAAAATTGGTTAAATTAGGGAAGAATTTAGGCGTAGGATTAGGGATAAAGGAATACATGCGTGGTATCATTGTACCTGAGAACAGTAGAATATAAATATGGGGTGTTTGCAGCAGTGGGAAGTGCGTGGTCTGTGAACCCCATCCCCTCCCCCCAAAAAATTGTATTAACTAGTGAATCTGGCTTGAGTTAATTTTCTTTATTTGCATTTGTAGTGTAGAAATTACCAAATGTAAAACAAACAAAAAATATGTTTTGTATTTTTTACACATATTTTTCCATTTAATATTGTGTTATTTAGACATATAGGGTATCAGTCATATTTCTCCTTTATAAAAAAAAAAAAAGAAATATAAAATGTATGGGTTCACTTGGGTAGGGGGAAATTATGGTAGAAGGAACGCAGAGCAAAAGTGCCAAAAATCCCTTGGACACAAACGTGTTCCATCACAAAAAAGCCTTAGTCCTTAAAAGCTTAATAAATATAAAATATTGCAGTCGGTTTACATGTAATGAGTACTGGCAGTCATCTTTAACAAAGCAATTTTACTTGTCTGAGGGGAAGTATATAATTTCTTGAAAATTATGAACAGGAATGGTCATAACGATCTCACAGCCAAATTACCTGAGAAAATGTTCTTCAGGTTCTCCACAGCTGCAGCTAATTGACTGTGCTGAACAACTGCATCCTTGACATCCTTCAGGCTCTCAATGGTATTAATGCTCTGTCTCCAATCTTTGCTGACATCTGCGAGAGATTGCTGTATGTCCTTTACATCATTCAGTGCATTGTGAAGTTGGTTTAAGCCTGTCCTCACACCATCAAGCTGAGACTGGATAGCCGCCTAGAAGCAAAACAGTGCAGCCAGTAAAATACTTATTTAGTAAAGTTATAACAAATTTTTTTTAAAAGGGTTTTGCCTTTTGACCACTTACTAAAATGGCTTTACGCTGTTCCCCTAAACACAGGTATTATACAGATGTCCCATTCATTATTATTAAAGGGACACTATAATAACCAGAACAACCACAGCTTAATGTAGTTGTACTGGTGAGTATAATAGATCCCTTCAGGCATTTTCAGATCAGGCAGACCTGAGCGGCGCTGGAAATAAGGCAAGTTTTAAGCTTTTATAGGGAGGAGCAAGCCACCTAAATGGTGGTTTTAGCACTATAGGGCCTAGGAATGCATGTTTGTGTTCCTGACCCTATAGTGATTCTTTAAATATAGTCTTGATCTATTAACCTATAAGAAAGATAGAATCACTTGGCCCAAACAATGCAAAGTTACTGAACTTGTCGCCCTCTAATTGGTCTGAACATGAAACTTAAAAAAAGCTCAGGTTCGTAGTTGTTACAGTTAAAATAATAATTTCTGCAAAAGCTACCAGTCATCCCGTATTACAGTATAAGGGCACAAATTGTATGCCATGCAGCTGTGACCTTCACTTAACACCATACATTTTTACACCAAACACTTGCTCAAATACACTGTACAACACATGTCTTTGTAATCTCTGGAACTTCACAAATCTCAATCTATTTAGGAGACATGGCCTGTCTGTAACTTCATGGTTGCTCTGCAACTGGAATGTACGCTGACATTTTAGATGTAAATGTGCTAAAAAATTAAGAGAGTTTACATTCTTAGCTCTCTGCATTCAAGCAACATAGACTTAACATTTACTGAGGGAGGGAGAAAGGGAAAAAACAAAAACCTCCTCAAAATGACTCGGAAACCCCCCCTTCCTAATTGACCAGTTTCCTGTAGGTCAGCCTTATGCTGTCACCCTTTGTACATATGTGACCCAAGTCACATGTTGCTTCTGTCTGTGAACCTAGAACACATTTTTTGGAATCATATTTTCTCTTATTGCAAAGTTATATGGCTTCATTTGGTGATTGTATGTTTTTATATTCGAATTAATAAAAAGGATAAACAAAATCTCTAAAAATCTTTATACTCTCACCGTAACTAAACATAAAAAGTCTACATGAAGACAACATAACCTGTGGATTATAACAAGCATGCACTAACATACAAAAGTATTCAGACATTACAAGTCATTGTCAGGTTTCAATACTAAAAATGGGAATTCTCGGGGAATAACTGTTTGGGCGAAAATAGCCAAAAGTAAGTTCTCCACCATGGCTATTTTGCCTTAAATTCTGCAATTCTCTTGTCAAATATAAACAATATGTGGTTCAGTGAATAACCCTAGGTGTAGCAGGTTAAGGCAGATATGTTCTGTCTGTTTTACTGCCTTGCCTTCAATCTGGCCTCCACCGATGCTTTTTTTCGTGCCTCCCTCCTGCGGTACTGCTCCACTTTATCCAACTGGTCTGGTCTCTGCAGCATTCCAGCAACGCGTTGCACTGCAGTTGCCACTGCTTCTCTATCTGGTTCCTCCATCCTGAGCTTGAGGAAAAAAACATTTACCAATTATGAACTAAACAAAATAGCAAGCACATATACCATTATACAACCTCTAGCCACAGTTCATCTACACCTAAATGTCAAACTTTGTAATTCACATTGCACAGGTTACCTAGAAATATACACTCACCTACAGTAAGAACTGTAGTCTAAAGGATGATTTATATAAGAAGAAAAAAAACTGTGTAACACTAATGAAAGTTTCTTGAAACAGTACCAAATATTTTATAGTAAAAAAAAAAAATGTAATACAAAAAAATATCACCCCCTTTATCACCTGTTTTATGTTGAGATCAGTATAAAAGTTATGGTCTCTGTTTTGATGGATTTACTTCAATCTCAGGGTGTAAATTTATATTATTAATATTTTGGGCTTGGTTTTGGTAGTTGTAATGGGTAGTTAGTAGGAAATCATTTGGATGATTATTCAATTAAGTTTACTAAAAAATACATGGCAAAAATATATTTTAAAAAGTGTTCTGGTTTTCAATATGCAAAACAGCCCTGATCTTTAAAGAGTTAAACTGGATTTAGATTTTTAATAGTTTAAGAATTTTGTTTTCAAAATCAACATGAATGATCTATGATATTACTTAATTCATATAATAAACCCTAATCTATGCTGCTGAATTAAATGTTCATTCCTATTTAAGTGAAGTGGAAACTATGTAAATTATTTCATGAGATATTTATGAGATATTAATTCCAGCAGACAGATACAGACAGTGGGCAGTCATGTTTGTAGATCTTACAATGTAAAGGAGAAGAGGAAAATTTGCTAAACAGTGTGTTTACAACCCAGTGCATAGTATCTTATAATACTTTAGCAATTTATAAGAAATAAATCACACAACCAATCTTAACAGTTTGTCCCCAAATAACCAAGTTGGAAAAAAACACCACTTTGGCCTAAAATGTAGCCCATGTAGCAACGCAGTTAGGGGAATGGGCCTTGATAAGGCCAGAGAGTAGGCATGCAGTGTTATCATAATTGGGGGCAGGATTTTAGACATGTGGTTATGAGGTGCGGACTAGGTGATTATAGCATGGCCATCTTAATTTTCAACTTGCACTTACCTGTCCCTCCCACCCTCCCTGTGGTTTAGTGGTTGTTCCCCGTTTGGTCACAGCGGCGGGAAAGGGCTAGGATAAATGGGAAGTAGGTAGAGTATGATGTGGTCATGACAAGGTTTAGGCTAGATTAGGCAGGAGGGGTTCAATTGGCTGACAGGTTCGAGCTCATCGGTGGCTCCAAATCTGGGGGTGTAGGGGTGTCTTGGATATGGGCCTCTTTGGTAGGCCGTGTTTTAATTTATATGTTATTTATTCTGTTATATTGGTATGGGGTCATTGCCAGGGGTATTTATGTACAGAGGGAGATTGGATTAAAATATCTTTATTGTTTTGGCAAAAATTTTGTTCAAGTTATTGATGATACTTTAATAAAGCTGTGGACTATATATTTCCAACAGAAACAAAACTGGTGTCTGTGTTTATTAAAGGAAGTGGGGATGGGTTATGGCACATGCCGAAAAGAGGGATATTCCATTTTGGGATTTAAGTAGAATTAACTTTAAGTCCACAAAATAATACCATATATTAAATTATTTATCATGTTTCAAAAAGCCCTACTCTACAAATGTGGAAACACAAAATGAATACACTACACTAATCCACAAAATAGATACCTAAAAGAATAACAATGAAAATAAAAGTGATGCTTACAATATAAACCATTAAATATTAAAATCATACACTTTAGATCTAACCCTTTTAATTGCAGTGCAGTGCCCACAGTCACACTTGGTGCTGCACATATTGATAGTAAATCTGTACACCAGGAATGGCCAACCTCCCCAGCTGCTAGAGGACTACAATGCCCATGATGCTTTGCCAGCTAAGTAATACTAGGAGCTGTGCTCCCACACCAGCAGTGGATCTGCCTGCAGACCCCCCCCATTACATGCTATGCTATGACACAGACTGGGCCCCCTCATTAAACACCATACACTGACTTACAGCGTGCCATGGACACGCAGACAGCTGGCCCCGCCGTGTAAGCGGTGTATGGGAAGGAAGACATAATAAATATTTACATTCAGCTGGACCGCTCCTCTCTTCCGCCTTCACCTTCTGGCTGACTCTATTCGTCACCGACTCTGACAGCGGACAGCAGCCGGCTCGGGACAAACCTTGTCAGAAAGCGAAATGCCAGGAGCCAATATCTGTATGTACACCGCACACAGGCTACAGCGCTGAGTGCACAGGGCGCTATGGATGGAAGGGTTCATTTCCCCAGGGACACCTGTCTATACATTTGTGTATATATATAATAAAGTACCATTTGTATTCACGTACAAGGATATCAGAGTGGACAGGGCTGGAGATGGTTTCTTATTCCATCCTGGAAGTTGTTTTTTTATTTGGAGTCATCTCTGGTTATAATTTAAATGAAACCTATATGTTTAACTGCAATACAACTCAGATTTAAATAATGACAACATGTGCTCCAGGCATACAATTATATAATATCTTCGTTATTTTAATATTTTGGTCAGTACCGTATATACTCGAGTATAAGTCGACCCGAATATAAGTCGAGGCCCCTAATTTTACCCCAAAAAACTGGGAAAACTTATTGACTCGAGTATAAAACTAGGGTGGGAAATGCAGCAGCTACTGGTAAATTTCTAAATAAAATTAGATCCCCAAAAAATTATATTAATTGAATATTTATTTACAGTGTGTGTATATAATGAATGCCGAGTGTCTGTGTGTTTGTGTAGTGTGTGTATATAATGAATGCAGTGTGTGTGTGAAGCAGAGTGTGTAACCTTGGTGGGGGGTGGGCATTTTTATTATTTTTTTAATTATTATTATTATTTTAATATTATCACATTTTTATTTTAATATTATTAAAAAATTTATTTTATTATTATTAAAATGTTTATTTAATTTTTTTGTCCCCCCTCCCTGCTTGATACATGGCCAGGGAGTGGGGCTATATTATTCCCTGGTGGTCCAGTGGATGGGCTGTGCAGGAGGGGGGCTGGGAGCAAGCTGTTACTTACCTGTGTAGCAGCTCCTGTCAGCTCCCTTCTCCTCCGTGACAGTCAGCTCCCACGGTAAGTCTCGCGATCTGAGTGCCGTCCGGAGCGTTGCCACGGTAACCCGTGGCAACGCTTTAACGGCCACGGCTCTCGCGAGACTTGGAGCTGAACGGCACGAATGAGAAGGGAGCTGACCGGAGCTGCTGTAAAGGTAACAGCTCGCTGCCAGCCCCCAACAGGACCGCCGGCTTGTAATGAGCCCTGCGGTCCTGGTCAGTATTATGGCAATGTAAGTTGCCATAATACAGACATTGACTCGAGTATAAGACGAGTGGGGGGTTTTCAGCACAAAAAATGTGCCGAAAAACTCGTCTTTTACTCGAGTATATACATGGTCAAATCATGGTCAAACTTCAGGATGAATGAACCAGAATACATTTTAAATAGGTAACTGATGTTTTATTTGGGTTAATAGCCATTTGGGCCACTGGTTGTTTTTCACATGGATTTGTACAGTAAGAGGCATTCTATTAAACACAATATTCTTCAGCATGCCAAAAGGTGAATTTGGTATAAAAAAAGTCCCAACCTTGCCATGGGTGGTGGTTTACTTCATTTTGAATAAGTAACTGGTGTTTTCAAAGGGTTGTTTGCCAGTGGGCCCTTGATTTTCATATGGATTTACATAGAGTAGCTACCCTCTATTAAACACAATTACCAGATTTTACTATTTAAATGACATAAAGTCATGATTTTATTAATGACACGGAGGTGAGTATTATGCTGCACTCTTTCTTTATTTCCATCAGCAGCAAAGACACATTGAAATCAATATAGGAAGCAGTCAGTAACATGTATCTTCCATTGCAACCAAACATCCAGTCAGATTCCACTCTCCAGCATAATAGGCGATGTTCACTAAACTAATTCCTCTTTCTTGCGAGCCCGAACAAGGACAAACATCCAACAGAAAAGGAACTCCAATAAGAGCATAATGCCAATAACAAGTGGGTTTCCAGGTCAAGCTGTAAGAGAGAGTAGAATATGGTAATATCCAAGTATTAATTTGGATTCATGCACAAGATAACATTGTGCAAACTAATAGGCAATATCCAATATAAATTTGTATTCAGTCAACATATTGTTGGAGATGGAGACAGACATTAGAAAGTACAAAACCCAAATCACCTGAATAGGTAACAAGCCCAAACTTACCGTAGGTAACTTACCCAGATTACACCACCATCCAGGGAAGGGTGGGAGGGATAATCGCCTTTGTGTCGTTAATAAAATCATGAATTTAAGTCATGTAAATAGTAAAATCTGGTAATTTTATTTAGACACGGAGGCTCCTATTATGCTAGTTTAAAGCTGTGAAATAACCATTCCAGCAAAATGTTGAATCGGCTTAAAATAAAAGTCTCGAAACGTATATTCCGATGACCAGTCGGCAGCTTGTAAAATATCATCTAGTCGGCATCCTACCACAGAAGCTTTAGAGGTCATATCACCTCATACAGAATGTGGAGAGAAAACGGAAGTATCAATGCCGGCTAATGTCATAATCCATTTGACCCATCTGGCAAGAGAAGGAGAGGATACTGGAAGGTGTGGTTTGCGGAAAGAGATGAATAATTGAAGTCTCATAGGATTCCGAAACAAAGCTGTATGGAGTTCATATTCCTGTAGACATGCCTCAAGGCAAAGGAGAGGCTTCTCTGGAAATGCCTGGTAGAGTACGGACATTGAAAAGGTCTTGGTCCTTCTAGAGATGTCAAAGAGGACGCCTTCAGGTGTAAAGCAACGAGCGTCTGTGTCAAGAGCTCGTACATCAGAGACTCTTTTGCATGAAATTAGGCAGAAAAGCATGACTAATTTTGCAGAAAGTTGTTTGAGGGATAACAAAACATTCTCCGGCCATGACTCTAGAAAATTGAGGACAAAGGAAATGTCCCAGAGTGAAGAGTAATGAGGTAATGGATGGTGAGAATAACTCACTCCGAGTAGGAGTCAACAGACAAAGGGATGTCGTCCGATGGGGACACCATCAATGCCCTGATGTCCAGAGGAAAGTGCAGAACGGTGAAGGTTAACCGTGCGATATGCTTTCCCTGCTTCAAAAAGGGAAGTCAAGAAATGCAAGATGGATGTTAAAGGAGTTGATAATGAATCCATATCTCTATCCAAGCACCTACCATTCCATGCATTCCAAGCAGATTTATAAGCGTGTCTCGTGCAGGGTGCCCATGCATTCCCTAGAAGTCTGAGAGTTGATTGCGGAACGCCCTCGATTGACCGAGGTCCCCTGAAACCAGCCAAGTCATAAGTTGAAGGAGACCCTGGAGAATTAACGGGTGAAACTGCCCATCTGGATCCAGGAGGAGAGAATCGTATGATGTGAGAAGGCAGGGAAAGTCTATCTCCATTTACGATAGATGAGGAAACCATGGTTGTGACGTCTATAGGGGGGTCACAAGTACCAACATGCCATGTTGGCTGCACAGTTGAAGAAGGCAACTGGGAAAAAGTGCAAATGGGGGAAATGCATAGTTCGTCTCCGTGGCCCAATGTTGAGAAAAGGCATTTGTCCCCAGAGCCGTTAGATCTGGTCTCCAGCTGAAAAAATTAGGGAGTTGAGCATTTAAACGAGAGGCGAAAGATCTATTCCCAAAGGTCCCCAAGTGTCCATCATTTTCTTGAATATCAAGGCCAATCGCTGAAGTCCTTGAGATATCGGGAATACCAATCCGCTGTGGTGTGGGAGAGACTGAGAATATATTCCGCTGTCACCGAGATGTTGTGGAAAAGGCAAAATTGCCAGAAAACGCGTGCCATGTTCGCCAGAACTTTGGATTTCATGCTTCCTAGATGGTTGATGTATCTGACTGCAGAAACCTTGTCCATCTTTAGTAGAATTGTGCATTGAGAATGAGTCGGAGATAGGCTGCGTACAGCAAAGGAACCGGACAGAAGTTCTAGGCAATTGATATGTAGTGTCGATTCTAGGTCTGACCATCTGCCTCCTGTGGAGGTATCTCCACAACGTGCACCCCAAACCGTGTAAGCTCGCATCCGATTCTATGATGAGGTCTGGGGTTGTTCCGAAGATAGCGCGTCCATTCCACGCTTCCATATGGAGAAGCCACCAATGAAGCTCATCTTTCGCCTCTTTGTCTAATGTCACCATCTCTTCGTAGGATACCCTGCCTCTGAGGTAAGAAGCCTGTATCCGTTGAAGTGCTCGGTAGTGGAGCAGACCTAATTGATTGCTATTTCCTGTCCTATTGTGTTTTATACCCCACCTTCTATAGACTGTAAGCTTGAATGAGCAGGGTCCTCTTCAACCTTTCTTTCCTATAAGTTTTCTTGTAATTGTCCTATTTATAGTTAAATCCCCCTTCTTACAACATTGTAAAGCGCTACAGAATCTGTTGGCGCTATACAAATGGCAATATTAATAATAATATGGCTTGGAATGAAGCTGCTAGGAGTCCCATGACTCATGTCAAGTGTTTGAGGGAGAGCTGGGGAACAGCCAATGTGCGACTGATTTCTTTTTTAATATTTAGCAATTTTGATGCTGGTAGATGTAACGTCTGAGAGGTTGAATCGATTACTAATCCCAGGAACTTGATACGTCGGGCAGGTGTCATAATGGATTTTTCCCAATTGATAACGAAACCCAGGTTTTGCAACAAAGCCAGAGTCCACATCAGATGTGTGTGGAGAAGGTTGGATGACTGGGCTAGAAGGAGTATATCGTTCAGATAGATGATTAGCCGAATGCCTCGACTTCTTAACAGAGCAACCACGGGTTTCCATGGTCTTGGTGAAACGCCACGGGGCTGATGACAGGCCGAACGGGAGGCACTGAAATCAATGATCTTAGACAATCAGTATGTGGTTCTCCATCAATGATGTTTTAGTAGTTCTATGCATCGCAGTCACCAGCTTACTTTACACTAGGCTGTAAAGTTTTGTGGGAGATATCATCAGAACAGCTGGAGAGCTGTCTATTATACCATCTTGATTTAGAAAAAAATCATCAGTTTGTAAAATGACACAGAGCAGTCTGATTGGATGGATTTCAAGCCCACCAATCAGAGTGTTATGAGTCAAATTACACAGCGTGGGAA